GACTTGATGTTTGCTGCGGAGAAAGAGGTCATCGATCTCGTCTATGCCGCGATTTCTGGAGTTTGGGCTTTGTCTGACTTGGAAGTGGCGTCAGATGAGACTCCAGTCAAATACTGTGGTTTTGAGATCTATGAGGATGGTCAACATGATGGTTTCCACCTCAACCAATGCATGTATGAGAAGGAGATTTTGAAAAAGTGGGAAGTTGGATCCCCAATTGAGTACGCCAATTGTCGAGTGGCTGAAGAGGATGAGGTTCAACAGCAGGACATTTGCCCTGAGGACGTGAAGCGGGCGCAAGGGATTGCAGGATCCTTGCTATGGTTAGCCACTCGCACTCGTCCTGACCTATCAGTTGGGGTAGCAACTATGTGCAGGTTGGTGACGCGAAATCCAAGGAAAGCTGCCAGAGCCTGTTGCGATACATCAAGCACCAGAAAGGTGGTCTTCATTATCCCCGAGGACCCTTACATGGCCAGTGGGGCGCAAGGGGACAGTTGAAGGTTGAAAGACATCGAAAACTCATAGAGGTATGCTCTGACATTTCCTACGGGGCCGGCTCAGGCTTCAGAAGCGTACAGGGCATAGTGGTTCTTTTGTCAGGAGCACCAATTGCTTGGAGCTGCTCACAACAACCATTTGTGACACATAGCACGGCCGAGGCGGAGCTGGTTGCTTACTGTGAATCATTAATTGCTGGCAGAGCCATGGAAGCTATGCTATGTATGATGTATGGTGAATCACTGAACAACAACGAGTTCCAGCGGCTGATCTATGGTGACAATGTGGCTGCAATAGGTCTTGGAAATGGCAATGCAAACACATCTTGGCGAACACGCCATCTTCGCATCAGGTCGGCTGTTCTACGAGAAGCTTTGGATGGAACCAGTTCAATTCCAGGGGGAGTTTGGCAACTTCTGCACTTGCGTGGCAACGAGTTGATTGCGGATGGGTTCACCAAAAGTCTTCAAGGTTCTGCTTTTGATCGTTTTTTGCAAGATTTGGGAATGACCAACGAGAAGAAAATCCAGAAAAGCGAATCTTCAATATCTGATGGCCATGGTGGAGCGCATCAAGCTGTGCTTGCGCTGACAGTTGGATGTGCCTTGCTTTCTCAAGCTGAAGCGGTGGAAAATGAGGTGATTCCTTGGGATGGATTGGATGCAATGTGGATCAGTGGTGCAGTGCTCATGTGCTTAGGCGTTGTCTATCTGGGAAACATGTCTCTGCAGCTGGCTCGATGCTGTCTTAAGAGGTTTTTCTATGGCGATGATGAGTCAGAAAGTTTGACAAGACGGTCGGGCTCGCATGGAGCAGGTTCATCAAACAGTATGAGGCAACGTTCGGGCTCGCATGGAGCGACTGCATCAACTAGTTTGACAAGACGGTCGGGCTCGCATGGAGCGACTGCATCAAAAAGTATGACAAGACCATCGGGCTTGCATGGTGTGAGCTCGTCGGAAAGTATGAGGCGACGATCGGGCCTGGCAGAGCATTTGCAGCGTGGTGACGCAGCATCATCGTCAAGCGTTTCGTCATCACAGTCGGGCTCAGCAGAGCATTTGAAGCGTGGGAACGCAGCGTCTTCATCAAGCGTTTCCAGGCGACAGTCGGGCGTTTTGCATGAAAATTTGTCTGGCAGCTCAGAAATCTCTTCAAGTGATCCTCATGGGCGGCTGGATAGAATCAACCGTGATGGCATCTCTCAAGCTGGGAGAACTGGAACCGATAGACCGCGCTTAGCAGCTGCATCGAACGATCTTTCTGCAAGGCGTGACCCGGCTGGTTCACCCAGTGAAAATTCAGTTTCTGAAGCTGCGCAGAATAGATTGCAGCTGATGAATCCTTGGAACCTCTTTCAACATTTGCACCGTGGAAAGGGGTGGAGCGTTCACAAAATGGCCCTTGAATACGGAAAGGCCAAAAACTCCAACTTTTGAAATGCCTTGAGCCTGTGATTTCATTTCTCAAGGGAGTCACACAAAAATGGTGTGCGAAATCTAGCATCATTGGCCGGAACCTCAGAATCCGACCGGATTCGGGGGAGCTCGTCGGTGCACATATGGACATGTATCTTCTGCAGGCATTTTGTTGGAAAAGGACCGAATTGTTTGAGCTGCCTATTGATTGAAGAAGCACAATGCGATCCCGGATCTGGTTGGGGATCGCAGATTTCGGCCAGGCTGGCTGCCAGAATCTGCGATCCCCAACCAGATCCGGGATCGCATTATGCTTACATGATTGTAAAGCTGTTTTTTTCCAAAGAAAACATAATCCAAGCCCTGATTTCTGCCTATTGATTGAAGAAGCATAATGCGATCCCGGATCTGGTTGGGGATCGCAGATTTCGGCCAGGCTGGCTGCCAGAATCTGCGATCCCCAACCAGATCCGGGATCGCATTATGCTTACATGATTGTAAAGCTGTTTTTTTCCAAAGAAAACATAATCCAAGCCCTGATTTCTGCCTATTGATTGAAGAAGCATAATGCGATCCCGGATCTGGTTGGGGATCGCAGATTCTGGCAGCCTGCCTGGCCGAAATCTGCGATCCCCAACCAGATCCGGGATCGCACTACCTATACATGATTGTAAAGCTGTTTTTTTCCAAAGAAAACATAATCCAAGCCCTGACTTCTGCCTATTGATTGAAGAAGCATCACGCGATCCCGGATCTGGTTGGGGATCGCACAGCTCGGCCAGGCAGGCTGCCAGAATCTGCGATCCCCAGCCAGATCCGGGATCGCACTAACCTATACATGATTGTAAAGCTGTTTTTTTCCAAAGAAAACATAATCCAAGCCCTGATTTCTGCCTATTGATTGAAGAAGCATCACGCGATCCCGGATCTGGTTGGGGATCGCACAGCTCGGCCAGGCAGGCTGCCAGAATCTGCGATCCCCAACCAGATCCGGGATCGCACTACCTATACATGATTGTAAAGCTGTTTTTTCCAAAGAAAACATAATCCAAGCCCTGATTTCTGCCTATTGATTGAAGAAGCATCACGCGATCCCGGATCTGGTTGGGGATCGCACAGCTCGGCCAGGCAGGCTGCCAGAATCTGCGATCCCCAGCCAGATCCGGGATCGCACTACCTATACATGATTGTAAAGCTGTTTTTTCCAAAGAAAACATAATCCAAGCCCTGATTTCTGCCTATTGATTGAAGAAGCATCACGCGATCCCGGATCTGGTTGGGGATCGCACAGCTCGGCCAGGCAGGCTGCCAGAATCTGCGATCCCCAACCAGGTCCGGGATCGCACTACCTATACATGATTGTAAAGCTGTTTTTTCCAAAGAAAACATAATCCAAGCCCTGATTTCTGCCTATTGATTGAAGCATGATTGTAAAGTTTTTTTTTTCCAAAGAAAACATAATCCAAGCCCTGATTTCTGCCTATTGATTGAAGAAGCATCACGCGATCCCGGATCTGGTTAGGGATCGCACAGCTCGGCCAGGCAGGCTGACAAAATCTGCGATCCCGGTGACTGATGCATATAGTTGCATTTGCATATATTCGTCTCAACATTTGCTGTGCTGATCCCTGGCCTCACGTTAGAAACGCGATCCCGGATCTGGTTGGGGATCGCAAATTCTGCCAGGCAGCCCTCCCCAGAAGCGCGATCCTGAAATACTATTCACAGGCTCACAAGGGTTCCCGGTTTGAAATTACAGTTGGTGAACTTGTTCCCGAAAAGACAGGAGCTTTTACCTGGCATGTATTGTGGCATTGTTTTTCGGGTGTGGGATCTGACATATATTTTAGCCTTTGATGTGGCATATGTTCTGACATTTTATCTTAGATACATTCTGGCAACGTGTTTGGCAGTGGAGGCCCAGCACTGCCCACTGGCGGTCGGGGTCGCGGTGGAGGCCCGCTGGTGCCCACGTGATCCGAAGCTCGTGGTTGAGGTCCGCCGGTGCGCCCACTGTGATTGAGAGCTGGCGAAGAAGCAAGGAGAAGGAGAAAAAGAGGCGGGAAGCGGACTACTCTAACAAAATCTATAACAACTGTCACTTGGCAGGTGCGGAAAAACCAGAGCAAACTGCAAACGCAGCCTCACTACCAACATGCATGAGAATATCATGGGATGAAGCTAAAACACAAGCGATTGTACAACCAAAGTCGAATACTTCAAGTAACTGTTTTCCCGACCCAAGCGACGGTTGTCTCCAACAAAGGCCTCCAAACGTCCAACATGGGCCCAACATGGACCCAAGATGAGACCAAGACCAATTTAGGCCTCAACATGGCCTAAGTTGGCTCTACAAGTGGGGCTTTCAACCAGCTGTATCAGATACAGCTGGCAAAAAGGGGTCCGTAGAGGCATCATCCTGCCAATATAGGCCTCAACATGGCCCAAGTTGGCTCTACAAGTGGGGCTTTCAACCAGCTGTATCAGATACAGCTGGCAAAAAAGGGGTCCGTAGAGGCATCATCCTGCCAATATAGGCCTCAACATGGCCCAACACGGCTCTACAAGTGGGGCTTTCAACCAGCTGTATCAGATACAGCTGGCAAAAAAGGGGTCCGTTCAGGCAAATATTTGGAACAATATATACAATGTTCTACAGTGAGTCTCATCATACTTAAGAGGCTTCAGGCCACAGAATACCATGGAAACCAGAAGGTCAGCACCTTCTTGTCACAGGTTTTCCATCCCATAGTCACGGAAGGCTCACCAACCTGGATGTGCTGCCAAGGAAATTGCATTACAGACAACCAGCAAAAAATCAAAGAAGAAATGCGCAGCCGTGACTGCAAAGAATTCAAGATCTCATGAACCAGCCCAACAACGCATGTTGCAGTTATTCTGATTGCTTCGACCAAGTTAGTGTAATGGAAGGCAATGGAAGGCATATTTTTTTTTCCACCCCTAACAGGTCTTCGGAAGCTCTGTTGTCCAAGGTCACTGGTGTACGGCCCCTGTCCTGACTTGCCGAAAATGATGCAGGACACCCCAAATGAACACCTCCTGGACGCCCTGCACAGTCTATCATGGAACCTCCCTCTTGACTAGAACCTCCCTTTTGATTGAGGCATCTCCAGCTCTGCAAGGAAGCATAGCAGGGTTCGAGACATAGTTTGTCAAAATCCGAGACAAGTCCACATTCTCTTTTTCGAGAAGCCGTATGCGCTCAGCGGATTCCTGCAAACTCTTCACCAATCCTTGCGGGTCCTGACATTGGGCCAACAGCGCCTTCGCCTCATCCAGCTCCAGCTGCTTCTGCAGATCATCATAGCCCTGGATCTTTTGGTAGTCTTCAGCACTCAAACGATATCTAAGATTTTTTTCTTCGGCTCTCATACCTGAGGCCGCATTGCGGACCGCAAAACTTTGACAGATGTTTTGGAATATAGAGTGTATGCAATATGAAATGCCTCATACCCAACATTATTCAGTTCTTCAATATGGCATCCCGTATGGCTGGGCCAGAGCATGGCTAAGGACTCTTGCGGGTTTGGGTTGAAAACTCCAAGTTGCTTTTTGTGGGCAGCTTTTTTTCTGCTCATCATCCTTCTTCACGGGTGTGTCCGCAACAACCTGCTCTGATGATCTCTTTGACTTGCTCCTGCCCGCAGCATCGCTCTTCGATGTCTTGCTCTGGCGGCAGGTGGACATGCTGAAGCTCTGAGCCTGAGAACCTTTACTATATACCTGCTTGTCCATGGCCATCAATGGTTGGACGCGGCAGTGATTCAAACAATGAGTCATCCATGAAAAACACGCAAGTAATTACTAACTTGGCGTGATTCCTGGAGATGTAGCCCTAGCAAGGGAGGTTCTACTGGTCCGTGTTCATCCTAGCAGACTGCGCAAAATCCTTGTTTGAAATGGAAAAGTGGCAAAGGATGCGGCGGAGGCATTCCCACATGTTCCAAGGTCAGATAATCAGAAGAGTCGGTGACCACGCATGACTGATGACGCAACATGACACTTCTGGAAATTCTAGGCCACCGAGCTCTGTCGAGAAGCACGCGATCCTGCTATCTCTAGCCTGCAGAATGTCGACAACCCAAGAAAAATGACAAGACAGGGGCCCGAATTGGAGGCTAGAACTTCGAGTAAATGCGCAGAGCTTCTTGCATGTCTTGCTTGCTACATCCCTGACAGGCATTGTTCAACGCTGTGCATACCAATTGATCTTAGCAGTATATACCTGCATTTGTTTCGTGGAGCTTGGGCTCCGAATCGGGCCCCGAATCCGGGCCCCGAACTAAAGCTTCGAACAAATCGGGCGACTACACTCAACTTGAATTTAAACCATGTTTGTTACATTTCTAAGGCATACTTTGCAAGGTTACCCATGTCATGGAGATTGGGCTCCCCATCGAGGCCCCGAATCCGGGCCCCGAATCCGGGGCCCGAATCTTCGAACATCAGGCGACTACACGCAACTTGAATTTGAACCATGCTTGTTACATCTCTGAGGCATAGTTTGCAAGGCTGCACGTACAATATACCCATTTCATGGAGATTGGGCTCCCCATCCGGGCCCCGAATCCGGGGCCCGAATCTTCGAACATCAGGCGACTACGCTCAACTTGAATTTGAACCATGCTTGTTACATCTCTAAGGCATAGTTTGCAAGGCTGCACTTACCATATACCCATTTCATGGAGATTGGACTCCCCATTCGGGGCCCGAATCTTCGAACATCAGGCGACTACACCCAACTTGAATTTGAACCATGCTTGTTACATCTCTAAGGCATAGTTTGCAAGGCTGCACTTACCATATACCCATTTCATGGAGATTGGGCTCCCCATCCGGGGCCCGAATCCGGGGCCCGAATCTTCGAACATCAGGCGACTACACTCAACTTGAATTAACCCATGCTTGTTACATTTCTAAGGCATAGTTTGCAAGGCTGCATATACGATATACCCATTTCATGGAGATTGGGCTCCCCATCCGGGCCCCGAATCCGGGGCCCGAATCCGGGGCCCGAATCCGGGGCCCGAATCAGAGGTTCGAACTTGGAGCGACTACACTCAACTTAAGTTTAAATCATGCTTGCTACATCTCTTAGGCATACCATATACCCGCCAAGTGTATTTTAAGGAGATTAGGCTCCGAATCCGGGCCCCGAATCCGGGCCCCGAATCCGGGGCCCGAATCGGAGATTCGAACTTCCAGACTTCGAGCGACTATGTTCGGCTTGAATTTAAGTCATGCTTGCTACATTTAAGTCATGCTGTATGTATATCCATGTTTGAATTTTGGGCGTGAAGTGGTGCATTTATTTTGTAGCAACTATTTCTGGTTCACAAGCACAGCCGCTTTAGAATGGAATTCGTTTACTTTAAAATGACCCTTTCATAGCACAAAATCTCTTTCCGACTTGCACCCCTTCCTGGGTTTAGAATGACTTTTGGAACAGATGCCAGGCATCACTTCACCAGGCAGCACTTGCTTTACAACGGGTACTGTAGTTTTTAGTAGGTTTAACTTGCTTTAAAATGGGTATTGTAGTTTTTAATCGGTTTTGGAAACCTGTAGAAACCACCATCATTTGACAAAAAAAACTGCTGACCCATTTCAATCCCAAACGTTCGATTGCCGCTGCAATGTTCGCACACAAGCTCTGCAGCTCTGCGTGTTGACTACCAAAAAAATCTTAGGCAAAAACTTAACTATCTCAGTACCTCTTTTTTAAACCTTCCATTGAAAGCCATTGCTCGCAACTACCAAAAAACGCCTGGGCAAGAACTTAACTTTCTGAAAAACTTTTTTTGAACCTTCTTCCATTGAAAGCCATCGCCCGCAACTCAACGCCTAGGCAAAGACTTAACTTTCTCAGTTTCCCTTTTTTCAAACTTCTTCCATTGAAAGCCATCGCCTGCAACTACCAAAAAACGCCTAGGCAAAAACTTAGCTTTCTCAGTACCTCTTTTTTTAACCTTTGGTTCGAGCATTGTGATGAACTCACACAAATCAAACATGGCGCGCTGACAGTGGGCAGCTCCAACAGATTTCTTGGTCAGCAGCTGCTTCCATAATCGCCTATCAACCATTGTGGCTGGTTATTGTAGGTCATTGCTATTATCAACTGATAAGCCGCGAATTCAACAGTGATCAGCCATGGAGTTTCCATGTTTTTTTTCACCAACTAAGTTTTAATCTAGCTAATACTGACTTGATCACTATTTTATTACAATTGTACTAGTATGATTTGCCACGAAGTACCCATGATCGATCAGGGGTAGTGTTATCCAGAGTGGTCAAAGTGTGCTTTGATTTTTTGGTGATTGACAATTTGCTGTAAGAATGTGGTATCCCGCCAGGTGGTGTGCCAGGAGTAGCAAAGAGCTCTGGTGGTGTGGTTGGCATTCCACCCGCCCTCCACGTGCCATGTAAGAACGGCGGCGTTTCAGGCGCTACGTTCAGACTCTCATCCGTCCAGCTCTCAGACCTCATGAAGCAGGATCGTTTTGAATTAGCACAGAGACATGGCATGCAGTACAATTGGCTCACAGATCACCACTCCAAGAGGCTCCGAGGACATCAGGTCAATCTCCATCATCGAGGGCTCGTGGCCTGACCTCAAGGGACGACGCCAGAAGAGGAGTTGAGCAGATGACAGACAAGATTAATGGTGAAATGGTTTGTCAGGAACCTTTTCTTTTGCCAAGTTGCTCTTCACCCATTTCCCGGTCTATGTCGTCTGACCTCATGCAGCGAAGCGTGCAGAAAGATAAAGAATATCAAGTAGACGATCGGTATAGTACAATGAGGCTCTGGCATTGGATACGGCGGTGGCTTTGCCGCAGCACAAGGGCGTGGCACAAGAGGAATTCTGCAATAGAATACGAGCTGAGGATGTGATATCATGATATCAAATGGCTGCTGATGAAGCCAAGCGATTGCATTCGGCAAAATCTATTTGATACCATAAGAGGAGTTGAGCTGATAACAGAAGAAATTGATATTGAAATGGTTTGTCAGGAAACCATTTTGAGCTAAGTTGCTCTTCACCCATGTCCCACTGTAGAAACCTTTTGCACTTTTGGGAGACTGACCAAAACCTCGAGAAAACAAAAAATGGCAGATTCCATGGACCTCTCCTCCAGTCTCAAAGCTGTGCATGGTGTCTGTCGTTTTGTTTTTGTTTTTTTTTCGATGGTTTTTGCATTTGTGGTAGACTGGCCAAAACCATGGAAAAACAAAAGAAAACAAATCAAACAAAAATAGCACTCCATGGACCTCTCCTCCAAGAGCTGTGCATGGAGTCTGACATGTTGCATTTTTGTTTTTATCGCTTTTTCAGTGATTTTTTGGTGTTGGGGCATAGTCATATGAGGAGGTGTAGAAAAGCACGCGTTTCTACAATGTGCGCTCCTCCACCCCCCTCATGCCCCCTTCTGTAAATCCCTAAATAGACCCCAAAACAAAACCATGAGGAAACCCTGCAGAAACCTTAAACCAACCCTAAAACCAAACCTAAATAGACCCCAATACACCTTGAAACAACCCTGAACCAATCCTGAAGAAACCATGTCACTTTGATGGCCTACGAGGCACGCCGCTGGGCAGTCGCCCCTCACCCCCAGTGGGGCTGTGGAGGGTAACTGACTCCGACTGGAGGGATGATTGACTCACTGTGGTCTGACTCTGCTATAGTGGGTGACCGACTCCGTCTGGTTTCGGTAAATCATGGTAGATCAACAATACTCCAAAAGCTGTTCGACCCTCGACCAGCAAAACCCACGGCATATGGCCATGGCATCCCCATTCACAAGTTGATACAAGTTGCGATGGCCAGATTCTTGGCATCCAAAGACAACAAGTTCTTCAAGCGATGTGGTTGAGGATGGGCCTGCCGCTGCGGCAGGAAAACTTCCAGATTTTTTGCTGCGATGCCCAGGTCTTTCTGCGTTCCCGTCGTCAAGTTTGGGTGCGACAAACGTTCAGGTGGTTCAAAAGCATCGAGCTGGATTCATCACCTTTTAGTTTGTCCCGAAACATGGCACAATGGTATATGGTCACGTTAAAAAGGAACGACATGATGAACGAGTGGATTTGCACAAAACATCACAAAGCCACAATGTGACTCTTCACCATCAACATCTGAGTCATGTTTGATAGAAAATCCTACATGCATAATAATGTAGGAAACCCTCTCCGACACTCAAATGAAAAATGCAATCAACCAGCCAAAGGATTTTGAATATGTTGAATGCCATCATCTTTCAACTTCGCAGAAAAATGGCTTCAAAAGTAGCACTGGCATGGAACCAGTGTGATTTGACGATTTTTGATATCTTCTTTTTCCATCCTCCCTGGATGAGATTCTTGGCCATGCCAAGCGCACGCCTTGACCAAGGCATCAGCTGCTTTGGAGGAGCCGATGAAGGCAAACATGTCCACCAAACCGGATTCCATGCATGGCCTTAGCTGGATTCCAAGCTGGATTCCCAGTTACTTAACCGGATTCCCAGAAAGGATTGAGTAACTGGGTACTGTCTGCGTGACATGTCATTGCCACAGTCAATTGAATCCTGTGTTTTCGCTTGGCAAGAAATGGCAAGGACAAATGACTTCGACTTAGACCCTCCAACTACCCAAACAATTGGTAAAAGTGCCAACAAATTCAGAAAATAAGGATGCAATAAATATCAATAAATTATCTTAATGTATATGACCCCATTTTTCTATAGGTACGACTGGACAGGGACAGCGGCCGTGTCAAAAAAACCCAGCGGCGGCATGGTGTCGCGACCACGGCCGGAGATGAAGTTCACCACCCCTGGAGGGAAGCATTCGGCATAAGCCTGGCCCACTCTCTGCATCGATTTGTTTTCGTTGCTTGGGAGTTCCGAAGCTATCCGAAGCCATCCAAGTCGTGAATGTCTGTTGACTGTTGTCTTCGGTCTTTAGTTTCCAAAGCTTTCCATGAGTTTCCTAACTCATGTTTCATTATGCAGAAAACCACGTTTTTTTGGTGGAAGTCATCAAACCATAATCTCAACATGGCAGAAAATCAAGCCTCAGTTTTCTGTGCTGGCCTCCATGGTCAAGAAGTGCGCCAAACCACCTGTGTTGGGCACCTTCATCACAATGGAATTGCCCATCAAAATGGCCTCGCTTCGTTGGGTGATCCAACCCCAGGGGCCCCAGCCCCTCGAGACATCACCTCCGCCCCTTCGTGGGGAACTGAGTGAAAGGCAGGAATCAGAGTGGCATAGGTTTCATTGAAGGGGTAGTTGGAAGGTCCCAGATTCATCATCACCTGGGAAGGCAGCTGGCTTTGATGGCAAATCTACCACGGAGCACCAGCGTGTGGTCTATGCTTTCATCCTATTCAACCCAGTTGCTTTAATCAAAAAGGAATCAGGCGTTTTGTTGATTTGGATGTTTTTTTGTTGTGTTCCTCTGTTGAAGCATTGTTCCATGCCACTCATTCACAATCTGTCTCAAACGCATACAGCTACAGCAGCAGCAGCAACAACAGCAGCAACAACAGCAACAACAGCAACAACAACAGCCACAACAACAACAACAGCCACAACAACAGCAACAACAACAGCAACACCAACAGCAACAACAACAACAACAACCACAACCACAACCACAACCACAACCAACAACCAACAACAACCAACAACCAACAACCAACAACCAACAACCAACAACAATCAACAACAACAACAACAGCAACAACAACAACAACAAAATTAAAAGATCCGCCACGGCCGCGCCCTAGCCGCTAGGGCTGGCACACCCATGGGTGACCTCTTCAAGATGGCATGAATGCCCTCCTGGAGCAAGTGCTGCAGCTATCAAAGTCTGACCGCAATTCAGAAGATTAGGAAGCAAATCATTTCCCATGACCCCAACAAACAAAATGGTGATTCAATGGGATTTCATGGTTTATTCCCAATGACTTATCAGTAAATGGGTGGTCAACACCACTCCTGGGTGTTTCTCATGGCTTCCCAGTGGCAGTGTTGGCAGTGCCTGGCAAATGGCTCCCCCTGAGTTGAGCTTGCGGGCGGTGTCGATCAAGGCCGAAACGAAATCCATGGTGCGGTCAAACTCCTTCGGTTCTCTGGAAGGATTGGCCACCCAGGAAAAAATATGAAAAAATTGATTGACACTTAAAGAAGCATGAAAACTGCTTGGAAGTTAGTCTGACCTTCACAGAAATTACCTACCCATTTTTTTTTGTTTATGTGTTCACATTTTTTACATATGCCTTACATATTCTTTACATACAAATTACACTGAAGTGCTTTGATATTCCAATATATTCCAGCTCACCTCACTCCATTAACCCAAGGGAACCAGTAAAGCACTAGTAAACCATCCTCGAATTTACCATACATGGCTGGTATAAAGTATAATGTATAAAGATGTATAAAGATGTATAAAGTACAAACCATCCAATTTTTTTGGGCGGATTATCACTATTGCTTTACATCCATATAACATCCATATACATCCATAGCATTATATCAATCTTTGAGCTTGTCTGAACATAGAGTACGGTGTACCCAAAAAAAACAAGTCCCGTGACTTATCAACTTATCATCATCGTCCCCCGTTGAAATGACCAAGTCTACCCCGTATTCCGTTACATCGAATTAATCACATCAGTGGTTGTATACCCCCTATGATATGAGTGTATCCCTTTAAAATCATCCAAACTGAATCCAAACTCCTTGGTCAAACGGTCATATTGTTGATACTTATATAATATATTATATTGTATTGTTTTATTGTATTATATTATATTATATTATGTTATGTTATATTATATTATATTATATTATATTAATATACTTATATAAATCATCAATTCCCTATTATATTGTTGATGATTGAATCACCACATCTTCGATATGTGATTGTTAAATCACCATTTTTCCTGGGGAAATCTCCAAGGCCTTGACAGAGTCGGCATCCTAAGCACAGGATTGCTCCATGAATGAACTGGGCGTTCAAAGGTGGGATTGGTTGGGCGTTCCATTTACTGCACAAACCAGCGTTTTTTGGGATCATTCATCATTATCCTCAATGAACTGCTTTAAAAGGTCCCAATTATTTTTGGGGTTCAATCCTGTTGCAGGAGGAATCAGCAGCAATCTTAGCCGCTAGGGGTGAGGAAATAGTCTTTTGGTTCACCTTCGCACCTTAAGTACTTTTGTCATCTGCTGGCGACGATGCAGCCAAAGGACGTTCTTGCAGATTTCCCACTGTAGAACCTGTTTTTGCGGGCGTGCTAACAGGGAACACGTTTGTAATGGAATCGAAAATCAGATGTCCAAGAAAATTCAATGGGAATTGAAAATCATCCAGAAAATGAATTGAACATGAAAGTCATCAGCAAGTTCCAGATTTAGTTTCAAATGATCTTACCACATTTAACCATTTGGTGCTGGTTCAGGCTGCCATGATCATTAACGCCACAGATTCGACATCTATGACACAGGTGGGATGGTTTCGATCTTGGCGGCAGGACATTGGACCGAAACTCCTGACTTTTTCAGCTGTTTCTCTGCCACATTGAAGTTAACACATCTGGTCCTGCCCCGACCTTCGCGATTTCCATGCGTTTTTCCTTCAACTTGGACACCAACTTCTCCACCTACACGCTGGAAAGATCGCCTCTTCTGAGCACAGTTTGTTCACAATTTCATGAACTCAACATGTTTCCATCCAAGCCTTATCATGGATTATTCACATGTGTCTGCTGTTCAGAAAAAAGATCGGCAAATCAGAACGTAATGCATATTTGCTGAGAGTAATCAAATAATGTTTTCTTTTGAAGACATAACATGTATATATAATATTATAATCATGACGTTTGGAATCAGTTCATCTTAACGACATCATATATTCATCTGGAATCGACATCTCTTCGTGTCAACAACATGAACAATAATACTGGAAAACAAACCAAATATAATGTTGATAAACATCGAAGAAAAAACACGATTTGAAACCAGCAAAATACATAATCATGATTGCACACCCAAAAACTGCCACCTAATTACATGAACAATATTGAAACTGGAAACTTATTCAAACATTTCTGCATACCTGTTACATTACATGGCCACAATTGAAATATTGAAACCGGTCCTTTTGAGAGCACGAGGATTAACCCGTTATTTTTTTGATTTGTTTTTTGTTGAGATGTCTGGTCCCAAAGGAATGGATACCTGAATTTGTTTGGATTTGTCTGAAGATGGATGGATACCCCTCAAATGGCCAGAAACAAATTGGAAACCTTGGAAAAAACATGTGATGTGCGTTTTTCCCCACCAACTGTTCAGGAACCGAGCCCAATTCATGGCCAAGTCGTGTTGTTTCTCAAGTGAGCATTGTTCAAAGCCCTTGCTGGTTGATGATTAATTAGTTTCGTGATTATCGAAGGAAGTTTGGAAGTCAAACTTCCGACAATATGGACAGATGAAAAGCAGAGATGGGAAGAGTCAGAGAAGAGAAGAGAAGAGGAGAGGAAGAGAAAGAGCGAGAAGAAAGAATGTCCAGGTGCGCGAAAAGGTAGGAAAGTCGCGAAACACTGTGTTTTTCCCATGATTTGTGGCTCCGGAGGCTCGAAAAGTACGCTTTCTAAAGCAGCGGGTGCGGAGCCAGCTGGCCAGATGAGAGATGAAAAATTGCACGCCGTTGTGGCGCGAAGCACATTTCCAAGTCAAAATATACAAAACACCGCATGTTCGGACCACGTTTGGAAGTTGAGATGTCGAAAGAGTACGCAGTTGTGGCGCGAAGCACATTTCGAAGTCAATAGTGTAAAAACTGACGGGTCCGGATCACTTTTTGAAGATGAGATGTCGAAAAAGTGTACGCCGTTGCGGCGCAAAGCACATTTCGAAGTCAAAATATGCAAAACACCACACATGCTCGCGCCACTTTTGGACGTTGAAGCGTCGTTTTGCGTGGCAGGCGCAAGGGATTGTGCACCTAGTCAAAAGTGAGCAAAACGTGCGGGCTTTGTAGCATTTCCAAAAACGATGGCGGGCATGGGACATTTGAAGAGGATCTGCAAAGATGCATTTTCCGTGGCAGGCGCAGTACAAGAGACATGTTCATCAGAGCTGTTAAGAGGTCCGGACGCTGATGTCCTGAGAAGGGTTGCATATTGGAACATCAGATCTTCAGGTTTGCTGAGATGATTTTGCGTGACAGGTGCAGCACTTCGTCGACCTGGCATCACTTTTTCGTGGCAGGCGCAGTACTTTAGACAGGTGGAGTGGAAAAATCGCAAAACGCATTGCTACGAGGCCGTCAGCTCTGCACTCAACTTTCAATTTTTGAAGGAAGTCTCGCTGAATTGTTTCGTGTTTAATGTTGTCAACTTCAAAAATTGAGGAAATCTGGCAGACTTGTTTCGTTTTTGATGTTGTCAAGTTCAAAAATTGAGGAAGTCTCGCAGAATTGTTCCGTGTTTGACTTTGTCATGTTCAAAAAGCTGAGAAAGTCTCGCGCAATAGCTAGATAGACAGACAGACAAACAGATAGATAGATAGAAAGATAGATAGATAGATAGATAATGATAGATAGAAAGACAGACAAGTACAACTACAACTACAACTACCACTACACTACACTACTGCTACAGCTACAAATACAAATATTAATGTACTACGCTACATTACACTACACTAATTGCACTACACTACTCTAATTACATCTAATTACACTACACTACACGGATTACACTAACAACTACAGCATCAACTACTTCCACAACTACAACTACAATTACAACTACACTACACTAATTACACTGCAGCACGCTACAAATACAAATACAACTACAACTACAAACACACTACATTACACAACACTACGCTACACTGATTACATTGCATTACACTACAACTACAGTTGCAGCTGCAACTACAACTACCACTACATTACAGTACACTACGCTGTGACTACACATACTACACTACACGACATGACACGACACTACACTAATTACACTGCGCTACGCTACAACTACAACTACACTACCTTACACTAGACTACACTACACTATACCACACTACGCTACACAACACTACACGACATTACACTGCACTAAGCTACACTAATTACACCACACCACGACTACAACTGCAACTGCGCTTGCCAATAAACTAATTACACCACATTTCAGCTACAGCTCCACTACACTACACTACAACTACAGCTACAACTGCAGCTACAACTGCACTACACCACACTACATCCAGCAGTTGTGGTAAGGTGACCACTGCAACCATTGCATCCATTCCACAGAGCACAACTCCAACCACCTGTCGGTCCATCAGTGGATTCGCTCTGCCATCCGTGATTCACAACAACCAACCTCTCCTATAGGTTTCCTATTCTTGAAACTTCCGCCACCGTCTTGTGGTGTACTACTGGTACTTAACTATCCTGTACATATTGGGGACTATCGTAATCCATTAGGGAAATCAAAACTGATTGACCAGCGAAATCTTAAAAATAATGAACTATCATCCTACCATGTATCATCGGATGATAATGATGCTAACATATCCATGAAATGGGAACCTCAACTTTTATGATAATTCAATGAAACCATGTAAGAATGTATCGGGTAGTATACTCTCATACATAATGCAGCCCCCTGAAGTGATGCTTGTCGGTTTAGTTTCACCCCATGAACTGGTTCGATATATCTACGTACCAGAAACCAAAGTTTTTTTATTATCCCAAAAACAAACTAACAATCCCATATAATCCCATCTATTCATCCATCTGACCAGGGGATATGTGGCATTATTATCCCAACTACTGGGCTATACGGGATCGTAAATTGGATTATCTATTGTTATTGTTACTATTGATATTAACCAACATTTATAATCTAACAACATCCAATAATTCCATATAGTCCCATATAATCCCGTATAAACCCAATGTCTGGAGAAGACCAAAGCAGAACAAAAAGAACACATCGCCGGCCGCGGAGATTCGCTGCTGTAGCGTCCTTTGGGGCCATTCGCCACGGCCCAAGTCCCAGGCCTTGGAGAAGATGGGATGGTTAATGGGATAATCATGGGAGAATACTGGGATAATAGGATAACAATGGTCATTATTGAAGTATGAATAATCCAACAACAGGGATAGCCGACATTGTTATTAATTGGAATTGTTATTAACCAACCAACATGATTTTTTAAGATTAAAGATGAGATAATACTGAGATGATGGGATAGTGGGACAAGACTGGAATTTTGACATGAACATTTGGGGGGTTCCGTTTTGTCATGGTACCCTCAAATCATCCAAGTCATGAATGACTATACATCTCAGCATTGAAAGCTATGGTTTTTGGGGATCCCCCTTCTTAAAACACAGTCATTTGGGGCTTTCCATGGGTCCTGACTGGATTTTGATTTGATGATATTTAAGGGCCATTTCATGGATATTGATGGGTATTTCATGCGTATCTACCGCAATGATCTAATGGATTTTCATGGGCGTGTTTGTGATAGAAGATTTCTGTAATGCGGAGTTCAATGGGAATATCGTATGTCGATTTATTTTTGGTGATTTACTGGTGATGCTGATTTCTGGTATATGGAGACAAAACTTGATAATGTCCATGACTGATAAAACATGGATTGATTTAAGGAAACATGTGCGGAGAACCGTGGTTTTCCCAGCATTTTTTGTGGGTGTGCAAGGCATACATAATCTAGATAATTCATACCCTGTGTAATTGCGATCTATTTTGAATCACCTAGCGGGTTCCAGCCATCAATCGCAATATGACCTATCGTAGTAAGAGAGAAAGGTTTCACTGATTTTCAATGGCATCATACATCAACATGTTGTGCAAATTACAGTGCGTACATCATCATCGAAAAGTGCCTGGCTCCACATTCTGCAACAGAAATGAAACATGATTGATCGTCACATATTCACCATTTTCCCCATTCGCAACCAAAAATGAAGTACAATGGATAACTCAACTCAGCTTGGGTAAACCCACAAATTGATATCTATTATATATGCAATATGCATATAAGTGTGTCTGTGCGTCTCGAATCGGGTAACTTTCAACATTTAGTGGCTTGATTATTGGGTAATCCCAAAAAAGAAAACTCCATGAAAGTACAAATGATCCTGCTCAATATTCGCTAGGGTCAAAACATGGTATATGGTCTTTGGTCGTCCTTCCCACGGGCATCCTGAAAATGGGTATCATGTAAAAATCCCCATTAATGGATTGATGACCATCCCCTTTTATTGAGCACAGCTGTGGAAAATCACCACTTTGAATAGGTAAGTCATCTATAAATGGGCCATTTGCCATAGCTTTCCATAGCTATGTTAAATTACTAGAGGGCAAATCCCAATAAAATCCCATTAAAACCCATTAAATTCCATTAAATCCGACTGGAAATCCAGTTGAAATCCCTCAATCGCGCACCTTCGAGGCAGCCTGCACCGCTTCCATCGCCTCCTTTGGAGACATCGTGGCCTGTCTGCCTGGCCGATGGTCATCAAGTACCTCCCAAGTGATTGTTATTAATAATCTCCATTAATTTTGGTAAACGAAAATAATGGAAGATAATAATCCTGTTCCCTGTTTCGGAGGTTTTGGAGCCTTTGGGGGCCCACAGTCTCACTTTCTTCAATATCTTAATGCATTCCTTGGGTGACGTTTGGCATCCTGGCTCTGGGGTTCCCTGTTTCGGAGGTTTTGGAGCCGTTGGGGGCCCACAGTCAGTCTTTCTTCAGTATCTTAATGCATTCCTTGGGTGACGTTTGGCATCCTGGCTCTGGGGTTCCCTGTTTCGGAGGTTTTGGAGCCGTTGGGGGCCCACAATCAGTCTTTCTTCGGTATCTTAATGCATTCCTTGGGGGTTCCCTGTTTCGGAGGTTTTGCGGCCTTTGGGGGCCCACAGCCTCACTTTCTTCAGTATCTTAATGCATTCCTTGGGTGACGTTTGGCATCCTGGCTCTGGGGTTCCCTGTTTCGGAGGTTTTGGAGCCTTTGGGGGCCCACAGTCTCACTTTCTTCAATATTTTAATGCATTCCTTGGGTGACGTTTGGCATCCTGGCTCTGGGGTTCCCTGTTTCGGAGGTTTTGGGGCGTTTGGGGGCCCACAGTCTCACTTTCTTCAGTATCTTAATGCATTCCTTGGGTGACGTTTGGCATCCTGGCTCTGGGGTTCCCTGTAAGTTTGGGTGAATAGTAAATGAAAGATAATAATCCTCCAATAGTGATGGTAAACAATCTATTAATGGATCTTAAGATAACATCATTCCTCCAATAATGTGGTAAACCCAACAATGGGATTAGTAACGGGTAGTACTGCAATGGGATTATGTTGGAGATGGTTTAAATAAACCCAATAAAGACTATGGGGATTGATGGTGATTTTGGTGAATTATGGTATACCCAAAAATAAACAATCGCAAGAATAACCATAATTTGGGAGATGTCCGTGATAGTAATGGTGATTAATTAATAATGATAATAATGGTACCTTATCGAATTTTAGTGATAATAATGGTGATTGATACTGTTTAATCACTAGTGAAATGGTAATTGATTGATGGTGACTAATAATAGTGATTAATGATGATTTATTAATGGAACTACCCTCCGGAGTCATCAAACGTGGCTGGCTGCAAATTCCCCGAACTAAATGCAAGTTTTGGGCTAAGAAATTGATCTATCAATGGTGGATGTTCAATTGCCAGGTCTGATAACCGGAGGGTATATTGACAAATATCGGCAAATGATGCATTAAAAAATGAAATCAAAATCGATCAATATTGATAAATATTGTCCCATTGGTGGTGACACCCAGTTTATGCTTGTTGGTTTAGTTTCACCCCATTATATAACTATAACTAGTTCGATATACCTACTATAAGCCCAACAGGTGTATTGGATGCAAGCAACTTGGCGAACTATGGGGCACCACGTTGTAATACAGATAAGATGGGACAATTGGAATGATAAAATCTATAAATAATGAAATATGAATCAACACTAATATGGGTGAATTTTCCATATCAAGAATCAGGATGTTCCTTCATAGGAAACATGAAATGAACAAACTGTATTTGGAATTCAATTGAAGCAGACAAGCAAACAACCCCGGCTGGCTGAAGTGACCCCCAGGCGGTACTGCAGAAGGAAGCCAAGGAGATGTTGAGGAAGACTTGAATAACCACTCATAACAATCTTTGCGATTCTGTTTTAAGTGTGTTTTAGCGCATACATGGGCAATAGACAAATCGCTGAGATACAAGCTTGGTTCGATGAACATGATGGTCCCCGTACTTCATCTCGAAGTGAATTTGGCCAAGACTGAGTATCCCATTTTATGCCACTTGATTTGGGCAAATGATTAAAAATGAAAGGATTTGAGACTATTTGTTCAAAACGCACACACCCAAGATCATATGAGTTGGTCAGCAAGATCCCACAGTTTTAAATAAATCTATAAATATATATATATATTAAGAACAACAATAATAATAATGATATGTATAATATATATATATATATGTTTATCGTAACATTTCACATATCACTATGAAATGGTTGGCGGTGTGTATATCCCATAGATATCCCTAGTGCCCTAGTGCCCCAGGGCGCCTATGCAAATCCTATCGCCTGTCTCTTGGCAGTAGATGGGAGAGAAAATTTCTGAGATCCCAGCCCAAGGTTTGACCTCGCGACATGCAGGACATGCAGCCCTCGTAGAGAACATGTTGCAGATCTTGGGAAAGGGGGAAGCCTCGAAAAATGGAGATGCAAAAAAAATCAGCAGCATGTCAACAACGGGGATTTCAACAGTTCATGAATTTAACGGATTTGGGTGTGTGCGAAAATGGTGTATTTACCACCGAAAATGGCAAATGTTTAGGGAAAACCATGAACAACCATCGGATCAACCATCGGAGTATGGCTCAACCGAACCCGTGACCAAGGCCATTCTCTGCTTAACGCTTGACATGACTCAATGACAATGAGATCACTCCAGTATCCTCAATGGAACTGCAGCCAAATTGTCACTGATTGCTGGTTTTAGTCCATCCCAAAAGATCCCATATATATATAATATAAATATATATATATATCATAGATACCTGTCAGCTAAAATTGAGATCATGATCATCACCCCAAGTCTGAACAAAAGTATTGGATTGGATCAATTGGCTGCATCATCAGAATATATCACAATATGTAAGCATCATCCCTTGAATATGGCTCAAAAAAATCAACATCGGCAGTTTTCCTGAAACTGTCAGGTCCCAGCCTGTCCACCAATCAGTGTCTTGGCGCCATCCACAAAAGGTCGGGTCTTAAAGGCCTGTAACCATCGGAAATTTGGGTAGAGAAGCAACCACCATAAAGGGATCCTGTGGGATACAATGGTCTTTGATGGGATGTATAATTATGGGATAGATAAAATGGTCTATAACCAACAGTTTGACACAAAATGATACAGATATTAATCATATACCAGTAGTGCCGCACAAGGCGGTGGCGGGAGTTTCAAAGATAGGACACTATAGGAGAGGTGAGCTGCTGTGATGCACGGATGGCAAAGCGAATCCATTGATGGACGAAAAGCTGGTTGAAGTTGTGCTTTTTGGAGTGGTTGCAGTGGTCACCTCAACCGCAAATGCTGGATGTAGTGTGGTGTAGAGTGTAGTGCAAAGTACTATTTGTAGTTGCAGTTGCAGTTGTGGTGGTAGTTGTTTTGTAGTGTGCTGTTTTGTAGTGTAGTTGTAGCTGTAGTTGACTTAGTGTAGTTGTAATGTTGTAGTTGTAGCTGTAGCTGTAGTAGCCGCTGTAGCTGTAGTTGTAGCTGCAGCTGTAGTTGTAGTGTAGTGGTGGTGAAGTGTGGTGACGTGTGGCGCAGTGGAGTGTAGTGTAGCGTAGTGTAGCGGAATTGTAGTGCACTGTAGTGTAGTTGAAGCCGCAGCTGTGGCTGATGCTGTTGTAATTGCAATGTTGTAGTTGTAGCTGTAGTAGTTGCAGTAGTTGCAGTAGTTGCAGTAGTTGCAGTAGTAGTAGTAGTAGTAGCAGTAGTAGCAGTAGTAGTAGTAGTGGTGGTGGTGGTGGGGGTAGTGGTAGTGGTAGTGGTAGTCGTAGTAGGTGGTAGGTAGTAGGTGGTAGGTGGTAGGTAGTAGGTGGTAGGTAGTAGGTGGTAGGTAGTAGGTGGTAGGTGGTAGGTAGTAGGTGGTAGGTAGTAGGTGGTAGGTAGTAGGTGGTAGGTGGTAGGTGGTAGGTGGTAGGTAGTAGGTGGTAGGTGGTAGGTGGTAGGTGGTAGGTGGTAGGTGGTAGGTGGTAGGTGGTAGGTAGTAGGTAGTAGGTAGTAGGTAGTAGGTAGTAGGTAGTAGGTAGTAGGTAGTAGGTAGTAGGTAGTAGGTGGTAGGTGGTAGGTGGTAGGTGGTAGGTGGTAGGTGGTAGGTGGTAGGTGGTAGGTGGTAGGTGGTAGGTGGTAGGTGGTAGGTGGTAGGTGGTAGGTGGTAGGTGGTAGGTGGTAGGTGGTAGGTGGTAGGTGGTAGGCGGTAGGTGGTAGGTGGTAGGTGGTAGGTGGTAGGTGGTAGGTAGTAGGTGGTAGGTGGTAGGTGGTAGGTGGTAGGTGGTAGGTGGTAGGTGGTAGGTGGTAGGTGGTAGGTGGTAGGTGGTAGGTGGTAGGTGGTAGGTGGTAGGTGGTAGGTGGTAGGTGGTAGGTGGTAGGTGGTAGGTGGTAGGTGGTAGGTAGCAGGTAGCAGGTAGCAGGTAGCAGGTAGCAGGTAGCAGGTAGCAGGTAGCAGGTAGCAGGTAGCGGGTAGGAGGTAGGAGGTAGTAGGTAGTAGGTAGTAGGTAGTAGGTAGTAGTAGGTAGTAGTAGGTAGTAGTAGGTAGTAGTAGGTAGTAGTAGGTAGTAGTAGGTAGTAGTAGGTAGTAGTAGGTAGTAGTAGTTAGTAGGAGTTAGTAGGAGTTAGTAGGAGTTAGTAGGAGTTAGTAGGAGTTAGTAGTAGTTAGTAGTAGTAAGTAGTAGTAAGTAGTAGTAAGTAGTAGTAAGTAGTAGTTAGTAGTAGTTAGTAGTAGTTAGTAGTAGTTAGTAGTAGTTAGTAGTAGTTAGTAGTAGTTAGTAGTAGTTAGTAGAAGTTAGTAGAAGTTAGTAGTAGTTAGTAGTAGTTAGTAGTAGTTAGTAGTAGTTAGTAGTAGTTAGTAGTAGTTAGTAGTAGTTAGTAGTAGTTAGTAGTAGTTAGTAGTAGGTAGTAGTAGGTAGTAGTAGGTAGTAGTAGGTAGTAGTAGGTAGTAGTAGGTAGTAGTAGGTAGTAGTAGTAGTAGTAGTAGTAGTAGTAGTAGTAGTAGTAGTAGTAGTAGTAGTAGTAGTAGTAGTAGTAGTAGTAGTAGTAGTAGTAGTAGTCGTAGTAGTAGTAGTAGTTGTTGTTGTTGTTGCTGTTGTTGTTGTGGTTGTCGTTGTCGTTGTCGTGTAATGTAGCGCGGTTGAAAGCCCAAACGTGGTCCGAACGTGCTGTGTTTTGCACATGTTCACTTCGAAATGTGCTTCGCGCAAAAACGACATGCATTTTTTCGACATCTCAACTTCCAACAGTGCTCCGTTCCCATCAGTTTTTTGCACTTTTGACTTCGAAATGTGCTTCGCGCCACAACTGCGTGCACTCCTTCGACGTCTCAACTTCCAACAGTGCTCCGAACATGAGGTGCTTTGCGCAGTTTGACTTGGAAATGTGCTTCGCGCCACAACTGCGTGCACTCTTTCCACATCTCAACTTCCAAAAGTGCTCCGGGCATGAGATGCTTTGCAAAGTTTGACTTGGAAATGTGTTTCGCGCCACAAGTGCGTGCACTTTGTCGACATCTCAACTTCTAAAAGTGGTCCGAACATGTAGTGTTTTTAACGTTGTGACTTCGGAATGTGATTCGCGCCACAACGGCGTGCACTTTTCCATCTCTCATCTGGCCAAATGTCTCCGCACCCTTTCTTCTCTCTTTCTTCTTTTCTCTTCTTCACCCTTTCACCTGCATCTTCTTTCTTCTGACTCTTTCTCTTCTCTGATCTTCTCTCTTCTTCTCGTCTCTTCTCTGACTCTTCCCACCTCTGCTTTTCCATCTGTCCAGATTGTCGGAAGTTTGACTTCTAAACTTCCTTCGATCATGTACCGTACTTCATACCTCAAATTAGGACAAATGTGATAGGGAAAAATGCTGATAAACCAGACGATTTTAGGGTTCTGGATTTCGCACGAAGCCATGGTATTTGTCACAGAATAGCTTTGTACGGGAAAATTTCAACATCTTGACATCGTGACCTTCCAGCATACAAAAATCCTTCTCAACATCTTTCCAAACCATCCCCCAGTCTCAACGCCTCGCTGTCTTGGGACACTTCGGGCTTTCCGATACTCATCATTTCCCTAGCACGTCTGGGGCGATACCCCGGCGTCTGAAGACCTGCAGATGCTGAGCCCAAATAGCACGGCATGGCTGGACCCACCTGACAATTCTTGTCTGCTGACTGGCGTATGAATTTTCAGCCTCCAGGCAGTCATATCTATCATCTTTATATTGTGTCAACCCTTCAAGATATTCAGGTTTATCTTCGGACACTCCCAAATGTGATGCTTGATCAGTGACTTGATCAGCATTTTCCGATTACAAACTGTCAATGAACATAGGTCACACTACCCATTTTCAAGGCATCGCCTTTTCCAAGGTCTTTGTGCCGGGTCGCCGCAACGACACGCTGTCAACCCAGAGCTGTACAGTGGGACAGCGACGGGACACCGGCGTCTCACCCATCTAACTCCACGGTTTGGCCACCAAGCCTCTTGGGTGAAGGGCTGTGTCTTAGTTTCAACATGACTTCCTCTAGTTCATTCATTTGTGGGCTATACATGGCTATAGATATTTGGAACTAAAGATAAATAGGTGTTCAAATGACTTGTGGGTTAAAAATGGCTATAGTTGATATCTCAAAATCGCATTCTCAAAAAAGAAACGCATCAAAAACCGCACTGGGATCATCAGGCTGGGGTGGTTTCCCCTGGATCAAACATGGCTGGGAACTCCCCGAACTACGGTAAATTGACATAGAGATCATAGAGGTTTGAAGTTTGAACGCAAACATTATAAATGGCCACTATCAATGGAGGTTTTAATGGGAAAATCCACTGTAAATAAAGGTTTTAATTGGAACATCCACCATAAATGGAGGTTTAATGGGGGGAACTTTCCAGCACGCCATGTTTGATCAGCACAGGGTGCATGCAATTCGTGCAGACGTGTAGCATGATTCGTGCAGACGTGTAGCATGAGAACGCCTCCATTGTAGCATCCAAACTTCAGAACTGTGAAAATGCACAACACAACTGTGAAATGAAACGGTACCTGCAAGGTAAAGACTTGTAGTTTTGACAGATTGCACAAGCACGAACAACAGGTAATTGTATCAATGTAGAATTAAACACAGATATTTCAACACAACATGATATCGTTTATTTACTCTGTGCTGAATTCCTGTCATTAAATCAACCTTATGTTTCAACAGCAAACTCTTAGATTACCAGAGGATACACTTTAAACAAAACAGACAGGTCCAGATGATTGACGCCTTTCCTCGTGCAGGAAAGCACTTTGTGCACCTGGCCATGGTGAGTCCCTGAGCTTCCAACTTGGAGAAGGCTTCCATGCGAGCCCTTTGGTCCTCATGCTCTCTGCTGATCCTCAGGTCGGTCTTGGAGGTCTAAAGATTGAATATGGGAAGATTGAAGATATTTATGTATTAGCCCCCAATATTTTATAGATTTAGTAATCAAGGTATATAGAGATGTAAACATAGATGTAATGGATATATTCTAGATGATATACCTCATCCATGTTTTGCAACATGATGGTACAAACCATGGGATGAACACTACGTAACCAAAAAGGTTGGAAACATGACACTCAGATTGCTATTTGGTTCATCACGATTACGATTGTGTGGTGAATTCCCATTCTATGCCTATTTTCTCTCCCCATGCTTGCGTGTAAATTCCATTAAATTCCTATTGCATACCATGGTATCAGCGTACAAATATCATTTGGTGGGGTCCCTCATCTTCGTACTTTCTTGTCGGAGATCGTTTTCCAAAGTTTTCCCAGTACGTCATCGTCATACATGAGATACCAATGGTTCTCATATTATCTCCCCATAATCAAGGACAAACTCACACCATTCCAAGCGTTTTGAATTGTCGTAAACTTCGCGCCTCTCTGCATCGCCGCCCTGTTGTCGCCGCATGATGAGATCGGCCACCTAATCCAGGATGGAACAGAAATCACAGGGGAAAATTTACTGGGATCACTTGTTTCTGGATGGCAATGGGAGATGTAATGGGTGATGAAATATTCAATGGGACATATTCATTGATTATTGTCATAATCATAATCAATATTTGTTTTCCAATTTTATTGGCTATCAAGTCGTGGGAATGGAGAATCGAATTGGACATTTCATGGGTGATTATGCCCAATACTGGGTAATCACCAGCTGGCATAGTTACATTATGTTACATTATCAACCATTGAAATTACCCTTTATAATAGGTGAGAATTAAAAAAACACTGACTGGGTGATGCAAACAACAATTATGGGAATAAAATGACGATTAAATCTCTTACAGTTAGGGTGTTGGCCCTGTCATGTTGGTCACATTTCGGGGTTACGGCAAGAAAGAATCCATACGTAGCTAGTGATCACACATTCATTACTAACCACAATGCTGGTAACAGCCATTGAATCACCAAGTATTATCATTCCAGGTTATGACTAACAGTTCGCCATGGAAAATCACAATGCTATTAATAGGTAAACCATCTATAAATTGGCCATCCATACCATGGCAATGTTAGTCATAACCAGAGGGTATATATGATTCCCATCTACCCAACTTTGACGACGCTGCCATGAGTTGGGAATTTCTCCAGGCAATTCCAAGCGAAAAAAAAACCGGGGATGGTATAGAAGTGATGTTTTCGTTGGTTGACATTGTGGAAACTCGGGTGAAATATGGTGAAATCATGAAACCAAAATGATCAACTGATGTTTTGTTCACAAGAAAATGACGGAAACTCGACAAGCAACTGATTGAAACTTCAGAAATGATGTCAATGTTTCTCTTCATTTTTCCCAGTGATTAAGACCCAACTGTCAACATCTAGACTTTCCAGTGATTAAATATGTCCCGCGCTGTCATTCACTTTTTGCACATGTTTTGGGCAATCCAACCAGTTCAAACCAAAAGGATTAATTCAGAATTGTTCATGACCCAAGTGAATCCCAATCTCGCAGTCTTTTGGCCTGATGCCTTGTGAACTGCTGTCCCAAGTCTGTTCCACCAATACGTTCGTGGAGGGGTTGGACATTCCTTTGACTTCTACCGAAGGTGTCCTCACTCAAGAACTTCAAAAACTTGAGGAGATGGTTCTGGGTAAAATGGATGTGTGCTTTCAACATGGTATGTTCAATTGGTGGACAGGGCTTGGATCAACTAATGTCATATGTTCTCATGAATCCCAAAGGGTATTCAATATATTGATATATTATATTGTCATGCTTTGCATTCATATCAAAATATGGATCCAAAAATGCCAGGGTCTGCAATTTTCATTAGGCTCTTTTTTCTGAGTTTGGGCTTCAAAATTTCAGGCCCCAGGGGCCCTCCAAAAGAATACCACGGTGGAAGTTTGAGGTACGGAGGGCACCCCCGCCTCCTTGCGACTGATGGGCCGTTCAATCCCTGTGCCCCTGCAGGCTGGGCGACATTAGTTGGGATATGTCCGGACATATGTTAGGACATATCTTAGGACATGTTAGGATATACCCATATGCTCAATGTATGGAATATTTACCAACATTTGCCCTAAACATCACCCAAATGTAGGTAAATATACCATACATGGAGCATATGGGACATTGTGTTAGGATGTTACGACGTTCGAAATCCCTTGTGAGTCGTGATCAGGAAAACATCACCCGAAACAAGACGTCAAAGGAGTAAGTATATGGCTGCGTCCAAGAATATTGAGTCTACCCAACACTAATCAAAATATGATTTAGAGACGACATTAAAATTCAATTGAAAAAACATTTTCTGCACTATACAACATCTTTGGACAAACCCAAAGATGTGCGTTCATCGCTTAAAACCGAGCCACGCCCCCGAGCCACGCCCCGTCCTGTTCACGCAGGAGACCACAAAACTGCCCAGGGATTTGTAGCCTGACCAACATTAACCCCTGAAATTGGCCAACTTTAGGCAGAACCATGGAGCAGAGTCTTGGTATGTCTTGGTGACACACAAAAAAACATGACAAAGAATCACTCTGCAACACAACATGCACACATTTCTCCTTTACTGCACACTGAACAATCGCAACTTGCACCTGCAGCAAACTCTTCTTTTCCGCGTGGTAGTCTTGTCGAGGTTTGTTCGGCTTCAGCGTTTTTTTTGGAAAATGCCCGGTGCTCCCTGTGGTCCGCTCACAAGTCCATGAATTTGTGGCCAGAGATTTTCTTGAAATCCGCCATGTCTATGAGCTGCTGACGGGACACCACTGCAATGTCTTGTGTCAAGTTGTGGTCTGCCAAATAGACGGGCAAAATGGGCTGATCGCGCTGCATCTCATGACTTTTCTGATAGACCTTGTCAAAGGCATCCTTCACCTGGTCAAATCACAAAGTTATACAAAGGAGGCAAATATTCCTGCTTGCATGTGCATCTCATTTTTCTAGTGGTTTACACTTCAATTCGCTTACAAACCACGTATTGACTGGAGAAGACTGGATAAAGCCAAACATACTGAATATTACCTGGGATGCACATCCACCTCATAGATTCACAGTGTCATAACATTCATAGAATGTCATGACTGTCAAACTAAAATTGCGTGGTCCCTTTCCGCGCCTGGGCCGCTTTTTTGTGTTGTAGATTGCGGATCATCACGTTCAACTTGTAGAAGTGCGGCATCGACATCTGCTTCTTCTTGATCTTTGCCATGACAAAGTCCCTCCAGGATTTCATCTTGTCCAAGGAGGTGGAAATCTTTTCCTGAATTTCTGAACGATATGCTGATGCTTGGAAAAAACACCAGGATTTTTCATGGGATAAACCAGCTTCAATATGATGCGATATTAATCCATATTAATCCAACTGATATTTCACTAACCAGTTATATATCCAATTTGGGTGTCTGAACATGAGGGTTCCCCCTAAAATCTGTGTTTCAGACATGGAAAATTACTCTACCAATCAACAAAAACTGTATTCTCTTTCATTTTCTGTTGAGGAGTTGACGTGGAGACCTCCAAAATGAGGTCCCATTCCCTAGTGAAGTACTGTGAGTAAAGCACTGTGAGTGAACCACTGATCCTAAAAAAGAAACGAGAACATGTTCCAATGTTCATACCACTACATATTAGGTATCTTCTTCCTGAAGGAAATACCTTATAACATTTATAACTTGATACATATATATATAGTTTCTACAGAGATGCGGCCGATTAGAAAATCCAATTTACAGCTGGCTCCTGATCACCACAATAGTAAGCTGACCACTTGTTGGAGAGTCTTCTATCTAGTGTCCAAAGAACTGTAGTTTCCAAAATCTATCTTGCAGAGATAGTGTTTTCTAATAATGCTTCGAGAATTCAACACTTCGGTTCTTATTCTTGCTGTTTAGATTAGATGTAGAATTCGGTGAAGAACTCGCCCCAATGCAAAAACACCTATACTTGATATGGGGGCAGGGGGGGACCATCCATGGACATACAGTACTTGTTATTTCTAAGGTGTACTTGTTAGTTATTGTTCTTATAATTGAATTTATCAATATTATATATATATAAATCCTGTTAAAAGATACTGCATCAAGAACATTCAAGAACCATACAACTCCTGTGCTCACGTTTTCATCATAATTCGTTAGCAACATTTAGCAACTCCAAACTGCCAAGATTCTGGAGTTAGCAGTGGAGCCTGATTGATGTAAAAGCCAGTGCTGTGTTTGAAGCACTCTATTCCACGACCTTCTCCACAACACTGAGGATACTCATAGCAATAGTCCAGCAAGACCAACGCCGATTCTTGCCTTGCCCGCAAGAAAGTGGCCATTCTCTCCAAATTCATTCGGATATTGGCATCGTGGTGGATCAACCAATCAAATTTCTTGCCGTCAGTCAGGAAGCTGGGTGCTTGGAATTTCAGTTTCTTAGTTGTGAGCCTGAGTGCATTGATGTACTTGGTTCCTTCAACCATTTTGTATGGCTGAATTGTCCAGCCATTCTCTTGCCACTTCTCCAATGCTCTCTTATTCTTCTTCATGGTTTCCTCATCCAGGAAGTAGAATGCCTTCATCCCTGTGGGAACACGGGCGATGTTGTCCATTCTCACAGCATCATAGCCTCCGATGTTCTCGGTGTAGACAGCAAGGCGCAAGCTGTCGGAGCTTCGCAACGTGTCACGATGGAGCCCATTTTCAAAGGCTCCCACCATCGGATCGAAAATGGGCCGGCCTTCAACTCCTTAGATTTAAGCTTAAGGGACCTCAACAAAAAATACGCAATATATGATATATATATATATGTATATATATATGTATAAGAATCCTGTAGATCCTATAGTCGAGGTGGATTTCTGATCATAAACCATAACTCACCTTACGCAAAGCCAGGAATCGGTTCTCAGAGTTGGCCTGTAACAAAGAAGTGGGATCTTCATGACATTCTGCTTGGGCGGCATCTGACAGGGCCCAGCAGCAAATCAAGGGCAGATAAATTGAGCGCATGGACGTTGTTGTCGGTCGACACGGCTAGTACGGTCTCAAATCTTGAGCAAAACAGGAGAGGAGGTCATTCTCACGATCAGAAGTTTTTTCAGAAGTCGGCCCAATTTAATTGGACTGACAGTGACTGACCCATAAACCAACTGACCCAAGCATCCCAAACATGGGAAGACACCCATTTTTTGGGGAGGGGAAAGCCATCATGTTCAAAACCATTGTTGAACTGGTCCAATTCGGGTCCGCTGCCCCCGGCTCAAGCCAACGAGCAGCTGACCGCCTAAGAGAGCACGGGCAGCGCGGTTCGGTTCCTTCTGGCTGGTCAGGAAGTTGTCGTCAAAAAATAGACGCCTTGGCAAAAAATCGCCAAGGGACCTCTGAAAAAAAAACTACTGTAAATGATATATATATATAATGTGTGTATCATATACGAAATATCATCATCATTATCTACGAAAGCATGGTTTACACAGGAGGTACTGAATATATCTGAAATTTAAGAGGATGAAATTACAAGAGTCAGCTGCTTCAGGTAGCTCTAGCCTTCACCAAAAGGTTCAACTCTTAGCTCTTAGTGATGCGAAGCTAAGCCGTGCATGTCTGAAGAAAACCACTATCCTATATCATATCCTATCACATCCATATCCTATCACACTAGTTGACTATAGTGGATCAAAAATCCAGAGTCTAAGATTTAAGATTGACTACTAACAATCCCATTCCCATTTATATATTATCCATTATTATCCTGTGAGACTAGTTGGTTGACAGAATCATCAATTGTTGTCCTTGTTGGAAACAGTCAACTGTCGCAGTAGCCATCGGCTGCCAATGATCTCGGGGCCCCCTCCATAGATCGTCGCTGCCACCCCCAGGATTGTATCCTATGAGGGGGTAAATGTCGTAAAATTTGCAGCTCTTTCTAGCTACCAATACTTGAAATGTTATCCAATGACTTGAAATCGGCAATCACACCAGGTGTTCACAAAAGGATACAAAACGCGCATCGCGAAACACTGCACCACTAGAAGCCAACTCTGCTCCTGGAATGAATGACGAAGTAACCTGAGACCCATCAGAGGTGCATCAATGTGAAGGTGTATTTGCCCTTTCTGAAGCGGGGTCTACAAAGGGACTAAAACAATGGGATAAGATATGATAAGATGTGTATAGCCGTATAGATGGGATAAGACATGTCGTATACCCGTATAGATAGGGTTTTTTTTGTCTACTGTAGTACAGGTGGCTCAATTTTTCCAGAGACAAATTATGGTTTCAATTCCATGTGAGCTACTATGGCTGTTGGTTAAGTGTCATTTGCTAGCCTTTGTGACACTAGCATTAATTACACTTGGTCAAGTCAGTAGTCTAAAGCAAAACCATTTTGCCTGGTTGGATCTCTAAGCTTCTTCGTACCAGTCTTTGGCATGCTAACATCAGTTTGCTCGTGTTTGACAGAACTATATAATTACATGATGCCCGCATCCAAAAACAGCCTACAGCAGCACCGCAGAAGTGGCACCGCTCGCTTTTGGGCAAACAAATGCTTCGATTGATGCATAGTTTCTCTATATTGGTTTTTATCTTTGTTCAAAAGGCTTTGACCATGCCCTTACAAACGAAAAAGCAGGAAGGAAAAGTTTCAAGTGCTGCAGCTGGATTGGCAATTTTGTTCGCGTGTTAATGGTGCCACAACAAAGACCTTTGCCACTTGGTCATGCAACACCGGAGATGTGTGAAATCAACATCAACTAGCATTGATCTTGATATTTGTATATATAATTACATTAAGATACATGTATGTATATATACAATTAATATACATACATAAATCGTATATATATATACATATATATACATAGATATCTTAAATAATCTTAAATATGAGATTGAGATTGATTCGCTATCCAACTATTCCAAAAATACCAGAAACGCTGCGGTTTCCTCCAGCAATCTCCCGAGGAACAGAGGACCACTTGTACTTTTCCAAAGCTCGCATCACCTCAGCTACCGGGGAACGAAAAGATGCCTCAAACGGCGTGGCCGCCAAAATCTTCAAACACTATCTACTGGTACGTATCATGAATTTTATCATACTATTTTTGGTACATAATACTATCATATACTGATCGGTGCATTCTTCACTGCTGAACAGCCCCACCAAAGTTGAGCTGATCCCTGGCTCCACCCTACCTTTCAATTGAAGGTTGATCATGATTTATCTTTCTCATGTTCCCCTTGAAATGACCATCTTGAGGTAAATCGCCACTTCAAGCACCAAAGCCCGCCCTTTGGCACCCTCGTGAGGCTCCAGCCCCTGGTTCTGGCTGCTCACCCTCCGACACAATGCCAGCCTGGGCCAGGCGCGTAAAACAACCCAGCTGGTGATTGCACCGCGGCTTGGGGCTCACCCCAAGTTCTCCAAGTTCAACTGATCATTCATCGGAAACACGTTTGGGAAACAATGGTGAATGGATGCTACCCCAATGTGTCAGGAACCATGAGGCCTGTGGAAACAATGAATCAGCTGCTGAACCCGATGCTCTCCAGTTGAACTGCACATGTTCTGCGAAATGCTTTAATTGTTCAGGGCACATCTCTACGCGGATGCTTTGCCCGAATCTCAGTACCTGCGTAAAAAAACATTTGCACCATCCAAAGGTTTCTGCTCTCTCCCATGTCACTGCAACATGCACCATCATAAAGCGAAGCTTTGACGGCAACAAAATGTGAAAACATCGTGGCCAGAACACGTGGGATGCATCCAGGTACCATCTGAATAGGGCATGTTTACATCCAGAAACAGAATGCTAGGCATAAATAACAACTTTTTTGCGCAAACAATGGTCTGTTGCTCGGTTTCTAATCCATATTGTCCAAGCTGGTACAGTATTGAAATGGCCATTAGCCCGCCCATCATGCACGGCTTGTATCCAAGACGTGGTCCTATTCGCTCCACAAATTAAGGCCCTACCATCTGGCTTTTACATTGCCAGTTTGCCATGGAAAATCACCATGCTATTCAGTTCGGTAAACCATCTATTTCTATGGGCCATCTATACCATGGCTATGTTAGTCATAACCAGAGGCTAACCATGTTGGTGATACAACTTCCCTCTGGAAACGTTGCTAGGTCCTCCTGCAGCAGTAGAGGAGGGAGCCTCCAGATTCATGGTGAAATCCCAAAGATGGGGATTCAACACAGTGGGCAAACTAACTTTAAGCAACTGGGGTCAAACAAAAACTGTCAAACATTGAATGTCATTTCTACCTTCTCGTTATTTAATATAGCAATGGACAATGGCCCAATTTTAGATGATTTATTCATAGAATCACCAGATGTTAGTGATCCGCCAGCTGGGATTTAACCGTGGTTTAACCAATCGAAGTATGTGTGTGTATATATATATACACTATATATATATACTATATCATATCATATATATACATATATGTTAAACATTATATATATATATTATATATATTGTGTATATATGTTCTGTATATATATATGTTATATATATACATATGTTACATATAGGGCATTGTAAGGCTATTACCCAGCAATCACATGTATATTAACCATCAATCATATGGAAAAATTGCATGAAGATCTTGGTATCTGGGTATCGGTCCACAGATCAATAGTCAGGGTAGCTTTAGTGACCATCAACTTGGGAGATGTATCATGTTGACCCATACCCACCATCAAATCAGCCAGTTTCTGGTCATTGTTTCAATTGTTTCAACCGAATCCTTCAGCTCAATTTAGCTCTGATGTGTCATTCTTTCTTCACTGGGAATAACAAGTTTCAAGGTTCCAACTTCCTTGCGTCACCTGGTGCTGCATCAAATATGTCTCATTCGGATGCGACGGTTTCATATCTTGAAGTGGGTCAACCAAAATCCAGCTTCCCGTACCCCCAAAATCCCATGTCTTATCATCATTTAACATCAGTATCCCTATGACATTGGCCTCAAAAATGGTTGCTGCATCATTCTCACACCCATTTTGTGGACACAAACTCTCCAACACCTACCCTCTGGTAATTTAACATAACTATGGAAAATCACCATTTTTAATGGGAAAATCCACTATAAATGGCCATTTTCAATAGCTATGTTAGTTTACCAGAGGGTACCCAACAACACGCTGGCCTCAAAGTCAGGGTCTTCCTCCAGCATCTCACAGAGCTGCTCTTTCCGCGTGAAGTCGCCAGGGGGAACGTGGATAAAGCAGGCTGCACAGGCTGCAGGAGGAGACGGCTGTCTGCTGTCTGATGCTGGGAGCATGGAAAAACCCCAAAAATTTCATGGTTTATCAATCCCTAGAGGATCCATGGTGCTGGAATATTTACCTACATTGGGATTATTTTAAATTACTTTAGGGGTCAATGTAGGTAAATATTCCATACATGGATCCTCTGGGAATGTTTATCATCATGTTCTTTCATTTTCCCTTCCGCAGTCGTTTCGGGGTCCCATTTTCAGACTCCAGATAAATTCGATGGGTCTGTTATGGTACACCATTGGTTTCTCTTACAGAGTTTGTTGGTACACCATTGGTTTCTCTTACAGAGTTTGTCCACCCCATGTTCTAGCGGATAAAAATGACTATCAGAACCATCTACCATCGATACACGGTTCTGATGGTTCTCATGTTTCTGGTGGTTTCATATACCAATGGTTTCCCCATAATTTTATCTCGCGCTGGTCACAAATCCCCGGCTCCTTCTTCAGTTTCCCCAAGGTCCAGGGCCAGCCAAAAAAAAAACTAAACGGGTTTGTTTGAAAGGAGCGTATCCCAAATTTGCGGGTGGATCATCAAGATTCTTGTGTTCCCGTTCTATCATTATATTCCCGCTAATTATATATGGGTTCGTCTGAAAATAGAGTATCCCATTCCATCTCTTGATTAAGTTTTTCCCTATGAACATTGCAGTTTGCAGGATTTCTTGCCGCTTCTCTTCATCTTCAGCCTCACCCTTATCCCATTATTCATAATTAAAATTAAAATCCCTATCTTTCATGATGAATTCCACATTGTTCATCATTTTTCATGGTTAAATCCCAATTCTATCGGTATCTTCTCCCCCCATTTCGACACCCGCCGACCTGGCCTTTCTTGCTGGTGTAGTCCCCCAGTTGTTTCTCCTCTTCCTCTTCAGTGTCTGATGCCAGGTCTGCGAGGCGTCCCGGACGAAAATTTTTTTTGCTCACAATGTACTGTATCAATCTATAATTATAATTATATACATGTTTGAATATTATAGATCATATATATATATATATGACCCAGGACGCCCAAGCCCCCCCCCCACCCATGGTCCCCCCCCCGTGCTATGGACGCTTAGCGTTTATTTGGCGGATAGAGTATATACAAGACTTACCAGGTGCTGCGCGGCATTTGCTTGACAGCGAAAGGTTTGAGGGCGTGCCCGTCTCTTCATTCCAAGAGCGCTTGTGCACGCTTTGGCAGGGAGGTAAAAATATATGAAAGTGAGTTGGTTTCTGCTTGATGAAAATGAGTTGTTGTCTTTTGACCATCAGTTCCGTCACAGAATCTGCAATTTTGGGCGCCTCACCTCGCCAGCGCTTTTTTCTAGCTGAAACCAGAAAATGGCAACTAGTGACGCTGCTGATGCCAAAGACGAAAAACTTGTGCTCCCAGAATAGTTTTGGGTGCTAAAACCTTTGCTGATGAAATTCATTCGCTGTGTAGCAAGGCATGATGTAGAGAAGACCAAGCAGCGTAGCATCATGAAGACAAGACCAAACAGCGTAACACGATCTGATGTAACAACATTAAGCAGCATAACATCAGTTAGGGAAGGTCAAGCAGTGTAGTTTGACGTAGGGATTCATGCAGCGTAGCATCGTGAGGGCAAGACCGAATAGCACAGTATGACACAGAGCACATTAAGCAGCATCACATGAGGTAGGGAAGCCCAAGAAGCCTAACAAGAGGTAGAGAAGGTCAAGCAGCGTAGCAGCATGAAGACCAGACAAAAAACTCAACAATATATATATATATAGCGAGAGAACACAAGCAACATAACAAAGGAAGGCCAAGAACGTAGCATGAGGTATAAAAGATCAAGCAGCGTACCGTCTTGATGGCAAGATCAAACAGCATAACATGGCAGAGGGAACACCAAGAAACATAACATGCGGTAGGGAAGGTTCAGCAGCGTAGCATGAGGTAGAGACAATCAAGCAGCGTGGCATTATGAAGACCAGATCAAGTAGCATAACATGATTCAGAGAAGATCAAGCAGCTTAACATGACGCAGGGATAGGCAGGGGAGATCAAGCGGCAGCATGAGGCGGAGAAGATCAAGCAGCCTAGCACCATGCAGACCAGATCAAAAAGCACAACCTGATGTAGGGGACATCAGGCAGCGCAACATGAGGTAGTCAAGGTCGAGCAGTGTAGCATCGCCAAGGCAAGATCAAACTATCAAAAATCAAAGATCTGATGTCGAAAACACCAAGCAACAGGAGGTAGGGCGGGTGGTGAAGCAGCGTAGCATGAGGAGGATAAGATCAAACAATGCAGCAGCGTGCAGCGTGAAACAAAAACAAAAAAGCATAACACGATTTAGGGGACATCAAGCAGCCTGACATGAGGTGGGAAGGCCCAGCAGCGTAACAGGAGATAGAGAAGACCAAGCAGCCTAGCATCATGAAGAACAGATCAAATTTCATAACCTGATGTACACGACATCAAGCAGTTTGACATGAGGTAGGGAGGGTGAAGCAGCGCAGCATGAAGTAGATAAGATCAAGCAGCCTGGCATCATAAAGACAAGATCCGGTAGCCTAACATGATACAGAGAAGACCAAGCAGCAAAACATGGCTTTGTTAAAGGCAAGCAGTGTGGCTTGATGTAGAGAAGATCAAGCAGCGTAAAAAAACACGAAGACAAGATCAAAAAGAATAACGCGGTGAAGAAGACATCAAGCATCATGAGGCAGGGAAGGTCAAGCAGCGTAGCATGAGGCAGAGAAGATCAAGCAACGTATCATCATAAAGACAAGACCAAAGAGCATATGGCATAACAACTTCGAACATCAAGAAAATCAAGAAGCACAACATCAGTAGCGAAGGCCAAGAAACGCAATATGAGAAAGATAATATCAAGCAGATCGGCTTGATAAAGAATTTCTCGAACGCCTCCAGCGCCTCCAGCACCCCCAGCGCCTGCCGCGCCCTCAGCGCCCTCAGCGCCGCCCTCAGCGCCGCCCTCGGCGCCTTCAGCGCCTGTAGCGCCTTCAGCGCCCTCAGCGCCTTCAGCGCCCTCAGCCTTCAGCGCCTTCAGCGCCCTCAGCGCCTCCAGCGCATCAAACGCCTCCAGCGCCCTCAGCGCCCTCAGCCCCTCAGCTCAGCGCCTTCAGCGCCTTCCGCGCCCTCAGCGCCCTCGACCTCAGCGCCTTCAGCGCCTCCAGCGCCCTCAGCCCCTTCAGCGCCCGTAGCGCCTCCAGCGACCTCAGCGCCACCAGCGCCACCTTCAGCGCCCTCAGCGCCTCCAGCGCCACCCTCAGCGCCTTCAGCGCCCTCAGCGCCTTCAGCGCCTTCAGCGCCTTCAGCGCCTTCAGCGCCTCCAGCGCCCTCAGCGCCTTCAGCGCCTTCAACGCCTCCAGCGCCTCCAGCGCTTCCAAGCCTCCAGCACCCTCAGCGCCCTCAGCGCCCTCAGTGCCTTCAGCGCCTTGAGCGCCTCCAGCGCCCTCAGCGCCTTCAGCGCCCTCAGCGCCTCCAGCGCATCCAGCGCCTTCAGCGCCTTCAGCGCCTTCAGCGCCCTCAGCGCCCTCAGCGCCCTCAGCGCCCTCACAGCGCCCTCAGCGCCTTCAGCGCCTTCAGCGACCTCAGCGCCCTCAGCGCCCTCAGCGCCTTCAGGGCCTTCAGCGCCCTCAGAGCCTTCAGCGCCCTCAGCGCCTTCAGCGCCCACAGCGCCCTCAGCGCCCTCAGCGCCTCCAGCGCCTAGGCAGCGCCCTCAACGCCTTCCCTCAGCGCCTTCAGCGCCTTCAGCGCCTTCAGCGCCCTCACCGCCTTCAGCGCCTTTAGCGCCTCCAGCGCCCTCAGCGCCTTCAGCGCCCTCAGCGCCTCCAGCGCCTTTAGCGCCCTGCGCCTTCAGCGACCTCAGCGCCTTCAGCGCCCTCAGCGCCTTCAGCGCCTTCAGCGCCCTCAGCGCCTTCAGCACCCTCAGCGCCTTCAGCGCCCTCAGCGCCCTCAGCGCCCTCAGCGCCCTCAGCGCCCTCAGCGCCCTCAACGCCTTCAGCGCCTTCAGCGCCCTCAGCGCCTTCAGCGCCTTCAGCGCCTCCAGCGCCCTCAGCGCCCTCAGCGCCCTCAGCGCCCTCAGCGCCCTCAGCGCCTTCAGCGCCTTCAGCGCCTCCAGTGCCTCCAGCGCCTCCAGCGCTCCTACTTATCATCGATTCTTATATGTAAATGTAAACACTTACTGGTAGCTGCTAACTGCCAAATAGCCTCGAGCTGTCCATCGTACGTCCCCCCCCCTGTGGCCCGTGGTGGTATGGTTCTTCTTGTCCCCCCGCCCCCTGTGGCCTGTGGTGGTGGTATGTTGGTATGTTGGTATGTTGGTACGTTGGTATGTTGGTATGTTGGTACGTTGGTATGTTGGTATGTATGTATGTTGGTATGTATGTTGGTATGTATGTAGGTATGTATGTATGTATGTATGTATGTATGTGTGTATGTATGTATGTATGTATGTATGTATGTATGTATGTATGTATGTATGTATGTATGTATGTATGTATGTATGTATGTATGTATGTATGTATGTATGTATGTATGTATGTATGTATGTATGTATGTATGTATGTATGTATGTATGTGTATGTGTATGTATGTAATGTATGTAATGTATGTAATGTATGTAATGTATGTAATGTATGTAATGTATGTAATGTATGTAATGTATGTAATGTATGTAATGTATGTATGTATGTATGTGTATGTAAATGTATGTAATGTATGTAATGTATGTAATGTATGTAATGTATGTAATGTATGTAATGTATGTAATGTTATGTAATGTATGTAATGTATGTAATGTATGTAATGTATGTAATGTATGTAATGTATGTAATGTATGTGTATGTAATGTATGTAATGTATGTATGTATGTAATGTATGTATGTATGTAATGTATAATGTATGTAATGTATGTAATGTATGTAATGTATGTAATGTATGTATGTATGTAATGTATGTAATGTATGTAATGTATGTAATGTATGTAATGTATGTAATGTATGTAATGTATGTAATGTATGTAATGTATGTAGTATGTATGTATGTACGTTATGTAGGTATGTAGGTATGTAGGTATGTAGGTATGTAGGTATGTAGGTATGTAGGTATGTAGGTAGGTATGTAGGTATGTAGGTATGTAGGTATGTAGGTATGTAGGTATGTAGGTATGTAGGTATGTAGGTATGTAGGTATGTAGGTATGTAGGTATGTAGGTATGTAGGTAGGTAGGTAGGTATGTAGGTATGTATGTATGTACGTAGGTACGTAGGTACGTAGGTACGTAGGTACGTAGGTACGTAGGTACGTAGGTAGATAGGTAGATAGGTATGTCTGTATGTCTGTATGTCTGTATGTCTGTATGTCTGTCTGTCTGTCTGTCGGTCGGTCTGTCGGTCTGTCTGTCTGTCTGTCTGTATGTATGTATGTATGTATGGTCCCGTGTCCCATGTTCCGTGTTCCCGAGAGCGTGAGCTTGGGGGACCATACCATTGGGGGGGGGCCAGGGATCCGGAGTCCGGACGTATGTATATGTATATGTATATAGTTGTTCGCATATTCCATGTATCATCATGTATGCATATTCTCTGTATATAAAGAGAATAGACATGAGACTATAGATTACAAATATAGACTACAACTATAGAATAGATATCATGTAGACAGTTTAATAAATAAAATAAATAAATAAACAAGAAAATGAATAAATGACAATAAATGTCATATCTATATATATATTAATATATGGGTGGCTTAAAAACAGCTATGGATCGGTCCCCGGTGATCCGGAGCCTCTGGATCAAGGTTACGGATCAACATGTGTGACGTGTGTGGATCAAGGCATACCATCCATGGGCATGGGGCATAGGGAATTGGGGATGTGAAAAACCATCATTTTGGGAATTGGGTACCTCGAAAAGCTCTCCAAAAATGGACGCCGGTGAGATTGGTACAGGTGAGTGATACCAGATCATGGAATAGTGCCGAAGCCTGCCTGCTGCAAACTTGTCCCACTTGGAATAGTTTGTCATTGCTGCTAGCGAATGGAAGCGTGGCAATAAAGAATCCACTCTTTCCTGACCATGCTTTTAGGATGGTGACCATCAGCTCAATTGTTTTTTTTTCCAAATGTAGGTTTTTTTCCAAGGACAATGACAAAACCTTGACTTTTTGCTGTGCTTTCCAGCGCCTCAAACTTTGCTTCTGCTTGCCGGTCATGCATTATCCACAGTAGCATACAGCATTTTTTGATGCGCCCTTCATACTGTGCCACTAGGATCCACTAGGTCTCTATGTGATACATTGTGATATCCAATCGTCCTCTGTGGTTCCCTGGTTCCCTCAATCTGCTTGGGCAGTTGTTTGCGATCGTGGGCGAAACCGCGATTGTGGGATCACAGGGGACTCAGCATACAATGCTTGTCACCATCTTGTCACCAACCGGGTGCAAAAAAAAAACGCCAATCTTAAAGAAGTGTGAAGAATTAGTAGTTGAGTCTATTTTTTTTATTTTTAATCAACATTCCGAAAAGGCACACTTCAAAGTCATGGTTTTTTTCCGCGCCCTTTTTGCGGACTCCATGCGTCACCTGGCGGGACACTGGGCTGAAGCTGATTGGTATGTCTTCCATTCGCTTCTAAATGGTATTCCTTTCTGGAAACGAATTCACTCTCAGACGAATTACACATCAATTCATGAAATATCATAAGTCTATATCAAATTTAGGTATAGAATCACTTAGAATCTTGATCATCCTGAATCAAATGAATCTGAATCAAATGTGGTTATAGAACCTTATTCAATTTTACACATCTATAGGCGCTGAGCTTCCGACGCCTTCTGCTGCCATCGCCTGCATGAGCTTCGCTTTCTCTGAAGCGTTGAGGTTCAGGTTCTCCAACCTTCAGTGGACTTGTTTTCTTGAAAACGCTTGAAATTTATGGGAATAATTATATATAATGAGAAACTATAGGATCTATAGGGATATACAGGGATATCCACAAATTTCTGGTGTTTCGTATCAGAATCGCCATGGATTTTTCATTTAAGTTTTTGGCATAGGAGAATGATGGCTTGACATCGCAAAAAACCAGAGATGGAGGGAACTCTTGGGGCCTGAGTCACAGACCCATAAATGGCACCTGCGAAGCTGTCAGTCACCGTACTGGCCTCGGAGCTGGAGCATGGAGCATCCAACATTTGAGGACAGGCACCCAATATCTATCATATTCTTGCTATTTAAAATTATTTAAATGACATTCCCGTTATATCATGTTATATATATATATATATCATCACTCTATGATATCTATGATCTAATTATAATTAAATCTCATATGATCTCCCCATCTAAAGGACAACCCCCCAAAAAAAGCCGGGTCTTGGCTTCCCAACTGGTTGACTTGGCGCCTTTTTTTTGGCGGCTGTGGCTGTCTCAATCGCCCTGCAAAGGCCTGACCGTCCGCTCCACTGTGGATGGGCCAGCGAAATCACCAGATGTTTACCCTCTGGTTATGTCAACATAGCTATGGAAAATCACCATTTTTAATGGGAAAATCCACTATTTCTATGGCCATTTTCAATAGCTATTTTGACATAACCAGAGGGTAAACATCCCATGATATTTTTGGGGATAGAAAACCATCCGTTTGGTGGCAAGGTGCTGCAGGATTTCGCAAGCATGCACAATTAATGATGCCCAGTAGCATAGTCATGCCATGCCCATCACCATCTCTCCGCCTCCAATTGCAGCAGCCACTTCACTCTTGCTGGACGCAGTGGCGAAGGCCGCTGAACTGGAGCTTGCCTGGCGCTGCCAGTGATGCAGGCAGCATCGGGCAGCCAACGTTTAGAAGATGTAGCCTAGACAAAACACGTACATCTGCATCACAAAAAGACAAGTTTATAAATCTATAAACTATAAATCATCATATAATATATATTTTATATATATACAATAAAAATATATTATAATATAATATATTATATTATACTATATTATATCATATCATATCATATTATATATATATATATATGATATTAATATATATATATATAATATAATATCGTATACATCAATAATACAACATCCTTACACATATCCGTACAATATTCGAATCATACGTAGCATAGATCAAATCTTGCGGTAGCCTTCTGCACTGGGCTCGCTGGCAGCTGTCGAAGCATCTCCTTCAGGGCTCCCCATGGATTTTAACCATCAAACGTTTGGATTTCAACATGATCTATCTAAAATTTGGATGTTAACATATTTGAACCATCAACAAATTGGATTTAACTATCAGAAATAGGAATTTAACCATCAAACATGTTGATAAATGGTGGTTCCTGCCCTGCATCATTTTTTCGCTGGGGTATCCAAACATCAACACTAGGGATTTCAGCCATGAATCATAGATTTAGATGGAAGATGTGTCTGAAAATGCAGAAAAAAACCTCCCAATCCATTGCCAGTCAGATCCATTGACATTGGCTTTTATGCTACCCTGTTTTCAGATAAACTCAAATGACTTCCGACTTTGAGACTGCAAGATAAATCACTTAAATATAATAACACAAACACAAAAATCACATCTTATCTGACTGAATCATAATAATTCCCTGAACTCAAAATTGAGGTCATTATAATCCATCCAGATCTTATCACATAAATATTGCTCAGTATGATCACTAAATGACGAGTCCACAATCGCTGATGGTCGACTGCCAAAACCTCAGTCGCCTTGATTTGCTATTTGATCTCAGAGCCATAAAATTGAGTCTGCTGTTGAAATCATTCAAACGTTCCATGTTTTTTCTCCAGTTTTCCACAATTTCATCACTGGAATCAATCAAATCATTAATTTCATCATATTTCATGTCATATAAATCATGTTAACATCTATCTGACATTCATCTATCTATCCCATTATTTTAACATGTTATTCTATCAGGAAAAAAAACCTGAAACAAACAAAAATGACCACCCAAGGCCCGGGTTAACCTCCGCCTCACGGAGATCGGGGTCAGCTGGCATCACCAAGCAACGTAACCTGGGTGGATGGTGTCGTGAACTCCCGTTGGTAACAATGAGTAACTATATTTAATAAAACATGTTAAAATAATGGGATAATATATGTATCTGATTTATTTATTATCTATTTATTTTTATTTATATATCTATGTTTATGTAATTATGTATATATATATATGCATCCCCATGATGCTTGCTGATTACCTGTTGTATCCCATTTCAAACCATGAAACCATCTAGAGGGACCGTAGGTCATCTGTTAATACCCCATGAAATCACCCAGAAAAATCCCATCAAACCAGATCAGCCATGAAAAAATATCCATGAAATATCCCCATGTTGGACGGTTACATGGCAGTGTGTCAAAACCTTGTACCCCTGTAGTTCACGTCAAAATAGCTGGGATTTATGGGTGTTCATCCCCCTAAAAATGGTATTAAGAGGTATTGATCCATACCCACATGTCCATAGTTTGTTGTTTCAATACCATGATTTCATGGTTGGTGGACAATGACAATGGCGAGCCCTGGCGAGCTGGAGCGACACATCAGCTGATGAAGACCAAAGTTCGCGGGCCTTCACCTCAGTCAAATGGCCATTTCCCATGAAGGGAAACATAGGGAAACCGTTAGGTTGAACCAAAATGTGCTAAGGGTTCCAAAAGTTTTGGAAACCATGAGGAAACCAGCCATAAATCACAATTTCTCAATAAGTTTGGACTCGACTCATGCCATAAATAACTATATGAGTGATCACAGCTGTTGCGACGTGCGTTTAGATCCCCAGATCCACAGCACCAAACAGCACATCCCACTGGGAGGAGATACAGCATCACCAGCCCTCAGGGTCAACCCTGCCAGTTTGCACCTCATTTCCGGGATGGTCGCCAAGAAACGGCGGGTCTTTCCCAAAGTTCAAATGTTCAAAAGGTTTTGGCGAAGTTATTATTTTTCCCTCGTAGCTATAATATGCTATAATCATTATCAATCATTATTGATCATTAATAATCAATATCAATCATTATCAATCATTATCAATCAATATTAATCATTATTAATCATTATTAATCATTATCAATCAATATTAATCAATATTAATCAATATCAATCAATATTAATCATTATTAATTAATCAATATTAATCAATATTAATCAATATTGATCAGTATTAATCGTTATTAATCATTATCAATCATTATCAATCATTATTAATCATCGTCAATCATTATTAATCATTATTAACCATTATTAATCATTATTAATCATTATTAGTCTATCCATCTACCCATGATAGGTTGGAGCAACCCTGACAAAAACCAGCATCACTTGGGATACAACAGGCAGAATTGCATGCAACATCGGACAGTCCATGCGCGGGGGTTCCACAATTTGGATCAACGGTCTGTCGTTGATGTGTAATCATTGCTTCATTTCAGCGTGTCGGAATTTGTCATCACCAGCATGTTCACTGCAGTTTTTTCATCACCATCCACATTTACATGAAAGCTGCAACTGCCAGCAGCGCCAGTCCATCAGTTGCGCCAAAAATCATTCCTGAAACACTAAGCTCTCAACTCCTCCCTTGCTAGTTCCACATCACCGTCTCGAAATCCCTGACCTTACTTCAATCCAGGGTGAAGAACATCAAAAAAACTGAGACGATGCTTGGAGTGATCATTTCTGGGCACTTGGCAATGCCATCATCACGCACGTCATCACACACACACATGGTGGATGACTTATTCAGTGATCAAGAAACAATCTTCTCATTCTCTCACGGAGGAAAGTACCATGGAGAGAAGTTTAGGAGAAGACTGACCGGCCATCAGAGGATCTTCGAGTTTCTGGGCAGACTTCGCACATCTTCGCACCATGACCTTTCTCAGAACTTACAGTAATAACAGGAGTGACTAATGGCCCTAGAAACCCTATTCTTTGGCTGGAACAAAGTGGTGCTGTCACCACCAAGACACACCAGGTATCTGCTATCTGCAGCCAAAGAACGCAGCATGGCAATGGAAGCACTGCAAGCTATGACCTCAAAGGAAGCTGTGACTTTGAAGTTGGAAAACAAGAACATCGGTTGAGCCCAAGGGAAGACTTCACACCATGAAATTCATTAGATCATGTGAACAAGACATGCCACTAGGATATGGTTCTGTCTGAAAAATTCCATCCAATGATTAAAAACCCCATGTTTCCCATGAAAGTTGCCGTAAAATGGGGTAACCCCTATTTTCAATCAAACCCAAATCGGTTATTCCTTGGTAAAATCCGTGTCGATCGTTACCAAATCCCCATTTTGGATGTTGTTTCATCAACATGTTTGATGAATAAATCCCGATCTGTTACCATGTTTCATGAATACACTCTGGTAAACGTTTACAGTTTGCGAATTGGAAAATGGCCCAGTCGAAATAGTTGATTTACCCAGCTATAACATTGTGATGTGCCATAATTATATGGCAGTGTGTCAAAACCTTGTACCCCTGGTGAACATCAAAATAGCTGGGATTTATGGGTGTTCATCCCCCTAAAAATGGTATTAATAGGTATTGATCCATACCCATAAGTATGATCCATTGATGTTAGTTCTGATGATCATATTATTGAAACACAATTACAGTCTTTACCCCAAAATTGGGCGGTGTATCCTGGGTTAGTTTACCAAAGGGTAAATCCCAATGTTTAAAGCTGATTTCAGATCCATCGGTCCATCTCTCGGGTTCTCCCACAGCTTCCTGCCACGCAGCACGAGCAACGGCTGCCTGCGCAACGGCTTTCCCTGAAAAGTTGCATCGGTGTTCACTGCGAAACTGTACCTTGTTACAGATCTTTTCATTTTCTATTATATTTTATATGTTATACATATAATATATATATATATATAATATATATATATATACAGTATATATAAATATCTAGATAGATAGATAGATAGATAGATAGATAGACATCGCAAAATCATATCAATGACGGTTTTGAAGGTCTGTCTTGGGACTCCCATGAATCCAATACGCGCAGCGTGGCTTCTGCCGAGGCACACGCGCGCGCTCGTCCAGCATCTTGGCCTTGCGTTTCCATTGAAAGTCCTCGTCTACCTGGGCATGGATAGAGAGGTGACCTGTGACCCAAAAAAGAAAGAGTTTTGTAAATTCTGACTAAAATAGTGATATAGTATCAGATATTATCAGATATTATCAAATATTGCTGCTTTTTGGGTGGTTACTTTAAGTGGACTGGACTTAGTAAGTGGTTACAGTACCCTAGGGTAAACTAACGATGTGGAAAGCCTAGGGGACAACCCTAGGAAAATGATCTACACATGGTGGGTTTTTCACTTCTCGAACTCTTAGTTTACAGGAGGGAAACGATTGAGGTCACCATAAGTTTCAGAACTGGTGCATACTTCATATATGTCATAGAACTGACTTTGCTGCTGAAGTAGATGTTAACTATTGTTAACTGGGTGTGCTCATTAGTTTGTTTGGAAGGGGTCATTGTAATATAACTTGCATAGAACTAATCGTCTGGTAATGTGTGCTATTTATGTAATTCGTTTCTGGGTACCCCTATAATATGTTTAAATTAGTGAACTTGGCTCTGGTGAAAATGGGGTACCTCTCAAGCCACTGATCTATCATGACTTTACTCACTTGTGGGCTATTGGGGGTATCCATCATTTCTTAGACACGTCCAACTACTGTAGTTTTGACATTGGCAAGATGTCTTTGAATAGTATCCCACTATAGATTTAATATAGTATCCCACGATTTTAATAGTTTCTTAGACATCCATATGAAATAGTATGGTTGATTGGTTTTTTGTCGCATTCTATCCCACTATTTTCACTGCTAATTCAATGTTAAATCCACACATGGTACCAATAATTTCCATTAATCATAATTCTTCCCATTATACACCATTATACACCCTTAAATCCCCCTCAAATGGAATAACAGTGATTCAATCAGCATTTCCTCACTACAGTGATTATTTCATGGAATCCGGTTAGTTCATATAGTGATTCCATACATATAATATTGTAGTTCTTAATGGGTTTCCATTAAATCACTATATATAAATCCCATCAACATAGTATTATAATATAGATTCTAGAATATAGTATATATAATATAATATAATAAATATAATATATTTAAGCATATATAAATCATAAACATCATTATATAATCATCGATTGTCTCCCACCATATCATTTCCTCATTCAATCACCAATGCTTTCACGTGAAACTGCGTCCTGAGGAACCTGCACTGGTCCCTCCGCATGCCGTGCAATGGCACTCGAAGCCATACCTGGATCGCTTCATCAAACATGAAGATCATGAAGGTGTTTACCCTCCGGTCATTCCACATTGCTATGGGAAAATCATCAGAATTATCATGTCCAACAAGTAAATCATATACAGATGGACATAGATGGACTATTTTTTCCACAGCCATGTTTGATTAGAAATGGTGGTAGACCTTCAGGGCTACATTGTGGATGGACATTGCCGAACGACCTTTTGCAATCTGCAGAGTTGGCAAAGGATTGTTCAGTATATCAATGACCAATTCGAAAAATATGCTGGGATGAACAAAATTGGACAAACATGATTTAACATATATAAACCATATGTCCCATTGGCTGGGATGACAAAAATGATGGTCCAAATTGGAGTCCAAATCATTTCAAATCCCCAGAAACCACACCATTTGGCATCCAAAAAGGCGTACTGAGCCATCAGAATGCCAAGGCGTTGTGAGCGTGGCATTGTGGAGGAGGTTGGTCCTTGATGAACCAGACGTACCGTGGGGCCCCGTGACAAGCCGATGTGGCGTAAGCCGATGGGTTTTCAGCCTTTGAAAATGATCTACAAATATCCAGTGGTTAGGAAGAGGAGCTAGGGGATATCAATATTCCCTACTAAATGGGGAGCAAAGGAGCTACTAAGAGTGTCCGAACCACACTTAGATTTTTTTAGAAATTGGGAGCTTCTGTTTGCAAAAACACGATGTTTAAAAGTGAGTTAATGACAAGTATTTTAGAAATTGCATATTTATTGCCAGGTTGTTCAGATCAAAGGCATCTCAAATGACATGAGATGAGATAATCCAAGTAACATCGCTGATTATCCAACTCGCTTAAAACCCGTCACATCGATTCAAAGATGGATCATGGATTTGTGTTTGGCCTTGCAAAACTTGGGAGAGTCAACTGAAAATAAAAACATGTAGAGTATCTGCGACTTCTTATGTATGTATTATATACAGAGCCATCCATATATTAGACATGCCAGTATTCTATAGACATAAAACATATATGTCACATGTCGCTTCCGAGAGTCCATAGCTGATCGTCACCTCCTCACCTGCATCCACCTCAGGAATTCCGTCGCGGTCACCAAAGATGGGCGGAAGTGGAGGTGGGTTGGTGAAAAGATAGGGGACTAACATGGACTGACTATGGGGAATACGTAAAAGAATGGTTCAGACGTACCATCCTGCGTTTTCTCTACGGAACGGATCCTTCAATAATACGATATTTTTGTATGTTTTAACATGTTTTAACTATATTCAATTTGGACTGGGTGTAAGCATTCATTCCAAAGCAACTGTCCAAACAGTCTGGGCTTCTTGACCTAGAATTATATGCGTGCCTTCCAGTGGCGCTACATCAATCGGCAAACGCTGATGAAGGTCAAAACCTGTGACCAGTTGAAAAAAGATCCAATGTGGCCTTGCGTGTGAAGTCATTAAAAAAGAACCTTTTTGTAACAACATGTGCACGGCACCGCAGCCACGGACAAAAAAACATATAGAAACCACTCCACTTTCCTGCTGACCTGGACATTTTTTTGGGAAAATATGGAGAATCCCCCAAGCAGGCCATGTTTTCATATGTTTTCTGTTTGAGACGCAAAGACCATGCCACATGAAATGTAAACAGGAATTAAATTCTGGTGTAAAATGGAATTGTGTCGAAAGGCAGGTGAACGTCAGGTTTTCCGGAATCATGTTCAACTACTTTGACACATGCTGACCTTGCACATTCCACACCTGCCACACGAAACATGACGGTATGGTTTTTGCCGCATTCGATTTTTGGCATCCCTCCCTGAAGGCCTGTAAAGCATATAGGCTGGTGGGAGTTCTGCGAATGGCGCAAGATCATGAATTGCATATATATATATATATATATACATATATACCTTGGGGGTCCACGACCTTTGAAAGAAAGGTGGTTATAGAACCCCCTTTGTTTGCACTTTATTGTTTGTTCATTGGCGCTGGTAGTATTTAAGAACCCGCACACCTCTAGGAGCAAAAAAATCGATGTAGTCGACGGCAGCCGTACTGATCCATTTGTGGGGACTCCAGTGGGAGCGTTTTATAAGTCGATCTTTTCTGACTGCCATGTTCACACAGAACCTTTTGTAAGCTTTGCGTGTGATTTCCATGGAGCTCCAAAAGCTCATTGAAGAGTTGAATTTTTGCCCCAATAATGCAAAAAAATCAAAATCAGATTCGTGACGACAAAGCCCTATTTAGCCTGCCGCGCAATGGTTTCAACTTAAACTTGAACTTGAACAGCTAAACTTTGAAACCAAAGTAAACTATTGGTGACAATTTGCCGACAAACAGCCAGTATGGTTGGATTTGTTGTAAAGGCCAATGGGGGCCCAGCAGGACGAACACGAAAAGGGTCAGAAACATCTATATAAAGATCATCCAAACATGTTTTTGTCAGGCAATAGTAGTAGCATGGTTTTGTTTCTGTTTGATGCGTGTATGTGGAGCGGCATGTTGAAGCCCAGAGCTTTCAACCTTTTTCTTTTGCACGGAAGTTGTGTGGTGTAAACATCAAATATCACAACGATTCTGCTGGTACTTGCAAACCATGGACGCACAAAACCAACATGACTCCAAACTTGTTGTTTGTGACAATCATCAAGAGATATCCTGGGCCAAAGTGCAGTCAATATACTGATGATAAACCCGTATTGAGGCTGCAGTTTCAAAACTGTAGGCCGTCTATGCTGTTGTTCAGTGATGTGGCAATAGGATGCAACAGGCTCAATGAGTCGAACTTGGTTGTACTGAGTTGGTTTGGAGGTGTTGTAGGAATGAAGTTTTCTCTAAAGCGATTTGCGCCTTATCTTTTGAGTTCTGGGGCCGACTTTTGATTTTCCACCGACTTTTCATTTTCGAGAATATACACATGTATGAATAGCATACATATTGTAGCAAACAATATCACGTATCCAGTCACATGTCTTCGTGGGATCTCTTTGCTCTTAATGTGTGTGGCTCTTAGTGTGTTGTTCTCTATGGGGTATCCTATCATGATGCCTCATCTTGCAATAGCAAGTTTCAGTATTCACCACCTTCTGTGCAAATTGGGTAATGGCCACTCTTGACCTTGTCTCTTTCTCTAGGTTGTTGTTTGTGCTCATTTGTCGGTTTACCCTTAGATGCCACGGCAGAATGCCTCTTCGAGATTGACTTTTGAAACCCAACCTGGCCTGCACATGTGCTTTTGGGATGCTGTTTTTTTTGTTGTTTTCGTCTCTGCCCAAAGACTTGCAGCTAGGCAGTTGCCAACAGAAAACATTGATCAATGTTTAATCGGCAAGGATAATGGAAGAAAGAAACGGTATGTGTCAGTAGGGTAGCAAAAATAGGCCAGTATTCAATTGCTATACCAAAAAAAACATCCAAAGCAGCAATTGATGCAATACTGTTCAATTTCTTGCAAGTGTTGTCCAGCACTGCAATGAAGCCTTCAGATATACAGTGTGCACACCTAAAAAGCCAACAGCGTGAAACTTGCGTGAAACTTGCGTGAAACTTGCGTGAAACTTGCGTGAAACCCCTTTTTTTGGCGTGAACCCCCATTAAATGGCGTGAACCCCCATTACCCCAAAACGGGCATATTTTTGTCAGTGCAGTCGCGACTTTGGTTTCACAATTCTGGGTTTCTATGCTAAGAATGTGGCTGGTGTAAGAGTTTGGCAAATTCATGGCTGGATCCATACCTAAAGAACAAATTCCAGTAGAGCTAGGAGAGAAAACATAGAAGCCCAAATGTACACGTACATATTCATAGCATAGTCTTGTTTCGGGAGGGATGTCTGCGTCTGCACAACCGACAATTCAATCCACTTTGAAGTGCATGTATATGTGTGTATATCATAATGCAAGATGGCCCCAAATCTACCTGATGGGTGCTTGCAGACTTTCTATGCCTTCAACCATTTTTTAAAGAATCCGCTGCATCTACCAGCAAGGCAAGCAAAGAAAAAAACAAGACGTACGCAGAGAATACGTTCAACATCTTTGACCAACAAAATGCAAGCGCTGCTGGACTCCTAGGCCAGCTGAAATTGTGTGACAAGAACGGTTACAGTAGGCCCTTTGTATCAGGTTTAGTGCATTGTAAGTAGGAGAGATGTTGTCCCCTGACAAAACATATCACATCATATCTGAACTAGCCAACCGCCGCGCTGCATTGCTTCATTTATTGAATGGGTGTTGGGATGCAAAGAAACATTTGACGAATGGGCATATTGTTTGCCTGATGTTCTGATTTGTTTGTTTTGCTCTTCTTGCCACTGTTTATATTAATATTTTTTGAAATATGGCTCACAAAGAGAGAGAGAGAGGGGGAAGACAGAACAAATTCAACAAATCACACACACATGATTGGCTGACCTTGTATATATGGATATGTTTGTCCAAGTTTGTTTGTGACAGCCAATTTATGGCAAGTTCTGAACCACATGAAGCTAAGAATTGACACATTCACATGAAATACAGCAGGTCAAATATCGTTGTTTGGAGCACAGTGTCATTGCTAAAGAGGTCGCAGGTCTCAACTCCTGTCTCAGTACAGTAACCTCGAGCAAAGCAAAATGTACAGAGCAAGCGAGAAGATGTGGCAATTGCATTGTTAGTAGAAGAACATATTTGCATATGGTGCTCGCGTGTGACAGAATCTGGCGCACAGTGCGTTGCAGCATGTTTCGCAACATTGCAAGGTCCAAACTTGCTGTTAATACTTAATAGCTTTGTTTATACAGTGCAAGTCTTGCATCTAATCAGTACTTCCAACTAGAGGGTGTTGACATTCCATTCCCACCATCCAAAATCCACAACCGAATAAACTGATGATGCCTACATGTCTGTGTCTGGAAGCAACATATTTTTCAATTGGGGGGTACTCCTGTTAGTAGTTTGCATGCTTTCAGAACTCTCAAGTTGCTGTTCAATCAAATATTTGAATGTTTTCTGAAGTCTTTGCTGCTTTCACTCTTACTTTTCGACATTTGCTCTTTATCCGCCCGTGAAAGAGCAAGTGGAGTCTTGAAGAATATCTTTGTTCTTTAGCTCCCCTGTGAATCACTTCGGCTCTTCCAGTCTGAAAAATGGCATTTACTCGACCAAAGCAAAAAGGGTGAGCACACAAGAAAATGAACCACTCGCTAGAATAGTATTTTGGGCCTAACAAACAAAGGGGGTTCTACTAAACCCCTTTGTTTCACAGGTGGTTGGAATCCTAGGGTATATATATATAGAGATTAAGAGCTCATGTTTTCGTACATGTCAAACCGTGTTGGGAACCTAAATCTAGAGCCTTCACCTACACTATAAGTTAATGAGCCAAGATTCTGCAGCATGAATTGATGCTGACTTTGAATGTTCATACATGTTCATACTGTCTTACAACAACAGGCCCTGGTAGAAAAAATGTCAAGCAGTCCGCACAAACAATACAATATCCAGGGTCAAACAGCCTGGTATCTCAGAGCCCAACTCCAGCACTGACCACCAGCTCCACGTGGGAATCCTGTCGGCCATGATTCATGGAAGGAGCGCCATGGGGTTCCATCCCAGAATTCGTTGCAGTTGGAACTTTTCAGGCGCCAGGAAAGAACCTTGGCGTCAAAACGTAGAACTCCATTGGGTCGACAGGAATGGTTCCTCGGACATCAAGAGATTCACAGGGGCTCCAATACTCCTATGACAGTCAAGTGTCCAGGGATATGTCCAATGTCGCATCCGGTGCCGGGCTGTGTCCAACAGAATCTACTGTCCTTCACGTGTTTAAACTGCAAGCCCCAAGTGAAAGCATCCTGAATCATGTCGGTTTGTCTGGAGACAGAGTACCCCAACATCTAGTGGTCTCATGGTTGATTAGCATCACCTTCTCCCTTACAACACACCTGTTCTTTGACTCCCCATTTTGTGGCCAAAACCCAGTTGAATATCAGCTGAATCTGAGGCGATGACACTGACCGGGCCAAGTCTGGATAAAGTGCTAAGGCAACTTTGGCCTGCTGCATTTCTTCCCCCTCTGCTTCCACCAGCGCAGTGACCGCCACTGCATTGACCCGCACGCATCCCAACCAGTGAAACAACGACTCACACGCTGCATTTCTGGAAATGCCCACGTCAACGCAAAGAGTACAGCAAGCAGCCAGTAAAGCGCGCATCTTTAGCGCAGAGGCATCATTTCCACCATGATCCAACAAATCCTTTGCTGCTTCAATTCTCTTGTCCCCCTTTCTCTCGGCATTCCAGAGTTGTAGGGCCAAGCGTGTCTCTGGATGGAGTTTCAATCCAGGTAATCCAGATCGGTTTTCAAGATCTAGAAGCACTTTAGCCAAGGGATATTCACGAATCACCACGAATCCTCTCTCTAAGTGCCTGGTGGTCACCAAGGATCGCCCCTGATTTGGCCGCGAGGCCACTTCCACTCCCTTCTTCTGGCCTTGCCGCGCTGACAGAAAGGCGCCACAGGTCTCCTCCTTCACTCGCGGTCCCAGATCCTTGAGAATCTGCTCTCTGAAAGGTTGCAATTCCTCACATAAACGGCCAAAAAGATCTTGTTTTGGAAGGCTCCCTCTAAGCTGAGCCAAAAAGTCAGACTCTTCCCACCAGGACACTCTGCCCTCAGAAAGCAATCTTTGTCCAAAGGCAACGTCTGCAAAATCATGCTGCACCATGGCTCACTTCCTAGAAGTGGTAGTGTGAGACCCCCCTCAACTGCAGCATAGGTGCAACAAATCCGCCCGCACCGAAGGTGCTGGGGCGTGATCGTCCGGATGGCACTCATAAAAGGTTACAGGTTTACCTGGGGGGGGGGGTCCCATTTTTCGGCCAAAACCTCCTGTTTTTGATAGGTCGTGACGCTCGCCTTCAAAAAACACTGTAAAAAACAGTACGGAAGACACCTGTTCGTGAACGCGCCCGTCCAAAATCGGCAAGCGAAAAGTGAAAAAAAACGTGTTTTTCAACTTTTTGACCTCAATTTTTTGGTTTGCAACATCTTTTTTTGCGGTTCCGCAGGTGGCCTGGCCCGGAGGCGGATTTTTGAGTTTTTGGACCCGTTTTCGGACTGATTTTCGTCGTTTTGTGATAGCAGAAACACTGGTTTTTACAGTGTTTTTCTGTTTTCTGCATGCTTGACGGCTAGCTTCAAAACTTCCAAAAACCTCGTAAATTACGCTGTTTTATGTTACGGTGTGAATGAAAACATCGTAAATACCAGTGTTTTTTGACGTTGGTTAAAAAAACCCTGTAAATTACAGTGTTTTTGGCCACCTGACCCTCAAAAACCATGGTATTTGCAGTGGTTTCTGCTTCTCACCGCGCAAAAACACTGTAAATAACAGCAATTTCGCCGTTTTTTCATGTTTTTCGTTCTTTTTTGAACTGCGTTGGTCCGCTATACATGGCTATCAAATTCTTCGCCTTTTTTTTTCCGACAATCAGTACTTTCGGATGTTTTTGGTCTCAATGGCCGACATCATTGGCAGTTACGAGCGGTCGTGAAGGTGTGAGAACAACATCGTTCAAACCGTGGCGGCCGCACAGGGGTTCTTGTCGCAGAGCGACGGCAATAGAAGAGAACAATGGCAGTAGAAGAGAACAATGGCTGACATCATTAACAGTGTGGACCGTTCACTCTCACTCGATATACGATACGGTGCGGGCGGTTGCCGTCGCGAAGCGACGTGAATATGTCTTCAAATTAAGAGCTGCAACAAGACAGCGGCTGCACGACCTAACAAAGGTGTTGCATTGATCTTGGCACTGGAAAGCCTCAACTGGGTCAGTCAACAAACAACAAATGGTGTCGTCTCCGTTTGCGGCGCATGAAGATGTGTCCTGATTTCAGATTTCAATCAACTCCACAAACGACAACCAAAATATGTTTCAAGCAGGTACAGCTGACACGTTCAAAACTAATGTGATATGTTTTATATATATATATATGAATATGTGCATATGATATATATATATATACATATATATATATTACTATTATTATTATCATATATATATAGTATGTACAATTATACTTGTTGACTGGATGTGTGTGTGTCTGAACTTAAAGCACCAAGCTGGAATCCACAGAGAACGGGCAGTCAAGCATTTCATTCGTACTGTAACTAGTAACCATCCAAGTCCAAAACCCTCTGAAATCTAAGCCAGACTAGAGTCAGAAACGCCATAAGACTGCGTTGCTCTATCATATCCACTTTCTACAGTACTTGCTTGCAAGGCACCCTTCCAAATAATGCTACACTGCATTTCTATCTGACTGTAAGTGGGTTGCGTTGCCCATCGGAATTCCCAGGAGGGACTGCTGGTGTCTCCACGGAAAGCTCACAGGATTTTCTTCGCAAACACATTTCATCACCGGCCAAGATAAACCCGGAAATCAATCTTATCGTCTCATATCCATTCTGTTTAACCAACTAGTCCCTTTTTGATCTTGAAGCCAAATGGATCAATCATGATCAATCAGTGTTCTGAATCCAGTTAACCATTCAAGTAGCATTCGAATCCAGAATTCGATAGGATTGGTTCCAGGATCATCTAGGATCTATGTACATCAAATGACCTTGCGGTGCACGTTCGTGACTTTGGTGACCTTGCCCGTCATGACGCTGGTGGGGTCGCCACCTTGGCAGAAGAGAACCGTGCCCTAAGGAGGTTTCTTCAAAGAGGGTATGACAGTCATTTATAGTCAGTTATAGTCAATTATTTATAGTCGATTCTTATAGTCAATTATAGTTCTCTAGCGCTGTCCGATGCTGGCTTTGTTTTCCCGCGAAGCTATGGCGCTATGGCTGGGAGGAAACCAAATGGCCACACCGCCAAAGGCACCGGTAGTTGAAGACCACTGTAGACATTTGGCGTGAAACCGCAAAAGTAATGTGATACGCCCTCTGGTTAACCAACGTAGCTATGGAAATCACCGTTTTAAATGAATACAGATACGTAATCTATAAACGGGCCATTTTCCATAGTTATGTTAAATTACCGTGAAAGGTAACCACAGAAAATTGCAGTGCCCCCCTGTTATTTTTAGCCGTAGTTTCTGTTTTCATCTCGAACATCCTGGTCAGACATCCTGGTTGGTGCCCTTGAGCATTGTGATGCCCCGTTAATTTGATCATCATGCACTGAATTTTCCACTGCCTAAACACCAGCAGAACAGCCTTTGCAGCTGTCAAATCTGCAGTTTCCGATCGCAGTTGGAATCCGTGCCGTAGACTATAAAAAACTGAAAATAATGCCAGCTCATGTGATTTCGTACTAGCAGCACTAAACGGCTGCTGAAGTCCATTCGAAGAAATGTGTTCTCCAGCTGCATGGCGGGCAGCCTGGTGGCAGGAACTGGAGTATTAATGGATCAGCTACGTTCATTTCGTGTGGCATGGCGTTTTTCTGTGGGTGCACATTTTTTTGTGAAAATCGAACATGTGCTCACGCAACCCTCTCGTGACTTTGTCCGTGGCGGGTCCCTCCTGTTGTTGTGCGTGTCAGATCGCTCTCAATGTGGCGCAGTGTGAATTTTGATAGCGCTCGCGCAACCCTCTCGTGACTTTGGGCCTGTCAGGTCGCTCTCATCTCGTTGTGGCACGGTGCGCATTTTGATTTCACTCGCGAAACCCTCTCGTGACTTTGGGCATGCCGGGTCGCTCTTGTAGTGGCGCGATTCCGAATTTTGACATCGCCCACGCAACGCAACCTTCTCAGAACTTTGTCTCGTTGTGGCGCGGTGGTTTTAGTTGATTCTCTTGGATCCTGGTAAAGAGATCTCATGAGTTCTCTGGAAGGTCCTTCTATGACGCTATTGCAAGGGTCTCATGGTGCATAAAAATAGTCCTATATAAAGATCTCGACCGAGGTCTTATAGAGGCCCTTGTGAGAAGATGTTGTGCAGATCCTGATGAAATCCTCGGATGTCTTTGCATGATCTTGTACAGGTCCTTATCAGGAGATCTTGTGAAGATCCTGCTGGCATCCTCTAAAAGATCCTGCTGACATCCATCCTCTAAAAGATCCTGCTGACATCCACTACAAGTTGCCTGCATGATCTTGCGCAGGTCCTTATGAGAAGATCTTGTGGAGAACCTTGTAAATTCCTTTCCAAGAGGTCCTTGCATGGAGATCTTGCAGATGCCATGTCTTAGAGGTGCTTGTACGAAAGCTCTTGTGGGGGGGGCTCTTGGAAGGTTCTTCTATTAAGATCTTGTAAGATCCGCTCCAGCAGCAGCAGGTCCTTTTTATGACGATCTTGTGAGGCTCTCTTAGCGACCGTCAAGGTCTTTTACAGAGAAGATCTTGTGGAAATCCTAGTGACATGCGGTCGCATGATCTCGTACAGGCCCTTGTCAGAAGATCTTGTGGAGATCCTGTTGTAAACCTCCTCAAAAGGTCCTTTTATTAAGATCTTGACGATGCTCTGCGTTGGTGCTTGTATGAAAGATCCTCTGGGATGCTCATAGGAAGTTCTTGTATGAAGATCTTGTGAGATCAGATCCTCTTTATAATCTGTATAGATCTATATACAAGGTCCTTCTTCGACTATCTCTTGAAATGCTCCTAGATGTCCTGATAAGAGGTTCTGGTATGAGGTCCTGATGAGTAGACATAGCGTTGCTTCTTGTGCCAAAAACAAGTTCCAGCTGCTGCAGCTCCGATAATGTCCAAGCTGATCTGTTACTGTTCCATAGCTACTATTGCTGTTGCTTGTATCTGGTGCATTGACTTCCTAACCCCCACACTGTGTGGGGCCTCTTTCCGGTGTAATTTGTTCAGAGATCGGGGCCCAATAGCTGGATAGTTTATTTCATGGAACATCCAAACATATAATGGATGATTTGGGGTTACGCCTGATTATTTTCAAGAGATCCAAATGGGTAGACCCTGATTTTGGGGTTACGCTCGATAGGAAACATGGTGATAAACAGTTGGATCTGAGGATGCTCCATCCTCAGACAATCCCATGTTTATCTCACAACATGGGCTTGCAATTCCCGCGCGGATCCATGGAATACATACGGTACCCGGTACGCCTTTGGGATGTTGGAAAACATGTAGGATCCCTCATGAAATCCCTTTATAATACATAGGAGTGGGGCCTTAGTAGGGGTACACCCCGTCATCGTTTGAGAGATCTTTGCTGGTAGACGACAAACACCAGAGCATCTACAATGGCATTCAAAAACGAACAAACAAGCAACCCCCGGCTCGATTCTGGTTAAGCTGTGCCAAACTCTTATCTTAGTCATAGTCTTCTTTTTTGGGGCACCATCAACAGCTCAAGAAAAAGTTGAGCACCTTGTAGCTGACATTCTTGCAACGCCTCCTGTAACTTTGACATCTCCGTCAAATTCACCTGGCAGCCACCCTGAAGCGATGCCGCAACTTCTTGTACCACCTGCTGCCGTCGGAGTCATTGAAGAATTCAGCTTGCAAACTGCCTTTGCGTGAGTTACTCCATGTCACCCGATTTCCATGAACGGCCGGTGCCAAAAGATACAAATCACGCACTCACTTCATTGAATCCAATTGATCTTTCGCACCAAGACACTCCAAGTACCAACGAAAAATTGGAAAAAGGTACATACATGTAAATATCATTAAACATATAATAAAATAAACCATGATAATATTACATAATATAATATAACATAATAAAATATAATATAATAAAATATAATACAATAAAATAAACCATGATAATATATCATCATATAATATAACATAATATGGCATAATAAAAAATAATATGATATAACAAAATAGAAAAAATAAAATGAAAAATAATATAATGCAAGATCATATAACATAATATGATATGCTAAAATATAATATAATTCAATATGATATGGTAAGATATAATATAATATATAAATAATATATATATAATATATATATATATGAATACAATATAATATAATATAACTAAACATAATACAATATAATATGTATAATATAATCTATATATCAATAGGAATATATAGGATATATATATATATAGACAAATGCACACTTACGAATCAATGACACACCCATATAGAAAATTCGATCGGCGCCTCCAACGTGGGCAGAAATGCCAAGGGTTCACCTCTACCTTTGGTGGTCCACTGGGGAAGGCCTAGGACGCTGTGTGGGGAGATCTGGCATTGACTCATGGCACCCATGGAACCCATGGAACCCATGGAACCCCTGGAATGCTGGGATCAATGGATGTTCATCCCCAATCAAATTTGTTGTATTTCAGAGGTTTTAACTGCTTTACCTCCCACAACCATCTGGGAATTGAAGCCAGAGTGGACAGCGCAATGATGTTCCATTCTGTGCAAAGATGCAAACATCTGCAAAACATATTCTGAAATATGTCGAAGACGACCATCTTTCAAAACATTAATGGACACAAAATAACTAAGCATGTTTTTTTAGCATTTAGCTACGTTTTGTTTGAGAGAGGAAATACCCAAATGGCGATGGGAAATCTCCAGGTTTGATATGCAAATCATTGATCACATAATCCGAAACTTCTGGTTCCTGCCATATGTAGATAAAATGTTTCTATTTGTTCTGAATCAGAAATCCAGCGCTGATACAAATTAAAGTTTCTTTGCCAAGGCATGCCCAACTGTGGCGCCCACCTGCGAGAGTAGCCAGGAGTAGCAAAATCCCCAGGCAACGCCTAGGCGTCTTTGGGCCTTAGATGGCAGTTGTGAATTTAGTTTGTTGGTGGGCTGCTGATGACATACAACTAATCCTCTGTGATACCCGGTCAAACATGGCAATGCCCTTCCCGATTTATAGCTGGTTTTCCCTGTTAAGACTCCATGTGCAGGGGATTTTCCATTGGCACCTTTGATTGCCGGAGGATAGAGTATACCTGGATATTCATTGGTTACAAATTTCTTTCCAGGGCAGATTTTGGTTTGATTTCTGACAATTTTTTGGAGATTTACCCATTTCAAAATAAAAATGACCATTTCAAGAAAAAACATGCCACTTCATGTTTTCATTTTTGAGTCATGATGGATCTGCCCGGGTATTTCCGCCCTTTTCCCGGGTATTTCCGCCTTTTTCCCGGGAATTTCCGCCCAAAAAAATCGACACATTTTTACGCAAAGTAGAGTAAGATCAGCCCAAAAGGCACGAAATCCAAAATTAACCACAATAATCAAAAAGTGACCATTTCCAGCTCCTTCACAAGAAATCCGCCCTAAGGGCAGAAATCTTGGAAACGGACACTTATTTGTATCCTTTCGAAGATCCAGGTATGTGTGTATTATTCTGATCTTTATTTACTCGTTTTTCATGTAAAGATCGGTGGCATAGTATCAAAAGCAAAATCTTGTTGGTATCTCTTGTTTTTTTTTCAAACACGCCCCAAATGAAACGTATGTTGAAACTGCACTGGTTTGGCAGGATCTGACCTTTTGGAACTTTTTGTCCCACCTGCCAGGTGGGATCTCTAGATTTTAACAAGACAGGGCCCCCACCTCCCCGCGTCGTCGCCAGCCTCTTGTAGACAGCCACTCTATCGCGAGCTGGCCAGCTCTGGGCCCGAACACTATGTCAGATAAGATGTCAGATAGAATGCCAGATAAAATGTCAGGTTGAACGACAGATAGAATGCCAGAAAAAGTGTAGTGTATATGTAATTTCGCAATAATATGTAAGATACAATGCCACATAGAATCCGCCGGCCTGCCGGCGTGTCTTGTGGATCTTGCTTGTTCGTAGTTGCACTGTCTGTTTTGTCCTTGTCATTGTCAAGACTTTCCCTTTGGCGTGGATTTTTGCCTCGTCTAACTTGAAGCCCCCCTCCCCCTGCTGGCGTATAGCTCTTCTTTCGTCTTCATCTTTTCTTACGTTGTGCTGGGCTGAACTCTGCCCACGCCTCGCTCAACACCAGCTTGGTTTTGCACATCTTGCTGTCCTTTTGATGGTTGTTTGTGTCTTTTTTTGGTGTGTGCCATCGGTTTGCTCAGTCGCTTCTTATATCCCTTGATCGACTGGCTTTTGTGCCGAACACCTTTTACATAACCTTTTTCCAAAACCCTGCTTTACACACATGCTTTGGCTTAAACTTTAACCGTGGTTTGAACAAAAGTCATGTTTTTGTGTCAAAACCGTCTTTAACACTTTACACAAAGCGCTGTTTTACACAAAGAAAAAGTATTATACACAAACACCATGCTGGGCCAGTGCAAGCGCTGTTTGCGGCTTGCAGGATAGCTCTTTCCATGGTGGCTGGCGGAACACGACGAAGGCGGTTAATTATATAAATATCAGGTACAATGCCAAAACATGGTGGGAATCACTCGAAGAAAGTAATTTGAGTTGCTATATATAATTATATTCTATAATTATTATATAATTATATATACATGTGGAAGGGATCATTGCCGAACTTCTGCCCAGTAGCGTTGATGAACATCGCTCCGATGTTCGTCGGTCTGGACGGCAACCTCCACGGAGCCGGACCTTTCGGAGCTGAAGCCCGACATGTCGGAGCTGCACTCCGTCCTCGCGCGCTTGGTGTGCTGCCAGGCGTTCTACCATGGATGAAGAAACTATAAGAGGAACATGATTTGGGTTGTGGGGCTGATGAAAAATAGGGATATACTATCATATACATCAACCAAAAGCGATTCAACACCAGCAATAGCGATAGAATGAGACAAATGATCTATCTTCAAATACCATCAAATATTGATGCAGGACAATATGAAACCTCATCAAATTTCATACTGTACCATACTCCCATGTTTTGTTCATATCCACTGCGAGAAATGAAAAGATCACCTTCCCAATTCTTGGCTGCTTAAATACGGTTAAATCCCATTAAACCCTATCAAACCTGACTATCTGCAGTCGGATCCTCTCCTTTCTTCCACTTCAGGCGGCGTACGCGGTAGCGTCCACTTGGGCTGAAACGGATCAGCTGGACTGTGGTACTCCTGGAAAAAAACGAAGATCTTATGGTCAAATTTCATGATTGCAGTTGGGATTACAGTTACTAGTTATAGGTTTATACAATGTAATATCCCTATAATTCTTGCACATCCCCTATTGCCATCCAATTCTACACTCACACATATTAACTATTTCACTAAGTTATAAAATATAAAGTTATATGGTTATATCATAAGTTATATCCCCTATATTTATTCCTCCCATAGTTATCGTTGTACACTTAATTATAGCAAAGCTTCCGAAGCTTCCACGTCCTCAACGCGTCTCCCTCTGCACGGTGTGGGCAGTGACCTTGTCCGAGCGACACAGGGATTCAACCATTAAAACATGTGGTTTTACTAATGGCTGGTTGGTGGTGCAATAACCATCTTGAAAAATATTAATTAGTCAATGGGAAGGATTATGATTATCCCATATATGAAATGGAAAATAATCCATTCATGTTCCAAACCACCAACCAGATGGCTAATGAATTTTAGTGGACCTGAAAAATGGCACCCTGTAACCTCGCTTCACGCAACGATCAAAGCAGTGAGGTTGTGACATGGAGAATTTACCGAAGATATGGCCATCTTTGATGGGGGAAATAGATGAAACATGATGAAACTATTTAACTATTTGAATTTCTCATCAACATGATGTTCTCTTATGGTTGTTTTCATGGGGATAGAGTGACCCACAATGTGATATGTATTTGTCTGAAAAATCTTGGAAGACACCGTTTCATTGCATTATTCAGAGAATCATTACCCCATCATTACCCCATGAGAATGGCTGGAAGATGGGGTATCTCAGATCTCCCCTTTTTTGAACAAAGCGCTCGCTGAGATTCTTGCGTACCTTCCAAATATCTGAACAACACAACATGTGATGCTGAGATAGCGCCGTCTCCATTTACTGTTCGTTTTGCCCATCAAAATTGCCAAAATGTTAGCAAAGCAATGTCATAAACCATCCAGATTGAACTGATGGTTCCGAGTTTCTGCCCATCAAAATGGTAAATGTGGGAATGTTGTACCGGTTTTTGCTTTACTAACATGAATTACTTTGGGATCAACCCTTCTGTGAAGGCAAGCGACCCACAGGACATCACACGTGAATGCCTCACATCTTCGACGCAGCGACGCCTGAACACCAAACTGAAGCCCGAGGTGTGCCCTTGTGGAACCAGCCCTTTTTTCGGAGTCACGGTTGAACAAAAACAAACATCATCAATTCCCCATTCATAGATGGCTCAATACTGATAAACCATGATAAACTGATAAACATGAGTAATTCTGTAGAAAAACAAGGGAGAACCTCAATGGCAAAGCAGGGACTAAAGCTGCAGTTGCTGGCCAAGAAAAGGTTCAGTTTGGTGTTCAAAGAAATCCCAGGTTGGTGAGTGATTCTTCCCACATACGGGGATTCCATGGCACCCCATGGCACCCCATTCCATATCCCATGGTCGATCACCTTTTTTCCCATAAAGAACCGCCATTTTGGAGATGTGCTAAAAATAAAGGTATGAAACATAATGAAACTATAATGAAACCATGGTATTTGCATGGTATTTGCATGGTATTTGCGGGATGAACATCCAACTTCATCCAGCTATTTTGAGGCTCATGAGGGTTGTTTAATCATTTTTGACTCATAGCCATGGGGTGTCCCCCCACTGTTTTGACGAACCGCAGTTGGACATCCCAGCCATTCTGGCCATGGGCCGAGGAAACGCACGTGCCTTCTCAGGATCATGGTTTCGCTGGGGACCACCCGTTGTCAAAGCTCGAACCAATAGGAACCAACGGTGAACATCTATGAAGACGTTGGTGAAACATGGTTTTGAGTTTTGTCTCAAAATGTTGGACACCTGGTTGATTAATGTTGATTATCATGTTCAGCATGGTTCAACCTTTTTATTGGCAACATTGGAATATATCCCATTTTAGATGTTTTGAGATAAACAGGCTGTTGGGGTATCTCCCAAAAATGTTGAATAACCCCCACATTTTGTTGCACACCAGAAATTAAAACGAAAATCCAGGTTTCGTAGATGCTAGATCATCCTAGTACGTATTGGAGTTCACTTCTGAGCTGGGAAACCTGAGTAGCTCAGCAGCAGTCCGAGTTTCAGGCATGTTTTTTCTGATTCCTGCGGGCGCAAATCTGGTCTGGATGGAGCATGGTGCCAGACAATCATGATAAACATGGCAAGTGTCCAATGGTTATCGACTTAAGGCACGTTCAATTCGTAAGAACTATTATATCATATATCAGTATATATTCCATTAATCTACGTATGATTTATGTCCCAAGAATTTCACTTGCTGATCCCGTTGCTGCGCCTTCACCATCTGTGGCTTCGCCACCGATGAAATTGGCAGTGCCAAAGGCAACTCTGTGGTTTGCTTGGCTCGAGTGGACCAGCTTAAGAAGCATCCTCAGGTTTCAACCGGATTTATTGAAGGAAGTTTAGAAACTTTCGACGCCATGGACGCATGAAGCAGCAGAGGTGGGAAGAAAAAGAAAAAGAGTCAGAATAGAAGAAGTGAGAGAAGAGAAAGAATTAAAGAAAGAAGATCCAGGAGCGCGGAAAGGTAGAAAAGTCGTGAAACGCTGTGCTTTACTGATGTTATGTGGCCTCAGAGGGTCGAAAAGTAGGCTCGCTAAAGCGGCGGGCGCGGAGGCATCTGGTCGTATGATGCAATATGAGAGATGGACAAATTGCACACTGCTGTGGCGCGAAGCACATTTCAAAGTCAAAATGCTAAAAGCACCTCAACATCGGATCACTATTGGAATTTGCGATGTCGAAAAAGTGGATTGATAGGCAAAGAGAGAGAGAGAGATAGATAGATAGATAGATAGATAAATAGATAGATAGATAGATAGATCGATAGATTGATAGATCGATAGATCGATAGATGGATGGATAGCTAGATAGATAGATCGATAGATGGATCGATAGATGGATGGATGGATGGATGGAGGACTAGATTAGATTAAGATTGAGATTGAGATTGAGATTGAGATTGAGGATTAGATTAGATTAGATTAGATTAGTTAGATTAGTTAGATTAGAGAGATAGATAGATAGATTAGAGAGATAGATAGATAGATTAGAGAGATAGATAGATAGATTAGAGAGATAGATAGATAGATAGATAGATAGATAGCTAGATAGATAGATCGATAGATGGATCGATAGATGGATGGATGGATGGATGGATAGATTAGATTAGATTAGATTAGATTAGATTAGACTAGACTAGATTAGATTAAGATTGAGATTGAGATTGAGATTGAGATTGAGAGATTGAGATTGAGATTGAGATTGAGGATTAGATTAGATTAGATTAGATTAGATTAGTTTTTTATTAGATTAGATTAGATTAGATTAGACTAGACTAGATTAGATTAAGATTGAGATTGAGATTGAGATTGAGAGATTGAGATTGAGGATTAGATTAGATTAGATTAGATTAGTTAGATTAGTTAGATTAGAGAGATAGATAGATAGATTAGATAGATAGATAGATAGATAGATAGATAGATAGATAGATAGATAGATAGATAGATAGATCGATAGATAGATCGATAGATGGATGGATAGCTAGATAGATAGATAGATAGATGGATAGATCGATAGATGGATCTTAGACAATAGAATGCAATAGATCGATAGACCATGGCAATCTATCTGCAATGGGTCGAATTCGGATGACCATCTCCCAAGAACTGAGCGATATCACCAACCGTCTGGGACGGGGTTTCCCAGGACAAGGCCACATGATTCACAATGACGGCGCGTTTCCTAGCTGCATGGTCATCCAAAAAATGGAAAATATTAAACTCTACTAGGATAATGATGATACATGTTCATATCTGTTGTGGGGTCACTATATTATGGTATTGCCATGTGCTTCACAATGATGTTGCCAAGGTACTCCGACCATGCACAACTGCACCATCCAGAGTTTTCAGGACCTTCTCTGCATCTTGAAAGGTGTAGAAATTCACATAGCCTTGGATTTGCTAATCCGGAACCTCCAAAAATAGGTCACATATTCTCTGTAGCTTTTCCCCAAGTAGTGGATTTTCCACTGGAAGAAAAATATCACCTTCAGAAAATCCAGGTAGCCGTGATACTCGGACTCCAGTGTTTTCGTGTCTCTGACCACACGCACGGTGGCCACGGGAGCCACCTTCACGAAAAAGTCGTAGAGCATTTCTTCCTTGGAATTGCGGACTTATGCTGCTTAAGCGGATTAAAACTCACTTCTAGTGGCTTGTAAGCCAGGTACTAACCATAGTTATCACGTAGTTGATTCTTAAAAAGAAGTTCAATGTGTAGTCAGTAGTTGCAATTTCTGGACAGAACAAAATTACCAAAATAAATCGAACGAGATCCAAATTTACAAGAAACCTCATGACTGCTGCTTGTTGTGTTGAAGAATGTAGAACATTTTCCTTTAAAAGTCAAGAGCCCTTCGAACGCTGCGTGTGGCACACATGTAAATCACTCATACTTAAGCCATTTCCGGTGTTGAAAAATCCGCCTGCGTTATTCTTTAAAAGTTTTCTTTCAGAATCCCCAGAAATTTATAAAGCCTGACGCCCCGCTCTTGGCAAAGGCACAGAAACCTCCGGATGAAGATTGCCAATGTGCAAGGCCTTGCATCTGAGAGATCAGGGCTGTTGAAAAGGTGCGCAAGGACGACTGGACAAAGTTGTTAATGAATAGTAGACTGATCTACAGTATATAGATAGTGTGCAAGAGGCTCTTGACGAGAAATCAAGTCCCAAAATGGTCCGAATATGTACAAACAACATACAATAAATTTGTTGAAACATCATGTGCTAGGATTTTAACAGCGAAACTGAAATCTGTGGGATAGTCGCTCCAAGAAGGCATCGGGGACACAGAAAAACATGGAATGTCATGTATACATGAAAAAAACTTGCAAAAAAAAGGTATTGAAGCATCACATGTAAATTATATTGAACAACACCATCCTGGTTGTATCCCCATCCGACGTCAACTATAGGGTTTTGAACGCTGCAACGCTGCTCTTTGGTCAAGCTGCAGGTTGCGCTTGTGCCATCTTTCGATCGTCTCGCGCTCGACCAAGCGCATCTGCGAGTCCACACTTGCAGTGCCCTCCACAGCGGCAGCGGGGCATGTCGCCTTTGATTTCCTCGGAAACTCCAAGGGAAGTCGCCCGATTCCAAGGGACTGGTTGGAAAGATGTGGAAATTGTATGAAATTCTTGGGTCATTAAATGAATCAACAATGAACCTGGATTTCACACGAATTTTATAAATTCATATAAATTCAATGGAGTTCACATATTATGAATTTGCTGCTCAGTTTGGCATTGTTTGGCGGCACACTGGATCTCTCACAGGTCAAAAAGGGATCCCTGAAAGCCAACTCTGCAGCTTGCACCAGGCTGACATGTCGCCAAGTGACAGCATGTGGCAGAACAAAGTTCTGGGGTTTCGCCTCCGCTCAGCAGGTTTGGGCAACACAAAGGCACGTTTCGGCGGCATGGCAAAGGATCACAAACCTGTGCCCTTGACCTTGAAATTACTGGAAACAAAAGCTGCCACTGAAAGCATCTCTTGGTTTCCCACGTTGACCGTGTTGCGAGTACTTGCTTGTACATTTATCTTGGCTAAGGTGCTCCTATCTTTCGACCAAACTCGTCGGTCTCAAATCTCGAGGTTGATCGAACCAGCATCTTCAGGCATGGCTCCTCTGCTCCCCACTGCGAGGACTGCAAGTCAAAACTGGCAAGAGAACGGACTTGTCTCACTTGACGCGTCTTTGGACAAAGGGTTCAAGGAAGCAATGAGACCATGAATATATCAATCATTAATCAGTGTACTCATTTATTTGCCGTTTAGAGAGCACACATCATACTCAGTACTCAGCATATACATTCTCAGTACTATAGTGATCTGGGTCACCGAAGCTCTCTCTGCAAGTTCAATGAGCGACACTTCTACTCATGCACATCTAGCTTGGGATCCTTCAAAATTACGAACCCCTGGAAGTTCATACCAAATCCAAAATGCACTTGTTGGGTATTCCCGGTATTCCCGGTATTCTCCATTTTGAGACAAACACTACAGTGACTACAGTACACCATGACCACAAGTCCCTGCGTGGCAATATGTGGCAATCCTGCCACATCCTGCCACCATCCCAAAAAAACAGTCCTGAAGTTCACTTCGCATGGCTTCGACCTAGGTGCCAACCGTGCCAACCCTGGGGATTTTGAGAAGGGCATCCGACTAAGAAACCATCCGAGACTCTGGTGGTTTGAGGGCTTCAATGCGCCATGCTCAGTTCATGGTGTATCAATGGTTCTCTCTATCTTTCTCCAGCACGCCCTCAGCTGCCGGTGTATCAATCATCTTCCATCAGTTCACAATGTTCACTTGCTCGATGTCATGACTCGGTGTTTCACATGCACCAAAAACAAAATTCACAAAAAAAAACAACATGTTTTTCTCTATGTTCATGCCAAAAATATCCCATGTCTCCAACGTTTTTTTTCCGTTGTGTAACTTCAACCCAAGGCACGTCCTCCTTCACCCCGTTGATCTCCAGAATCACATCACCTTCCCTCAACTGCTGCGTCGAGGTTCGGTTCCGTTGCCCCACCACACCACGTTCGCTGATCGACGCCACGCGTAAAGCCACGAAGGACTCCGAGGACGCAGCCTCTGGGAAGATCTGCCACGATCCGCGACCCGTGCATCACTTCTGCTCTCAGAAAATGTTCAATGAACTGTTTTGTTTATATCTATTATCATCATCTATTATCTATCTACAGTAATGTTGATTGTTCTTTATTAAATGGTTGGGTCATTTGATGTCATTTCTCCATATATTTGTTTCAACATTTAACGGCCATGAACATGTCGTACATCGCCACTGGGATCTACTGGGGGGTGCTGGCGCACTGGAGCTGTGAACGCTGACAGGTGGTTTCAATTTCAACCCATTTCAAGAAGAACAAAACATGCGCTATATCACCATCATCAGTCTAATATGGACTAATATAATCAACAAATCTAATCAAATCACTCATATAACTAATCATTAATCTATATATATAATAATAGATATCAAACAAAATCCTACTGTGACTACTGTGGCTGAAAAAATGTTGTGCTAATATTCCTCGTCGGGCAGGGTGCGATTCCCAACAAAGGCCCGCCTCTACGCTAATTCCCAACAAATCATTGGCCCTTTCCAAGGACCTCAGTTCAGGCTGAAAAAAATTCTCCGGGAGATCTCCGGAGCTGCAAGGCCGAAATGGACCATGCATGGCTGAGGTCCAAACACTTCAAACTCCATGGGAGCAACCTCAACACCTATCAAAACTGCGGCCACATTCCAGAATGAAATCTCAAACCCCCAATTTTTTAAAGTGGCGATGACGATGATGATGATTTTCATTGTCAGCATCACCATCATCATCATCATCATCATCGTCCTCGTCCTCGTCCTCCTCGTCCTCCTCGTCCTCCTCGTCGTCGTCGTCATTATCATCATCATCTTACACCATTTTCAGGCACATGCAGCAATGCATGTGTTGATTTCCATTAATCCACACATGTGTCAGCCAAGTCCGGGGTTACATTTTCAAGTACCACAAGCCATATGACCAGCCTGGGATCGGAGCCACTGGCAGCTGAGATTGCGGAGACTTTGGTGCCGTCTCCGTGCTGGCCTCCAGGTGTGGATAGTGTTTAGAAACTATCTTACAGTCTTGAAGCTGAACCTGGTAATTCTAAGCGCATGGAATTTTGTTCCACGAGTTCTTGGCAAGGGTGACAGTCACAGACTGCAGATGTCTGCAGGAATGCAGGTGTGCTGCATCGCCTGCTCCCTTCCATTGGCGGGAAACAGGCAAATTTGCACGTTCAGGGAAGACCGAAGACCAGCCACATCATCTTCAAAATCGTGGTGCTGCCAGGCTGGGACTGAAGTATAGCCCAACATTCAAAAAATGTCGGTAGCATTCAAGTGCACGCATGGATCTCAAGATCCATATGCAAGCGGCTTTGCTGAGGCGCCTTTCTTGTTGAGAAGGTTGAAGCACACGAACATAGGAGCTCCCTCCGCTGGTGGCAGAGCACACTGCTCCCAGAAGCACAGCCGAGTGCTCACCATGGAGCACAGTTTGCCTCCCTCCATAGGCGTGGTCAACTTCGTTCCGCCCTTGATGCACAGCTCCTTCACCTGGACAGCAAACAAAGGACGGCCATTGGCTTGCGGGGCAGAAAAGCCCAGACCCATGCAGAAGATGTAGTAGAGCCAGAAGGTGTCACCAAAGCTGGTAGACCAGTCAAAGAGTTGCTGGCCACTCCATCCATCACCACCCGCAAGCTTTTTGTTGAAGCAAACGCAGATTGGAGATCCTTCGGCTGGGGGCAAAGAGCACTGGTCCGTGATGCACAGGCAAACGCGGATGTTGGAGCAAAAGGGGTCGCCCACATCTGTCATCTCGCACCTGCTGTGGAGGCAAATGTTCACAGCTTCTCCTCCAAAGAATGGATTTCCAACTGCACCAATGCCAACACCCTCACAGAAGCAATAGTTCAACCACCAAAGCTCGTTGAACATCTTGTCACGGTCCAAGTTGGGGGAGATGTCCGACTTTGCGATGTCAGGCATGGTGCTTGTCTCAAGAAATTGGGACCTGGCACTATGAACTGGGAGATTTGAGCCGCTAATCTCTGCATGGGTTCATCTCTGCAATCAAGCAGACAATCAAGCACAGTCGAAAACAAACTCTTGATCCACTCAACATTCCTACAGAAGCAAAAAGAGACAAGGCCAGTGGCACGGAAAGTTATCTGTTTACAACATGCTCTCCTGATGTTTGTTGAACCCTATTAATGCAAAGCCATGTCAAGCAGTCCAAGAACACCCTTCACGCACTGTGGTCTCGATCAACTATTTTATTTTGCATGAATGTTTAGTGACTCTGGGTGTATGTTTCTTGATTCCTTTTGTTCCACGAGTTCTTGGCAAGGGTGACAGTCACAGACTGCAGATGTCTGCAGGAATGCAGGTGTGCTGCATCGCCTGCTCCCTTCCATTGGCGGGAAACAGGCAAATTTGCACGTTCAGGGAAGACCAGCCACATCATCTTCAAAATTGTGGTGCTGCCAGGCTGGGACTGAAGTAAAGCCCAACATTCAAAAAATGTTGGTAGCATTCGACTGCAGGCATGGATCTCAAGATCCATATGCAAGCGGCTTTGCTGAGGCCCCTTTCTTGTTGAGAAGGTTGAAGCACACGAACATAGGAGCTCCCTCTGCTGGTGGCAGAGCACACTGCTCCCAGAAGCACAGCCGAGTGCTCACCATGGAGCACAGTTTGCCTCCCTCCATAGGCGTGGTCAACTTTGTTCCGCCCTTGATGCACAGCTCCTTCACCTGGACAGCAAACAAAGGGCGGCCATTGGCTTGCGGGGCAGAAAAGCCCAGACCCATGCAGAAGATGTAGTAGAGCCAGAAGGTGTCACCAAAGCTGGTAGACCAGTCAAAGAGTTGCTGGCCACTCCATCCATCACCACCCGCAAGCTTTTTGTTGAAGCAAACGCAGATTGGAGATCCTTCGGCTGGGGGCAAAGAGCACTGGTCCGTGATGCACAGGCAAACGCGGATGTTGGAGCAAAAGGGGTCGCCCACATCTGTCATCTCGCACCTGCTGTGGAGGCAAATGTTCACAGCTTCTCCTCCAAAGAATGGATTTCCAACTGCACCAATGCCAACACCCTCACAGAAGCAATAGTTCAACCACCAAAGCTCGTTGAACATCTTGTCACGGTCCAAGTTGGGGGAGATGTCCGACTTTGCGATGTCAGGCATGGTGCTTGTCTCAAGAAATTGGGACCTGGCACTGGCACTATGAACTGGGAGATTTGAGCCGCTATTTTGCCATGAAAATACGTTCATCTCTGCATGCGTTCATCTCTGCAATCAAGCAGACAATCAAGCACAGTCGAAAACAAACTCTTGATCCACTCAACATTCCTACAGAAGCAAAAAGAGACAAGGCCAGTGGCACGGAAAGTTATCTGTTTACAACATGCTCTCCTGATGTTTGTTGAACCCTATTAATGCAAAGCCATGTCAAGCAGTCCAAGAACACCCTTCACGCACTGTGGTCTCGATCAACTATTTTATTTTGCATGAATGTTTAGTGACTCTGGGTGTATGTTTCTTGATTCCTTTTGTTCCACGAGTTCTTGGCAAGGGTGACAGTCACAGACTGCAGATGTCTGCAGGAATGCAGGTGTGCTGCATCGCCTGCTCCCTTCCATTGGCGGGAAACAGGCAAATTTGCACGTTCAGGGAAGACCAGCCACATCATCTTCAAAATCGTGGTGCTGCCAGGCTGGGACTGAAGTATAGCCCAACATTCAAAAAATGTTGGTAGCATTCAACTGCAGGCATGGATCTCAAGATCCATATGCAAGCGGCTTTGCTGAGGCCCCTTTCTTGTTGAGAAGGTTGAAGCACACGAACATAGGAGCTCCCTCTGCTGGTGGCAGAGCACACTGCTCCCAGAAGCACAGCCGAGTGCTCACCATGGAGCACAGTTTGCCTCCCTCCATAGGCGTGGTCAACTTTGTTCCGCCCTTGATGCACAGCTCCTTCACCTGGACAGCAAACAAAGGACGGCCATTGGCTTGCGGGGCAGAAAAGCCCAGACCCATGCAGAAGATGTAGTAGAGCCAGAAGGTGTCACCAAAGCTGGTAGACCAGTCAAAGAGTTGCTGGCCACTCCATCCATCACCACCCGCAAGCTTTTTGTTGAAGCAAACGCAGATTGGAGATCCTTCGGCTGGGGGCAAAGAGCACTGGTCCGTGATGCACAGGCAAACGCGGATGTTGGAGCAAAAGGGGTCGCCCACATCTGTCATCTCGCACCTGCTGTGGAGGCAAATGTTCACAGCTTCTCCTCCAAAGAATGGATTTCCAACTGCACCAATGCCAACACCCTCACAGAAGCAATAGTTCAACCACCAAAGCTCGTTGAACATCTTGTCACGGTCCAAGTTGGGGGAGATGTCCGACTTTGCGATGTCAGGCATGGTGCTTGTCTCAAGAAATTGGGACCTGGCACTGGCACTATGAACTGGGAGATTTGAGCCGCTATTTTGCCATGAAAATATGTTCATCTCTGCATGCGTTCATCTCTGCAATCAAGTAGACAATCAAGCGAAAACAAACTCTTGATTCACTCTACGTTCCTACAGATGCAAAAAAGGAAGACAAGGCCAACGGCACAGAAAGTTATATTGTCACAAAATGCTCTCCTGATGTATGTTGAACCCTATTGATGCAAAGCCATGTCAAGCAATCCAAAACTTCCATCACGCACTGTGGTCTCGATCCAATATTTTGATTTTGCATGAATTCGCAATGTTTAAGAATGTTATAATGACTCTGAGTGTGTGTTTCTTGATATTCTTGATTCCTTTTGTTCCACGAGTTCTTGGCAAGGGTGACAGTCACAGACTGCAGATGTCTGCAGCAATGCAGGTGTGCTGCATCGCCTGCTCCCTTCCATTGGCGGGAAACAGGCAAATTTGCACGTTCAGGGAAGACCAGCCACATCATCTTCAAAATTGTGGTGCTGCCAGGCTGGGACTGAAGTAAAGCCCAACATTCAAAAAATGTTGGTAGCATTCGACTGCAGGCATGGATCTCAAGATCCATATGCAAGCGGCTTTGCTGAGGCCCCTTTCTTGTTGAGAAGGTTGAAGCACACGAACATAGGAGCTCCCTCTGCTGGTGGCAGAGCACACTGCTCCCAGAAGCACAGCCGAGTGCTCACCATGGAGCACAGTTTGCCTCCCTCCATAGGCGTGGTCAACTTTGTTCCGCCCTTGATGCACAGCTCCTTCACCTGGACAGCAAACAAAGGACGGCCATTGGCTTGCGGGGCAGAAAAGCCCAGACCCATGCAGAAGATGTAGTAGAGCCAGAAGGTGTCACCAAAGCTGGTAGACCAGTCAAAGAGTTGCTGGCCACTCCATCCATCACCACCCGCAAGCTTTTTGTTGAAGCAAACGCAGATTGGAGATCCTTCGGCTGGGGGCAAAGAGCACTGGTCCGTGATGCACAGGCAAACGCGGATGTTGGAGCAAAAGGGGTCGCCCACATCTGTCATCTCGCACCTGCTGTGGAGGCAAATGTTCACAGCTTCTCCTCCAAAGAATGGATTTCCAACTGCACCAATGCCAACACCCTCACAGAAGCAATAGTTCAACCACCAAAGCTCGTTGAACATCTTGTCACGGTCCAAGTTGGGGGAGATGTCCGACTTTGCGATGTCAGGCATGGTGCTTGTCTCAAGAAATTGGGACCTGGCACTGGCACTATGAACTGGGAGATTTGAGCCGCTATTTTGCCATGAAAATATGTTCATCTCTGCATGCGTTCATCTCTGCAATCAAGTAGACAATCAAGCGAAAACAAACTCTTGATTCACTCTACGTTCCTACAGATGCAAAAAAGGAAGACAAGGCCAACGGCACAGAAAGTTATATTGTTACAAAATGCTCTCCTGATGTATGTTGAACCCTATTGATGCAAAGCCATGTCAAGCAATCCAAAACTTCCATCACGCACTGTGGTCTCGATCCAATATTTTGATTTTGCATGAATTCGCAATGTTTAAGAATGTTATAATGACTCTGAGTGTGGGTTTCTTGATATTCTTGATTCCTTTTGTTCCACGAGTTCTTGGCAAGGGTGACAGTCACAGACTGCAGATGTCTGCAGCAATGCAGGTGTGCTGCATCGCCTGCTCCCTTCCATTGGCGGGAAACAAGCAAATTTGCACGTTCAGGGAAGACCAGCCACATCATCTTCAAAATTGTGGTGCTGCCAGGCTGGGACTGAAGTAAAGCCCAACATTCAAAAAATGTTGGTAGTATTCAACTGCAGGCATGGATCTCAAGATCCATATGCAAGCGGCTTTGCTGAGGCCCCTTTCTTGTTGAGAAGGTTGAAGCACACGAACATAGGAGCTCCCTCTGCTGGTGGCAGAGCACACTGCTCCCAGAAGCACAGCCGAGTGCTCACCATGGAGCACAGTTTGCCTCCCTCCATAGGCGTGGTCAACTTTGTTCCGCCCTTGATGCACAGCTCCTTCACCTGGACAGCAAACAAAGGGCGGCCATTGGCTTGCGGGGCAGAAAAGCCCAGACCCATGCAGAAGATGTAGTAGAGCCAGAAGGTGTCACCAAAGCTGGTAGACCAGTCAAAGAGTTGCTGGCCACTCCATCCATCACCACCCGCAAGCTTTTTGTTGAAGCAAACGCAGATTGGAGATCCTTCGGCTGGGGGCAAAGAGCACTGGTCCGTGATGCACAGGCAAACGCGGATGTTGGAGCAAAAGGGGTCGCCCACATCTGTCATCTCGCACCTGCTGTGGAGGCAAATGTTCACAGCTTCTCCTCCAAAGAATGGATTTCCAACTGCACCAATGCCAACACCCTCACAGAAGCAATAGTTCAACCACCAAAGCTCGTTGAACATCTTGTCACGGTCCAAGTTGGGGGAGATGTCCGACTTTGCGATGTCAGGCATGGCGCTTGTCTCAAGAAATTGGGACCTGGCACTATGAACTGGGAGATTTGAGCCGCTATTTTGCCATGAAAATATGTTCATCTCTGCATGCGTTCATCTCTGCAATCAAGTAGACAATCAAGCGAAAACAAACTCTTGATTCACTCTACGTTCCTACAGATGCAAAAAAGGAAGACAAGGCCAACGGCACAGAAAGTTATATTGTTACAAAATGCTCTCCTGATGTATGTTGAACCCTATTGATGCAAAGCCATGTCAAGCAATCCAAAACTTCCATCACGCACTGTGGTCTCGATCCAATATTTTGATTTTGCATGAATTCGCAATGTTTAAGAATGTTATAATGACTCTGAGTGTGGGTTTCTTGATATTCTTGATTCCTTTTGTTCCACGAGTTCTTGGCAAGGGTGACAGTCACAGACTGCAGATGTCTGCAGCAATGCAGGTGTGCTGCATCGCCTGCTCCCTTCCATTGGCGGGAAACAGGCAAATTTGCACGTTCAGGGAAGACCAGCCACATCATCTTCAAAATTGTGGTGCTGCCAGGCTGGGACTGAAGTAAAGCCCAACATTCAAAAAATGTTGGTAGCATTCAACTGCAGGCATGGATCTCAAGATCCATATGCAAGCGGCTTTGCTGAGGCCCCTTTCTTGTTGAGAAGGTTGAAGCACACGAACATAGGAGCTCCCTCTGCTGGTGGCAGAGCACACTGCTCCCAGAAGCACAGCCGAGTGCTCACCATGGAGCACAGTTTGCCTCCCTCCATAGGCGTGGTCAACTTTGTTCCGCCCTTGATGCACAGCTCCTTCACCTGGACAGCAAACAAAGGGCGGCCATTGGCTTGCGGGGCAGAAAAGCCCAGACCCATGCAGAAGATGTAGTAGAGCCAGAAGGTGTCACCAAAGCTGGTAGACCAGTCAAAGAGTTGCTGGCCACTCCATCCATCACCACCCGCAAGCTTTTTGTTGAAGCAAACGCAGATTGGAGATCCTTCGGCTGGGGGCAAAGAGCACTGGTCCGTGATGCACAGGCAAACGCGGATGTTGGAGCAAAAGGGGTCGCCCACATCTGTCATCTCGCACCTGCTGTGGAGGCAAATGTTCACAGCTTCTCCTCCAAAGAATGGATTTCCAACTGCACCAATGCCAACACCCTCACAGAAGCAATAGTTCAACCACCAAAGCTCGTTGAACATCTTGTCACGGTCCAAGTTGGGGGAGATGTCCGACTTTGCGATGTCAGGCATGGTGCTTGTCTCAAGAAATTGGGACCTGGCACTATGAACTGGGAGATTTGAGCCGCTATTTTGCCATGAAAATACGTTCATCTCTGCATGCGTTCATCTCTGCAATCAAGCAGACAATCAAGCACAGTCGAAAACAAACTCTTGATCCACTCAACATTCCAAGACAAACCGTTTAAAAAAAAACGGCACGGAAAGTTATTTTGGTACAAAATGCTCTCCTGATGTATGTTGAACCCTATTGAGGCAAAGCCATGTCAAGCAATCCAAGAAAATCCATCACGCACTGTGGTCTCGATCCAATATTTTGATTTTGCATGAATTCGCAATGTTTAAGAATGTCTAGTGACTCCGGGTGTATGTTTCTTGATTCCTTTTGTTCCAGCAGTTCTTGGCAAGGGTGACAGTCACAGACTGCAGCAGTGCAGGTGTGCTGCATCGCCTGTTCCTTTGCTTCGGCGGGAAACAGGCAAATTTGCACGTTCAGGGAAGACCAGCCACATCATCTTCAAAATTGTGGTGCTGCCAGGCTGGGACTGAAGTAAAGCCCAACATTCAAAAAATGTTGGTAGTATTCAACTGCAGGCATGGATCTCAAGATCCATATGCAAGCGGCTTTGCTGAGGCCCCTTTCTTGTTGAGAAGGTTGAAGCACACGAACATAGGAGCTCCCTCTGCTGGTGGCAGAGCACACTGCTCCCAGAAGCACAGCCGAGTGCTCACCATGGAGCACAGTTTGCCTCCCTCCATAGGCGTGGTCAACTTTGTTCCGCCCTTGATGCACAGCTCCTTCACCTGGACAGCAAACAAAGGACGGCCATTGGCTTGCGGGGCAGAAAAGCCCAGACCCATGCAGAAGATGTAGTAGAGCCAGAAGGTGTCACCAAAGCTGGTAGACCAGTCAAAGAGTTGCTGGCCACTCCATCCATCACCACCCGCAAGCTTTTTGTTGAAGCAAACGCAGATTGGAGATCCTTCGGCTGGGGGCAAAGAGCACTGGTCCGTGATGCACAGGCAAACGCGGATGTTGGAGCAAAAGGGGTCGCCCACATCTGTCATCTCGCACCTGCTGTGGAGGCAAATGTTCACAGCTTCTCCTCCAAAGAATGGATTTCCAACTGCACCAATGCCAACACCCTCACAGAAGCAATAGTTCAACCACCAAAGCTCGTTGAACATCTTGTCACGGTCCAAGTTGGGGGAGATGTCCGACTTTGCGATGTCAGGCATGGTGCTTGTCTCAAGAAATTGGGACCTGGCACTGGCACTATGAACTGGGAGATTTGAGCCGCTATTTTGCCATGAAAATATGTTCATCTCTGCATGCGTTCATCTCTGCAATCAAGCAGACAATCAAGCACAGTCGAAAACAAACTCTTGATCCACTCAACATTCCACGACAAACCGTAAAAAAAAACCGGCACGGAAAGTTATTTTGGTACAAAATGCTCTCCTGATGTATGTTGAACCCTATTGAGGCAAAGCCATGTCAAGCAATCCAAGAACATCCATCACGCACTGTGGTCTCGATCCAATATTTTGATTTTGCATGAATTCGCAATGTTTAAGAATGTCTAGTGACTCCGGGTGTATGTTTCTTGATTCCTTTTGTTCCAGCAGTTCTTGGCAAGGGTGACAGTCACAGACTGAAAATGGCTGCAGCAATGCAGGTGTGCTGCATCGCCTGTTCCTTTCCATCGACAGGAAATTGGCAAAGCACGTTCATTGAAGACCAGCCACATCATCTTCAAAATTTGAGGTGCTGCCAGGCTGGGACTGAAGTAAAGCCCGGCATTCAAAAAATGTTGGTAGCATTCAACTGCAGGCATGGATCTCAGATCCATATGCAAGCGGCTTTGCTGAGGCCCCTTTCTTGTTGAGAAGGTTGAAGCACACGAACATAGGAGCTTCCTCTGCTGGTGGCAGAGCACACTGCTCCCAGAAGCACAGGCGAGTGCTCACCATGGAGCACAGTTTGCCTCCCTCCATAGGCGTGGTCAACTTTGTTCTGCCCTTGATGCACAGCTCCTTCGCCTGGACAGCAAACAAAGGACGGCCATTGGCTTGCGGGGCAGAAAAGCCCAGACCCATGCAGAAGATGTAGTAGAGCCAGAAGGTGTCACCAAAGCTGGTAGACCAGTCAAAGAGTTGCTGGCCACTCCATCCATCACCACCCGCAAGCTTTTTGTTGAAGCAAACGCAGATTGGAGATCCTTCGGCTGGGGGCAAAGAGCACTGGTCCGTGATGCACAGGCAAACGCGGATGTTGGAGCAAAAGGGGTCGCCCACATCTGTCATCTCGCACCTGCTGTGGAGGCAAATGTTCACAGCTTCTCCTCCAAAGAATGGATTTCCAACTGCACCAATGCCAACACCCGCACAGAAGCAATAGTTCAACCACCAAAGCTCGTTGAACATCTTGTCACGGTCCAAGTTGGGGGAGATGTCCGACTTTGCGATGTCATGCATGGTGCCTGTCTCAAGAAATTAGGGCATGGCAGTTTGAACTGGGAGATTTGAGCCACTGATAGCCACTGTACACCTGGAGTGCTTGCCCGTAGCATTTATGCGCTTGCCATCAGCTTCTTCAGAAATGAGCGGGAATGAGGAGGTGTTGTCCACACTGCAAAAGTTCCAAGACAGTAGCTCCAAATTTTTGTTGGCTTGTCAACCACTTGGACACAGTGCTTTGGGGTCAGTTGCAAGTGGATAATATATATATATAATATATATGCTTATAATAATAATAAATAACAATAATAATAAATAAAAATACTAAATAATAATAATAATAAATAACAATAATAATGATAAATAATAATAATAAATAATAAATAACAATAATAATAATAATAAATAATAATAATAATATATATATTATAAATATATATATAGCCACAGTTATACCCAACCTTATGCATGTAAACTCACCATAGTCCCCAGCCTCTGACGTTGGACTGTCGCCTCCTGAGCTCTGCATCCAGGGACAAGAGCCACAGACCTCTGCCAGGGGCTGCGAAAGCTTCACTTTCGAAGATGACACTATTTTGATGATCCAAAAATGGCGCTGATCCATTTGGCTGTTGTGTCATCCAAAATGGTGCTGATATGTGCTGATCCATTTGAAAATGGGGAACGCTATGATCAACAATAAGATGACAACATTTTCCAACAGAACCATTTGGAGATGCGGAGATGCAAGCGTTCACATGCCAGAAGTAACTTTGCGCAGTTTGCATGGCTGGAAATCTCTTGGAAGTAGAGGTGTAAGAGCCCTTTTTACCCTTTTCCATCTACAGACACCTCCTCCAAATCCATCATCTTGGGAGGAATGAACTCGCTCTTTGAAAAACCTCAATGATTCCAAGGTCTACGGGAAACAAAGTCCGGCTCGAAGGCTCTGGGTCAAAATTGACCCCAATTTTTGGTGGACTGAAATTGATCAAAGATATCCGCTTGCAGCAATTCTTACGTATCATATTAAATCATATCAAAAAGAATCCAGAAAAATTGGCTGCTTGGTGGTGGCTCGCCACAACCCTTCAAAATATGAAAGTCAATTGGGATATGTTTTTTTTGCAATGCCAAGTGTTGCACCAAACGGACCTGTCAGAAAATGTGGTATCCCCAGAAATAGGCCATTTCAATGGGGAAATGATGACAACGCACTAAGGACACTGCGCCGCTCATCGCGGTAGAGCAGCAAGACTCCTCGAGGAATCTGATGTATTTCAGCCTGGTTTGAGCATCTGGCTACCTTCAATCAGCCCTGGTTGCCATATTCTTCATGTTCAGAAAAATGGTGGCAACTGATAACTGTTTGATTTACCATGTGCAACAAGCATATACTGTATATATATATATATGTATGTATATTATATATATATGTGATTATGTATTATAAAACTATATAAGATACACAATGCCCAAACAATCTATCGTAATACTATATATTTATTACTATGTATATTATGTCCCTCTTTTACGTCCATTTCAAACTGGGGATGTTCCCGCCTCTGGAGTCGGTAGCCACTCTGCACTTGCAGCCGCCTGACTCAAGTTTTGTTGTTGATCTGCTAAACCCAATCAGCATTGAGTAGCGAGTGTCAACAATAAGTATACAATACTCGTTCATGCTAATGGGTGTGAGTATGTTGTTTGATTGTATTGTTTGATCTACTATATAAAAACCCAATGAGCAACATTGATTACTGGGTAGTTGAGCAACAAGAAACATTGAATGGATGACTTCACATCTACACAACATTCATCCTCAGTCAAGATTACGCAACAGCCAATCCATCGGTAAATAAAAAGGGTCTGGATTCTGGATGGGTTTGGTACATCAGATGTTAAGCAACGTGTCACTGATGATTAATGATATTAATGTTGACCCCGGCTGGTTTGGGTAAGCATGTGGGAAACGCAAATGAAATCAGGATTTCACTAGGGGAACTCTCTCAGTCCTGTTCATCCAGAAGCAACAGTGCCATATGCTGAGTTGAACATGAAATCTCTCAAGCTTCATGGCAGGGCATCACAATGGATACCTGTTCCATCCGAAATCAAAGGTAACCTACCATCCAGGCCCAAACCTGCGTTGCTAAATTTGTTGCTTTAAATTGCCTCAGCTTCGTGTCGCTCTGAACAACCTGCCTGCTGAGTCTTCTGAAACTCTCTGACTGGATCTTCAAAAGGTTGAAGCCTCTCAGCCATGGCGGACCATGTACTGCTACATTCGTGGCGGACCTGAAAATGGGCTACCCGATGAGCTGTTTGTTCATGCTGATGATCACCCATGGGATTTTGGGCAACACCAATCCATGTGTCCATCATTTTTCCATCATTGTTCCATCATGTTTCCATCATTTTCCCATCATTTTTCCATCCATTTGTCCATCATTTCCCCATCATTCCATCAAATGAGAGCGTGAACGAACTCTGCCTGCGAATCAGTTGGGATGGTCGCAGCAACATCCAAGTCGACCTTGTCATTGCCATGATCTGTTTGCTTTCCGGGTCCAAAAACGATGAGCACCTAGACCCTCCAAGTAACTATAAGACGGTGATATACCCATGATCGTTTGAGACTTTTAGCAATGGTACCTGGAGGGTCGAAGTAGCTCCAATATATTGCTATTTTTGGTAGGGAAAAGGATGACCATGGGATTTAGATCTCTATTTTTAGGCAAAAAATGCACATCTTTCCCAGCAATTTGCGACTCTCTACCTACACTTTAAAGTCTATGATTTTGTTTCAAGTCTGAGATCCTATAGGCGACCTACAGGCGAAGTATGTCACAGCCTTTTTTGACGCTTCCGAATCTGGGTCCAAAACGTGTCGTCTTCTTGACCTTGGAAGGGGGCAGGGTGTGCAATGAAAATCATGACTTTCTTAGTGTGTTTTGGGGGTGTCTAAAAATGGGGTATACCATGGTATACTATACCCATGACATGATTAGTGATAGTGATCATATGTGATAGTAATTGTGGAAATTCAGAGTAGCCTATTTTCAGACAAGCCCAAATTCCAACCCAACTTTCCGAAAGGCGTGAAACGGCCCGAAGAAGGGTAAATCTCGCAAGGCCATCGACAGTGTTTCAGGATCAAAAGCTACCCCAACGATTCCGAGTACGGGTTTCCATCTCTGGCGCATGTAACATCATGTAACCATAGTATATCATATATATATATTATGAATTATATTATGTATTATAATTTATTATATATTATTATTGTATATTCAATAATAATATACCTGTAGAACCTAAAACCTAAGAATTCCTAGGTCGCAATTTTAAACCCTGGTTATTTCCATGAACCATGAGAAAAACCTGGTTTTCCCCAAAAACCTATATTTTCCCATCTTGGGTTTATCATGGTTTATCATAAGATGTTGTAAGGATGATGTTGAATATATATTCCACTATGAAGTTATCCATATATCCGTATATATCCACATTCTGAAATCATATATATGATTCATGTATATATTCCATTTATATTTCCCTTCGCCAGGTCCTCTTCCATCCGGTTGCTCGCATTGGATCACAGGTGGCAGGGATGCCAATATATATATATAAATTAAGATGGTGGTTGAGGTTTCACCCTTGTAAACAGCAACATTGGTTTATACTCGTAAGATCTATCATCTGTTTCCCGGACAATATCTTACATCAAATGAATATTATGAGAAAGAGGTCAACCACTAAAGTTGCAACAGACCACATAGCCAACATAAATGGATAATAACTTTTGATATCAGGTCATAGCACTATATAGCATTACATGGTCTATCATTGTCCCCAATTTATCAATTTCGTCTGCCACATTTTCCACGGGCCCATGGAGAGCCATGGCTTTTTGTCCAATGAGTCCAATGCCAGGCGAGGTCCTGGAGTTGGCCAGGAGAGTGGGTAAGGTCATTCATAAATGGCTCATATATACTACGAACATATCATGTCATATATAAGTATCGATTGAGTGTATCATGAGGCCGATTGGAACGAACCAAGTGCAAGAATTGATCAATCATTCATGCATGATTACTGCAGAGCATTTTGACATCAAAGTGGCCCAATCGTGGAGCTATGGTGGTGGAAAAGCCAGCCAAAAAGCTTAAGGTGGACTTGAGAGGCTTAGCCGCTGAGTGGGATAGCTCGGAGTTAGTCAGGAACTACTTGCGGGAAAATCCAAACGAAGGTTTGTTCCATGAAGGCATTGACACCCGTGTCAAACATGCATCCTATGGGTACATCAATTGGATCTTGCAAGCCATCCTGCTACGTAGCTGTGGTCTTCAGGGACAGCCGCAGCCACGTGTCCGGGGTTTGCGGGAGCAACTTAGTTTGCTGTACAAGAAGAATCACAGGGTCCCCAAGGAGAAAGAGGTCTTTGAGGATGGGTGGCACATTCGAAAATTCTTAGTCTTGATCAAGAACAAAACCAAGAAGAAGTTGGTTTCCATAGTGCCTGGTCTCAAAGTTCCAAAAATTATGCATTTGAAATCATTTGATGCTATGTGCTTTTTGTGATGTACATGCATGTATATGGGTATATACTTGAAAAAGCTGGACCATCATATTATCATGACCGTTGGGCCAGCCGAGTCGAAGCCTTTCCAAAAGCTTTGTTGCATCTTGGATCCTACACTTGAGGACAGAGTATGTATAGTGCTTCATTTCCAGGGTCACTGACAATACAAACGATCACTGCATATTGGATGAGCTGAAACGCATGGATGATCCCTCACAAATCTACCATTATAACATGCAGGGACCCATATATACTTCCTGTCAATCACCTGGACCTTCTGCATCCAGGAGTTATGTGAAGAGATCAACCGTGCCCAAGCAGAGAAAACTGCTGGGCGCACAGAGGCCCACCGATGGGGTCTACCTTCTATATCTCGAGTGATGTTGAAATCCAACATATTGTGAAACAAAAACCGGAAATGGGGAATGGATATGCATGGTTCATCATGTTCTTACTAATGATGCACAACAAAATTACAAACCAATACAAATGGTACCACTGACTGGTCTCAGGACAAAATGGATGATGATGATGACGCCTACGATCAATCAGACGATGGCAGTGACAATGAATCCTCTTCGGATGATTCTGATACTGATTCAGATCAAGAGATTCCAAGTGAAATCGTTGGACAAGACATTCCACCGATTGCCAACCAAGCTGGAGGTGTTACCGCCAATGGGTTGCCCATTGCGCCCAACTCAAGCCCAGGTTCCCTCCCGGTCTCAACGGTGCCGGCTGTCGGTCCTGCGCATCCCTCCACGGAAGATCCAGGCGTGGCCTCGGGATGGGCAAATCGAGTGTTTTCATCTTAATCAACATGATGTTATGACATGTTATGTATATATGCATGCATGGAGGTAAATCTATATAGGATACATGTTGTCTATGAGATCGATGATCGGGTTAATTGTGATTCCCCAAATCAAATTGAATGAGTGTGTCATGAGATACCGGTCAGGTCGTCAGGATGCTCCATCTGATGCAACTCAAGCTATGCCTTTGGATCTTTCTGCAGCCCGGGAAAAACTGGCTCAGTGATTAGCTTAGCTATTTTGATCTGCCCTTTGCACAATTGGTCAACAAAATCAATTTTCAAACTTAGCTGATTTTTTTGATGCCATGCCTGAACACCCTATACAAACCCATGACCAAAGCGGCCCAGGCTGAGAGAACGCAAGCTGGGCATCAGCAACGAGATCCGGCGTTTGAAGTCCGAGAATGGGCCTGCTCCCGAAGGCTAGGCTTATGCCATAAGCATTGGAATTGTTTGAAACATCGTTCAAAGTTTTGTTGAGATGTAGTTGACTTGCACAGCAATCCATTGCCTGTTTCGTTTGACTCATTTGCGATTATTGTTTTCCACATATGTGTCAAATAATCAATCATGAATTGCCATCGGCAGGTCGCCCTTCTGGCATCAAGATCACGGCAGCTGCGGCTGACAATGTTGATACCATGCCAATGGATCTTAGGGATGTACCAATTCCAGATTCCCTGGTGCCCACTTCATCCCCGGAAGTTGCCTCCGAGAAACGCCGAGAACAGTACCAGCGTACATCTCGAGCTCCTCCCACGGTGGATCAGTCATCCAATGTAACTTGGGATTATTTCAATATGCATGGAGGGGGGGGACATACACAGTCATACTAACTTAAATGATCAATCTATCTAAGAATGATTCACGGGTTCACTCCACATGAATTAGCCCACATCAACCCAACACATCTCCAGCAGCGTGGCCAAGGCTACTACACAGGTGGCCGTTCCGAAGAAGGACAACTCAAAGGAATCTTTGGCAGCCAGCGTGCCAATTTCGGGAGATCATGGTAGGGAGGACTTGGAAAGTTATCCGAAGTCAAAACCAGCAGTTTTGACCCGGGATGACCAACTTCGCTTTAAAGCCACAAACAAAGAGGATCGGAAACAGAAGGCAAAGGCAAGAAAGGGAAAGAAAGGAAAGAATGGAAAGAAGAAAAACAAAGGAAAGGGCAACAAAGCTCTGACCGGAACCAAAGCACCTATCAGTCGCAAAAGGCGGATGATGAAAAAACAAACGAGCCAAGATGAGAAAACACTTGATGTTGCAGAGCCCGAAATGACCGAAAAGCCTCAGAAGAAACCTCGAAAGGTTCCCACTGGCAGCTCAACTGATGTCCCAAAAAGTCGTAGCAAACGAAAGGCAGAAGCAGTTGAACCAGTTAATGTTGATGAGAAGCCGCCCCGAAAGCGCAAGACATGTACTGCTGAGCCGGAGGGCAAAGTTTCAGAAGCCAAGCCAAAAGCAAAGGCAAAGGCGAAGGCCAAAGCAGCCTCCAAAACAGGGGCAGCCCCCAAAAAAGGTGCAGCACCAAAGGCCAAAGCTTCAGCAGTCAAGCCTAAGGCAAAGGCAAAGGGCAGGCCCAAGAAGGATCGCAAGGATGACTTCATGAAGCGCGGCTATGAGTCTGAGAAGTTCAATCCCGGTCAGGTTAAGATGTGTGAAAAGTTTGCCAAATCTTTTGACCCTGAAATGGAAGTCAAATCCAACGCTTTCAAACAGGAGGCTCGTGGACGCCTCCCCTCCTTTTCAACTTACAGGTTGAACATCTACTGGACTAGGGCCAGTGTCGGAGTAACCCATGTGAAGAACAACAAAGACGTGGTCAACTTCTCTTTCAACACATCTTCGGCTTGCAGTGTCCATAAGATTGCAGTGGCTTTGCGATGTGCGATTCACGCTGTAGCTTAGCTGTATATCATGTCAACTGCAATGTTTTTGTTTCATGTTGATCGAATCATATGTGCTTAAACTGATCCTGAATCATTAGCATCCATGGCCATCAACATGGAAAAGCATGCATGTACATATTTAATGAGTCGCTTAGGTGTCCCAACCCCAGTCCACCACACTAAGCATTTTGAATCCCAATGCAATGAAATGTATACAAGACCAGCCCGATCTAAGGCAACTTCTCTGGAGAAGAATCTGAGCTCTGCGTTGAATGGTAAACTTTTCGATGAGCTGAAGCACAATGCTTCCATGGCTCTTTTTCTTTTGACCAATGAGCTGAGTACTGAAGATCATCAAACAAATGATGATGAACATAAAGAAACTGACAGCGATGACAGCGATGACAGCGATGACCGTGATGTAGACTGATTCTGTCTCATGGTTCATCTCCCATTTCAGGGGTTCATATGTGAGAGCTCACTGCCCATGGGAAAGCTAGCTATGAATGAAAATGTCACGAGAAGTATACTGCCTATGTACCCATGCAGCCATTAAAATTATATATAATATTTTAGACCTATATTGATTTGAAACAATCGATTTTGTTGTCAATGTATTTCATCCAAAAAGCCCAGCTTTGCACGGGCAATGTGAGTCAACATATATGTTGCAATGTGATGGCTTGGGCAATGAAAATTGCCCATAGATGCCACCCAATCACAGGAGAAGATTTTGAGAAACGGTTGATCACAGGTCCATCTGCACCAGCACATACGCTTAGGGGAAAAAGGTGTTGATGCTTAGACTGCTGTGCCAAAGACCAGCCACGATATGACCAGTAACCGTATTTTTCAATCTGAAAGCTGCGTAAGATTAAGTAAGCAACGATGATCCTTGATGCTGTATATCAAAGTTCCCATGCCCCAATCCACCCTTTGACCCACGACCCGGTCCACCCTCTACTTCCAACTCACTGATCTGTCCTGCAGGCGTCGGTGAAGACTGCAGATGCCAGGCCTGGCAAGCAATGTTTGGAAGGTCCGATCCAAGTTCAAACGTGGAGCACGTGGGGCTGGCGCAATTCAAAGGGGTCGGATGGATCGAGCCAGTTCATATTCAAATTAAAGACATTGTAGCCCACTTGAATCAAATTCGGAAATAAACAAATTATATTTTAGAATTGTGATTGCTAGGAGCCTGTTGGTGACACAACATACTGTGATCAAAACAGAGTGACCCCGTTGAAATGCAATTCAAAAATCAGAAGTTGCCAAAGCTTGTGCACTGATGAGTGTTGGCATGGTAAAACATGTCAAATGGAGGTGAAGCTTTTTGAGGATCAAACAGCCCCTTGAAACTAGGGGGCACGTCTGTGTGTCGGTCTCATGGAGTCACGCCGATTAGATGAGCTCTTCTTCCAGATGAAATGCTTGCAATGTCCGAAAGTCAGAGTCTCAATGGTTATTATAGAGAATGATCGTGGATTTGAAGCACATCCATGTGCACATGTACATGCAACCTATCGATTAGGTTCCAAGAGTTTCAAATAAAGCTTGCATCATGCACAGTGTCAACAAATGACCCTTCCCATTGGATTTTAATTCATGCATATCCAGCTCTTAAGAATTCACAGTCAGGTCTTTGCTCTCATCATCCTTCTGATCTTGTGGACTCCCAGTCTGCCGTATGGGCAGGCGAATCTGTATGGTGTCTTCAATGTTGAATCGGTTAAGAACATCGCTGGTTATATAGAAGTGAATATTGTAATGTATATCATATATCGTAATATCACTGGTGTTTATACTGTAATCGGTTTGGGATCAGCGGGTTGGGATTGAGGCAACAAGGATTGACATGAACAATTGACATCATGATGTCGTGTGAGATGTTGTTTCTCCTTGAATCCAAAACAATGCATGGACACACATGATTTAAACACATCAACACCTTACCGGATCGATCCATGCAAACTAATAACAAGTATCGACTCTTGTCCATCCATGCATGTGACACTTTAAAGCACAACAGGAATCATATGAAACGAAATGTCTTCCACATGTGTGACCTGCCATGCCAGGGCTTCCAAATGCTGGAGTTCTTCGCAGGAAAAGGGAACTTGTCCAAATGTATGAAGTCCAGTGGTTACACAACGGCATCCTTCGATATTCTTTACTCTGGAGGGCGTCAGGAATACCACAACACGAACTTCATGGATATCAATTCGAGCTCTGGTTTTGCGTACTCTGTCATCGAAAGCATACAATGATTCATGTGGTGGCAATGTTGGGGCCCAAAAAGAAACTGTTTCAATTTGATATGTGTGCCATTCAATCATGCTCTCTTTGAATTCCGTTGTATACGGTATACCCCTTTGAATTTGATTCTGCACGGATATGACTGGATGATTTTTTTTGGGCCGGTGCATGGACGACTAACATGCCAATGTTACTTGCAACTTGTTTCCTTGAGCCTATTCTGTTCGATTAGCTCTTTACATTTGAACCCTGAGATATCGAATGGGTGATGGATATAGGGTTACTGGGATACTTCATATATATTTGGCTATGGACCTATGGAAATGTATCGGTCCATGCATGCCTGACCACCCGGTTCCACGCCCAGGCTGTGCATCCACGCTTTGTGTTGCTGTACGCCCCAGTTCTTGGCCTGTTACGCGCTGAAGTGCGCAAGCTGGTCGGCAGTCAATCAGGGTACTTCTGGGCGGTCACCCAGTGGATCCATAGGTAACTGAGGGTATCCAAGTGTTGACGCCGCCAACAAAATGGCCAGCCGGATTCTTGATTGTAATTTTGAACCAAGGTAACCTTTATTTTTGAAGTTAATCTTCTCAGCCACCTATTTCAGAAATCAATCATTTCCTGATGTATTTTGTTGAATAGTGGTTTCCTATTTCTCATCACCAATACCGTCATGTGACGCACTGGTCATTCAGGACATGCTTGTTGCTTGCTCTGACGACTTCCTTGGGGGGCACCTGGCTACTGGAGCAACCCGAAAATAGTGTCTTAGAGTTCTTCCCTCCGTTCATCACCCTTTTGGCAGCCATGTTTCGGGCTTATGGTGATACTGCTGTAGCTAATCTTGATTATGGTCAACCCATCTTTTTTCAGCTTTCGTTTGGCAATTGTTTTATGGATTGCAGTTCTGTACTTATTAATGGTTAACCTGATTTAATCTTAACTTTTGTAACCCATGGTTCATGGATGCAACCCTAATCTACACCGACTCCCTCCGATGCCCAGGTAACAAGGGCCAAATGGTGGATGGCCATGTATGGAGGACTGACACCAAAGCCGCACTACGCATGGTGTAATTCTGGAAGTGTGGTTGGGTTGAACACTGGCCCCCCACCAAAGGTGAAAAAAGATGACCATCAAAAGGAAGGTCACCTGAAAATCAAAACGTGCGAGCAGTACAAAGACAAGAATGGAAAGCTTCGCTATCACGGTACCAAGTCCCTGAAGAAAACAGAGATCTTCATCTGAATCGATTATTTAATTGTTTTGTGGTATATACTTTATTTTGATACCCCGAATTCATTGGGTAATATATGTCTATGGGGCTATCCTCTCATATCATGCCACCCCCGGTGGCCAGCTGAGGGAATATCCAGCGAGCTTCGGGTTTAAGCTGGTGGACATGTATGGAGAGCTAGTCAGATCCAGCCGTGGACAAGCACCTCTGCCAACACCGCTGCCGGCAGCCATGGCCTCGTTTAAAGCGATGCCAGATTCAGGTGATTGTTTGGAGTTCGCAGGGCTCCATGAAGTTTTCAACTATTTGCGCCGTAATAGGCACCTACGAATTCCAGCACATTGGAGAGATTTGATCCCAAAACCCATGGATGACTGATTTCGATCGAAATTTAGTTCGACACTTTGGACCACATGAATCGAAATATGTCCTTTTGGGTCATTCTTGGTATCATTTTCTGATCAAATTTCGAAAATTGCCACTTTTTTGCTCATTATTGTGTCGAAATATACTCATATATATGGAGAACCCGTATTAACCCGTATTAACCCGTACTTAACCCGTACTTAACCCGTATTTTCTTAGCGGATGGAAGAACCTGGTTTTTAAAAACCCATATTTATCCCGTAGAAAACCCATATTTATCCCGTAGTAACCCATAGGGGAAATATGGGTTTTTTGGAAAAATCCTGATGTGCAATTCAGCTGGGTTTTTCGACCCGGATGGCACCAATTACAGATTCAGCGGCTTCGAATTGAAAAAATGGTTCAACAGCGCCGGGTTCGATAGTTCTCTGATCAGAAAAAGTGAAATTGACATATATTTTGGGATGAGCCTAGTGTCATGAACAAAACCGATGTATGAATCCGCAGCTGTAAGCTGGGTATCACAATCATTCGTTTTTCCCTTGGTGTTGGTGCAATGAGCAATTCTCGTTTTTGGAGCTGCCAAACCCTCGATGATGGGATCAGCCGTTTGATGCAAGAAGCAGAACACGTTAGTGAAGAAGAGATTCGCCTTGAGATGTTCATCAAGGATTGCCGATTGATTTATACCGACTTTCAGTTTTTAAAGCAAAAACGATCAACATATGTTGTTACTGAATTGGTCTTCGGTTTATTAGGTTGACCCGTCCGATCCATTGGCCCATCCCAGGAGCAAGAAGCTAGTCTTGCACTCCAAGGACAACAGCCAGAGGCTGCAACTCCTGCCCCTGACCATGCTCCTCTGCTCAAGTTTGATTTAACCAGTATACCCTAGGCTTATATAGCTTTGGCAATTAAAATAATCTTTCAACCAATTTGCCTGTGACAAACCAAATTACCCTGGGTTATCCGAATATATATATCCAATCCTTAAGCCACTATGACCCTTCCCACTGCCAACCCGCCGCTCAGGCATCTTCGGACCCCAGCATCGAGGACATGGAGACTTTGCAGGCCTGGTTCGTGCATGAGCATGTCAACTGTGAGTTTGGGATCTGGGATGGCATGATCCATGTTGAAAATGCTTTAGAGCCTGTATCCATTTCCACATGGAAAATCAAAGAGCTTGCATGGACATTGGACTCCATCCAGGCTACTGAAAGTCAGCTTCAAGAAGCAGTTGCAACGAATGGTGGAACCCCTAGTGACCTTGGATGTCCGCTGACACCTGACTCATCGGCTACACTTTCTCGTGCATTTGGGAATGTAGAGATCGCCACCCCCGTGGATTCAGAGGCGGTCCCAGATTCTCCTATCATGCAGCCAGTCCCTCAAAAAGAACCTCAAGATGGTAAGGACACTAAGGAGCTGACATCTTTTGCATTTTTGGGATGCTGCCACAAGATGATCGAATTTATTCAAGGGGTCACCCTGCATATTTTAACAATCAGCTTATGCATATACCAATTCATGTCAACTGAATAATGTCGACTCAACTTAATCATGTTGAAGATCCATGCATCGATCGATATAAACATAATATCTTAAATTTGAATGCATGTCCAACATGATATTTCGGTTGACATCCGACCCATATCCTTTTCCTAGGAGGTTGTTGCTGATGGGAGACCAGTGCCTACTCCTGTTCGGGCAGAACCTGATGGGAATGATGGGGACAAGATCGAACCTGCCAACGCCAAACCTGCCAAAACCCGTCAGGCGCCTTTGCATGGCCACATGTAGAGCGATCTTCCAAACCTCAGCTCGGGGGAAATAATTTCCCTTGATCCATGCATGGGCAGGAGAAGTTGGAAGAGGCAGCAAAGGCACAGGTGCGTCGCTTGTGCACGCCGAAGCGCAAGAGGCTGTCACTAAACGTTCCATCTTGGGTGATCGAAGAATACAAACAGAGACCCAAAGCTGAGACTGCAAAACTATTGATGCAGTGCAATTTCGACAAGGACATGCATGTTGAAACATCATTCATGAAATCATATAAAATGATCGATCAATGTTTATATCAATGTTTCCAATCTGTTTGAATGTTTGGCTACTTAACCTTACTGGTATACTGGCTTTCACCCTCCTTTCCACATGTGTGCAGGACAAATTCATCAGCACTTTGGAGGTGATAGTCCGAAAGAAATCTTCGCAGTGCGTCACTGTGGATTCCATGTGGGTTAGCGAGAAAGAGATGCGAGAAGAATTGAAATGGTCAGCGTATCTTGTTTAAACAAATGATATTGATCATTTCAAAGTGTGATCAAAAATATCAGTTTTTACTGTCAGATTATGTGACTTGTTTCGTTCTTCTGCATGTCATATCAACTTGATTCATGATAGCCATCCCCGTGCCCTAGGACCAGGATAGCTGGTGTCAAAAAGGCATGTGAGCAAAAAAGCTCAACTCACATCAGGTGCGCATGACTTCACTTGTAAAGATCAAATCTTACAATCATTTTCTCATCATTTTCCTCACTAGCCACATTCATTCCCATGCCGATCTATATACCAATCCGATTTGCAGGAAGAATCAATATGACCAAGTTGAGGAGTACCACGTCGATGTGCGTGAAAAGGGTCAAAGAAAGGAGGAGGAATCGCAAGAGGAGGTTAGGAAATCCACTGAACAGCTTGAGGCTGTGGGGGTGACTGGGCGGGACAAGTGCTCATGTGACTTCCCCCTTGTCATAAATGCCATGTGTAAATACTCTGGAATCTCCACCATATATACTATATGAACCCGATTTGAACACCAGTCCTTCATATCATCCAAGTCTCCCGGCAGGCATCTCAGAAGCCAGCCTTGACTTCTGGCGCCTTCGACGGGTTGGATCGTATGAAGGAAAGGCTGGCTGCTGAAGCCAGCCAACAGTCTGGCCAAAGTGGTCAAACCCAACCCCTGGAGGCAGGTATAATTTTGATATGATGATGACACATATGATCATCAACTATATAATATGTATACGCACAACAATGATTTTAAGAACGAGTCGTATGAAAGCTTTAGCCAAGTTCGTTTACCATAAGTTCATTGCATGTTTATTCATGTTTCCAGTTGCAGCCACTGTTTTTTCCAAAATGATGATTTCCACTTTGCAGACGCGAAAAAAACTTCAAAAGTTTCTCGACTCCATCATCGGCAAAAGTGGCAAGTGCAGAGCTCTTATCCGAGACATCCGCCAAGACTTCTCACAGAACCCTGAGATGCAAAGGCCCAAAACACATACTCATCAATCCTTAATTTATATAGTTATAACCTGTATGCCAATGCATGATTGCAAACAGTTACAGGATACACCACACCATGCTGACCCACCAGGCAAGCCAAGCAAATGGAGTCTTTGCTGGTCAAATTGGACTCAGAGCACGATGCTTGCAGCCAGGTTATGGCCAGAGGGGAGCTCAACGGATTCCCTCCTGAGTTTCTAGATCCAATTATTATTTAAAAAAAATGCATGGCACCAATCCATTGTGACACTTACAAGCTTTTCTCAGTTGAGTTGAATGAAGATCCAATTTAGTTCATGTACCCACTTGTTCTTGCATGAGGTTTGTTGGCGAAGCCTCGGCTGCCATGAACACTGCGACCTATGCGCAGGGGACTCATTCAAGATAATAGATCGAAGTGTTCATATCATTGAATATATATGTGCATGGATCAGATCTTATATAACTTAATTGAACTGTTTCATGTGCTGTTCCCATATGTACCCAACTCGGACCTTCCAAACGACCCAGGTGTTCTGCAGCATGCGCCTTCGAAGCGAAGCTCAGGACAGGACATCACCTCAGATCCCATGCATGAATGGACAGATGTTTATCAATCCAGACTTCATCCGTGAGGAGTGCTAAGAAGTATGAAAAGAAGGATGGGTCGCCTGAGACAAAGGACAAAAAGGACAAGGAGAAGAAGGACAATGAAAAGCCTGACAGAAAGACCAAGGGAAAGAAGGACAAGGGCAAGTCGAACCGTAAGGAGTCTGATAATAAGGACCACCAGAAGCGTACGGGTGAAGATGCCGGTGGATCCCGAAAATCCAAAAAGTCCAAACACTGATTTGGCAGATTTTTGGGGGATCCTTAGAGGTTTGATTGCAGTCTGCAATCCCGAGTCCTGGAAATGAGACCAGTTGACCCATGCAGCTAGGTGCTTTTGAAACTGGCAGGATAAATGCCTAGGGCCTAGGGTAGGCCCACATGATGCTAAATTTGGGCGCGTGTCAAACCTGAAGTCTTCTAATGAGAACCAACCTGCAGAAACATCTATGATGCATCATAGGCTCACTATGTTAATCTGGTGTATCATGTACCAGGCTTACCCGCTGTTTGCCTTGCTTTCATTTTTTGAGGGCCCAGGCAATAGACACGCCATAGATGTGTTGCAACTTTGTTGACATTTGGGGGATCGATCGCCGCGAGAAAAAATACTTGGCTGCCCTGACCGTTGCCCAACCACCCCAACCCACCCCGACTGCCCAATGCCACCAGCCACTGCACACCATGCCAGGTGCTGGCAAGGCGCTGCGGGCTTTATCGGGAGACATTGGAGAAGGTGTCCATACCTCAATGCTCCAGCTTGGGCGGTGCCGTGTGGACAGGATCCATGAAATGATCCAACATGGCATGCTCACATGACTCAATCTCAGATGTAATTTGCAGCTGCAACCACTGCTGCCATTTCCATCCAGACATTAAAATTGATGGACAATTTCATGGAGTCAATCATCATCGATCGATGAAGACACTTCGTAGTACAAAGGCCAAATTCGAAGATCATAAGGCTTTGTATATATATGGACATGAAAGTTAAAAAACCATAACATGGGATTAATTTCTTTCCTGAAATATGGGATGTAAATATCATACATGCATATATACCTCTTATTCACACGAATAGGATTACACACACAACATGGTCAATCGCTACGGTGATCGATGAGATCATCGTGTGGCACAGCGCCATGGATGATGAAACTGCTCAGGAAGAACTCCTTGAATTGTTATCTTGCCACCGCTCAGCCAGTTGGATTGAAAAAGTTCAAATGGGTATGTCATATACAGTATGTCAAAATTCAAAAGACCTGGAAGCTGACAACTATACATGGAATCAATTCTGTTAGTGACCTCCTCACATTAAGGAATCTGAGATGCCATTCCCATGGAGCTCCCTTGGTCGCAAACCACTAGAGAACACGGAGGCCACTCCAGTTGAAGAACCGAAATACCCCAGTTGGATGTCGTTACTGCCACTGACTTTGCAATCCAACCCGGGTCTCCAAGCCATTGCCCTGGAAGCAGCATCCATGGGATGCATCAAATTTAGGATACCCAAGGATCCAAACATGGTAGCAGGTCGTGTGCTGCAGCATTCTATCTCTGTGATTGAGTCTTTGTTTTATCAACATCGGCCTTTGACGTTCAAGTTTGGCTACACGCACAACCCATGTTTTCGTTGGGCCAATACTTTGTATGGGTATGCCAGTGGACCAAACAAATTTTCTGACATGGTTGTGCTTTGGATTTCTGGTGAACCTTCTGGACCAGCTATGTTGGAAGCTTCCCTGATCCATATGTTCAAGAGCATCTAGCCAGCATTGTGTGTGTTTGTGCGTTTTTGAAATATGTTCATTTCCGTTTTTTGAAATTACGTAGCATGGTCGTCTGTTCCAAAACCAGTAAGCTCTAGACTCTAGACCCTAGACCCAGGGGGCCATGAAACAGCTTTCGGCCGGCCGAGGCACACCCGGGTGCAAAAACATTCGCTTGGGAGGTGATACCATCAATCCTTCTGGTGAAAAGCCAGGTGCCCACATGGTATACATGGTGTACCGGTCTTTCAAGTTTAAACCCACATGATATGCTCAGATTTAAGTGGTGTCCAACTTTTTATGTATATATGCACTCATGTATATAGGAACGCACGTCCCAATCCAAAAGAAGATTTTGGAGATGTGGAGCAGGAAGGTCTTTTGTGTGTGTTTTGAAGCATGCACGTGCACGGGCCAAGTGAAAAAGGCAGAAAGCGCAGTGTGATGCAAGTTGGCGCAGAAGCTACAAAGAGTTTTCTGGTGCTGATCGATGAAGTCATGAACCACGTCACTTGTGCAGCCTGATGTTTCATGTCAGAAACATTCAAAAACCACCCCCTCGAATCCAAGTCACATCAGCCCACCCTCATTGGGGCCTGTCCGGCTTCAACACCCTGATCCGTTCTGAGGCCTCGACCTGCCGAGCTTCAATCCGAGCTGCCAAAAACATAGTGGCAGACATCGGTGAGAAATTCGCTCAGCGTAGCAAAGGCCTTGTAGAGCTCAGCAAGTGTACAGAGGAACATTCTGAACGAGATGTCCAATCAGTCGTCAAGCAGTTTGATTTGATGTTGCCGTTGCAATTGACTAGCTTGCCCAAGCAACCTGGCACACGCTACACTGGTGAGTTCAAAGCAATCCGGCTGAGGGACTGGTGTCAGTTCCTTGTGGATTACAATTGCTGGCATGTGGTGTGCGGCTTGAGGGAACCTGATGAGAATCGAGAATGTGCCATTTTGGCCGAGTTCTGGAGACGGTTCCAACTGGTGGAACCGGATCATCAAATCTTTGCCGAATTTGCTCAGCACAGAATCGATCCAAGCCGCTGCTGTCCCATGTTGCTCCATGGGGACGAAGGGCGTGGCCGCAAGAAGTGCCCGTTTTTGGTTGTGGCGTTTCACTCCTTCATCGGGTTTGGGACGCAAGCTGCGAACAGATCCAGGACACACCGGTCATATCGTCGAATGCGATTGAATTACAGTGAAACGACCCATGTGCATCGTTTCATCACTGCAGTGCTTCCCAAAATGGTGAAAGACGATGTCGCTTTGAAGACGATTTTGTCCTTTGTGACTGCAGAGTCTCTGCACACGTTGAGGCATGGCGTGTCAACTTGCCACGGGGGCCAGCGATACCACATGGCTGTTTTGAACGTCACAGGAGACTGGGCTTGGCTTGCGAAAGCCGGGTGCTTGAGCAGATCCTATTCAAATTGCGAGAAGCGTCCTCGAGGCGCACGGTCGCAGCCAAAAGGCATCTGTCACCTCTGCCGTGCCGGGCAGCTCAATGTGCCCTTTGAGGATTTCAATCGAGATGCAACTTGGAAGAGCACAATGTTGCAACGTGGCGACAATCCTTTTGCCTCTCGGCCTGCCCTAGCGCAGCTGCCGCACAGGCCCAATAAGGAGGCCACCTTGTTCAAGTATGATTTGTGGCACTCTCTGCACCTGGGTTTTGGGAAGACATTGTCGGCGAGCATTTTGACTCTCATCTCTGACAGAATGAGCGCAAACAACGTGGATGACCGATTCACAGAACTGTCAGATGAGTTCTTTCAATATTGTGATGAAAGTCGAATTACGCCATATATCAATGTCATCACCAAAGAAACAGTGGGTTGGCCAAACAGGGCTACCTATCCGAACGGGTTTTGGAGCAAGGGGCATGTCACGGTGACCCTCCTCAAGTTCATCGCACATTGGCTTCACACCCACGATGTTTCGGACAGTGCCATGCTGACTACCTGCATTGAAGCAGTGGACTCTTTGAATGCTTGCATGGAAGATCTATATCGCCAAGATATCTGGATCAGTCAGGCGATTGCTCGTCCAATGGGCGAAAAAGGCCTTCGCTGCTTGGAACTGTATCAGGGCCTTGCAAGACACGCCTACGATGCAGGTGAAGCCCAATTCGCCTTTATGCCAAAAGGCCACGTGGTGCACCACGTGTTCGATGAGCTTGCACAATCGGGCATATGGATTCTCAATCCTTTGTGCTTTTCTGTTCAGGTTTCTGAGGATTACATTGGTCGTAAGAGCCGTTTGGCACGACGTGTTGCACCTGCTCAGGTGATCCAAAGAGTATTGGAAAGAAGCTTACAGGTCGGATGGAAGCATTGGACGCAAATGGGGTTCATCAAAGGATGAAGGAGATGAAGGGGGAAAGAAGTGAAAAAGAGCAGGGTGGCGCGCTGTGTGCTTGGATTGAGAGTGCATTGATCATATAGATTTTCAAGATTATCAGCATTCATGCACATCAAAGATACACATGGTATCACATGGTGACATAACAACATCTTTATAGATAGATTGAAAATTCATGATTTGGAAGAACCTGGTTTTTTTGAGAAGAACTGGGTTTTGCCAAAGAACCGATAAATTCCATGGATGTTGGTTCTCTAGGTATATATATATATATATACGATACACTATGTACATACTATAGCCACTATAGCCTTCAAGTGGATGACCCGTGACATCTGACTCACTTCTGACCAATTCACCTCACCAAAACACAAACCAAATAAAACAGGCTTTGACATGTTTTGACAACACTCGCACGTTCTTTCGTGTCTGTATCGAAGTCGCCACAGCCCAGCTGGACCCTGTCGATCTGCCGATGTGGGTGAAACGCATTTTCCTTCACCTGAGAAGGGCAAAATCCAGTGGGTTTCTGATGGGTTTGGAAGACCTTTGTTGACTCCGATTTCTTGTGGAACACCAGTGGAAAATGGATAAAATTGGTTTCCTTCTTCTATTGGATGTGATTGTACAAGTCGAATCCTCTAAATTCATTACAAGTCAAAACTGCTTCTGCACTCTGCAAAGACCTGTGAGAATGTCAAACAACTCAGCATTCTGACGGCTAGACCACTTGAGGCATCGCTTGGGCTTTCTGCATTCTGGGAGTATCTGAAAACTATAGAAAACTATAGCGTGCCCCAAGAAAACGGTCTTATTGTTTGGCTTTATCATGTGCAGGTTATCCAAATTACTTGTACAAGTCGCTGGTCCAGCCATTCAAAATCCTGCCAAACTGGACAGCAATCAGACATGCGTTCCCTTGCCATACCCAAGCCATAGCTTGGGACCCGCCTCCAATCTATCCAGCCGCGGGGATCCCCGACACTGCAAAGCCAGCTGCACAAATTCCCAGTGCCAAAAGACTAAACAACAAAGAGCTGCCACGTGTCTGCCTTGGTCGGTCTCCCAACTCAAAACTCCAGTTGATTTTGACCCAATAACTGTTCAGAGCACAATGATGATGCTGTTATGCTGACATAGTTGATAAAAGGGGCTCATTTGCATATCCATTCTTGGGCAGCAAAATTCACTTCCAGGACAAGCCGTTGTGTTTTTTTTTGGCCGGTCCATGACTATCATGATCTATCATACTCTATCATGACTTTGTTTAAACAATGGGAACTGGCCACAGAAAACCCATCGCTCGATTGCTGCCCCTTTCAGCGCAGACACTTCTGAGAGCTGCCAGTTGACACCTCCCAGGCAAGATGTGTCTGAAAATGGGCTTGGAATCCCATAACAAATGCAGTTCTTCATGGGGAAAATGAGATCTTAAACCATGGGTTGGAATGGGAAATTGCCATGATGATAAACCATAGGATGGTTAAAGCGGTTGACACCTCCGAACTTTTCAGATTTTTCAGGAACCAAGCCAGATTGCTAATGAAATCATCAGCAACGGAAGTTCTCCCTCGAATTCATGGGCCTGAAACGTTGCATAAACACGTCCAAGATCATCCCTGGATTGACAGCCCTACTTCTAAATTGCTTGAGCTTCATCCAACTGTGGATACATCATGATATAGGATATCAACATATATCAACCATAAGTCCAATCGCCTTCTACCGCCTGCAACGATGGTTCAATGGTTCCTGGTTAGTCGGGGAAATCCGATGAAACCCAGGGCGGCAACCCGATTCATCTTGTAACAAATCATTTTTGGAGGGTTACTACAAAAAGGTTTGTTTGAATATAGGGTACCGCCAAAATGTCTTAAGGTGAAACTCATATAAACTCATCAGTCTCTCCAAATGGCATGAAAAATTCTAGGCTGAAATCCCTATTGTTGATGGTTGAATCCCTATATTTGGTTGCTGAAAAACCTTGTTAAAGCAGCTGTAAATCCCACTAAATCGCCAATATATCCCTGGGTAATGCACATGATATCATTATATATCCTATTGTATAAATCCCATATTAATTGGCTGAGTAATGAATATACTGCTATATATTGGTGAATTACTGGTCAATTAAAATGTCCAATTAATCCATATATTAATCCCACAGTTTTTAAATGGTTTTCCCATGGATTTTCCCATGGATCTCCTGAAATCCCATTGGATCCCATGGGATAAATCCTGGCAGATCCAAACGACCTGACCCCAGGCCTGGCTCAAGGTGCTGAGCTCCTCATCTGTAGTGATCTCTGTGGTCTCAGAGATGCCTTCGCTCTCCTCCTACGTGGCGAGAGACGGTGATTTGTAAAAAGGGGAAGTTTCCAATGGGAGTGTCGCGAAAAACTTAGGTTGGAAAATAGGGATGTCATTTCTAGGTATGATAATATATATATATCATTCTGTCATAATATGTCTAACTTCTAGATTCTAGATATTTCTTGAATGTTCTTGATATGTCTAGGAGTCTAGTTAGTTTAGTGGAGGCTTTCCACGCCAAACATGCTAGAAACTTGATCATTTCACCAAGGAAAAAGAGCTTGGAGCTTTGAGTCACCAAGTTTGTGGGGTTTTAACCTTAAGGGGATATAACATGATATAACCCATAAACTTCAGAAGTCTTTCCAGGATTCCAGTGCTTGTGGGCTGGGAGCTTGGTTCACCCCAGTTGTTTTTTCCATGGCTACGACCAGCCGGAAGATGCCGGAATCCTGGTGCCTAACCGAAGCCCGGTTGGATCCCCTGTGTTCAACTTGAGTGAGAAATCACCAGCTTTTTTTTCAGATTATAGAATGGAAACACTATAAAAATCCCGTACCATGAAAATCATGGGATGATTATCTCAAGAATTCACTCACTGGACTCACGACCAATAATAGTAGGAATGATAGTACTAGTAATATTATTATCTGAATTAGTTTATTAATAATAATGGAATGGTATATTATACCAATAATAATAAGATTAATAATAATTACTAATTATCTCAATTAGTGGGACAATGGTATATGATGTATATATCATAAACGATCATCTACCAGCAGCAAATGGGATACAATGTGATAAAACTATATAAAACTTGAACAATTGGAGTAATCCAATAGCCTATGACAATGGTTTTTTTTGCCAAGCATTTTATGGGGACAAGGCCAAATTTAGGGATAAACCAGCCCCAGTGACTTATCAGAACTAGGTTGGTTGAAAAAAACATCCCCAATTTCAGGTTTATGGCATTGGATTTACCACACAAAAACAAAAACACATTGCAAAAAAAACTGCAATGTCATTGCTGAACAATGAGGGTTGTATTGGGGATTATTGCGGAGATAGTGGACAAGCTTTGGCCTTGACTAACTGATTTTCAATATTGATGTGATCGGCCTGGCATCCCATTTAGTTGGACTTGTGTCATCTGCCCTCTGGTAAACTAACATAGCTTTTGAAAATGACCATTTATAGTGGATTTACCCATTGAAAATGGTGATTTTACATAGTTATGTTAGTTTACCAGAGGGTAATATACTGGAATGTGGCAAAACCAATCATGTACCTTCGATTGAGGATTCTTGCTACCATCCACTTCATTCAAATGGCGGATTAATGTGGAAAACCCAATGATAAACCATCCCTGTGGTGGTGTAAGCCCTCCAAAATTGGAGCTTTGGAAATTGGCTTTAAAGGTCTATCACATTATTTCACAGCATCGCTGGGTTTACCCCATCAAGACTGTTGATGGTTAAAGTATGTTAAAGTCAAGCTGGTTCAATCCCTGACTTTTTGCTGGCAAAATCCCACATCCTTTTTTCACATCCCATCAGAAATCCCATCTCCAAATCTTTGTTACTTAAATCTACCCTCTGGTAATTTAACATAGCTATTGAAAATCACCATTTTTAATGGGAAAATCCACTATAAATGGCCATTTTCAATAGCTATGTTAAATTACCAGAGGGTATGTCTTGATACCAAATTCCCGGTTTAACCATGAAACGAACATCCATCCAGATCCCAGATTTGTTCCCCCCTCACCTTGGGCCCGAAAATCTCGAAGCCCGCCACACCGCAGCTCACCAGCGCAACCCCCAGGATCCGTTGTACTGCTATGGACGTGCCCAAGAGAGAGTCTAAAAGCAGGGACGCCGGGAGGCCCAAAAGGACGAATAGACGACATGCCAAGGGAGACACCACCTGCGGTTGATCCCTGACACTTTTTTGGGGGGAAAACCATGGAAGTCTCCCCATTCCTGGATAGACCCATCGATGTGTGCTCAAGACTATGGCCCAGAGGGAATATATAGTGCTAATATGTGCTAATATTACCCACAGACGCCGCGTGTTGCCCAGACACTAACATTGAGGATGTCGTGTTGTTGGATAAGATAGGAGAGATTGCAGAAAATACTGCATATAAACGCATAGTTTTCTGGTTTAGGATTCAAAGTTTTCAGGGTTTAGGTTTTAGGGTTTAAGTTTTAGGGTTTTAGGTTTTAGGGTTTTAGGTTTTTGGGTTTTTGGGTTTAGGATTTAGGGTTTAGGGCTCCTTGTCTACAAAAACTCAAAACACTGGCCCTGCGCAGGTGTTTGAGCATGTTGAAGAATAATGCTTAAATGCCATATGAACTTTCCGGGCAACACCCAGCGCCTGGCCGTAATATCATTATAGTAATTTATAGTACTAATATTCCATTATATATATTTTATGTAATTTATGTAGTACTAACATGTACTAACATTCCCTGGTTGGATTTACCAATTGGAAAACCGGCTTGAAACATACGAAAAATCGCTCAGCAAAGCTAGGGCACCAATAACCCCCAGGCCAGTGAGACGTTGAAGGACATATTGGCAATCATGTTGATGCCCAAATATGTCCAGCCGCACGAATCACTGGGCAATCCACGGTTCCAATCTGGAAGAAAAAGCAGGGCGATGCCACCCACAACTGCAACGGACATGCCTTTCATCACGAAATATGTGAATAGCATCTGGAAGCCTGGAACTGATTTCGAAGACCCAAGAAGAACAGAAATCACCCCAGCAACTTTAGTACATATACCGAAAACTCCTTGGTCGACGAATCATGTTGGAAAAACAAACATGTTGAAAGTGAAATTCTTTGTCTGCTACCTTTTCCAGTGACCAACAAAATATGTTTCAACGTAAAACAGCTTAGCAGCTGGTGCCGCATTGTTTTGCAAAGATCATCTTGAAACACACCATGTACAGCGCCGCTGTAAGGCACGTGATGACCACCAGAAAGTCACCCAGCAGTGGCATAGATCCATCGCAAGCGCCACCATGACAGGCTTTCATGTCACTTCGCGCAGTTAGAACGGAGCCGACGATGGCCACGACTAACCAAAAGATCTGGCATGCCTCAGTGCTGTCAATGGATGGGTTTTCAACCTCTGAAAAGATCCATGGATTGGTTTCAATGATGGTATACCCGGTATACCATATAGGTAAATGTTGGAAGAGAAATTTCTCTGAGATGCTGGGGGACCTCTATGCTCCCATCCACAAAATCTCCAAGTGACTGGGAACCCCCCGAAAGCTTCGTCTATACTGTATGATAGGTTGATTCATCGAAATAGGGACATGGAAAATGATGGAAATACCAAAAATCGAAACAACTATTTGAACATGTCTGAAACCACCGACCATCATGATTAGTTCCTTTCCATTGGTGGGCTCGAGTCTGTATCAATTTTCATTCATCCGTGAATCCAAATCCAAAGCATGGTACCTCATGAAACATCCATGAAACCCAAATCCCAGATATCCCAGATCCCCCGCAGCCATGAGGTACCAATGATTTTTGTGTATACCCTCTGGTAAACTAACATAGCTATTGAAAATGGCCATTTATAGTGGAATTATCCATTAAAAATGGTGATTTTCCATAGTCATGTTAGTTTACCAGAGGGTAATATACCCAAAAGAGCTGACCAAATTCCTCCATCCATCCCCTATCAGACCTATCAGATACCACGAGCCGGCCACTCGCCTGGTATCTCTCTTTCAGGAAGGCAAAGGACAATCCTCACGGCAGTGATTCAAAAATCCCATGGGTTTGTCATATTTTTTTCCAGAATTGCCACACATCTGGATTAAATCCATCGATTCAGCATCATCCCAGCTGAACAAAGCAGGTTTGGGATTTTTTTTTGGGCGTAGCTTCTCCACTGTGGCCAATGAATCCTGCAGCCATGGCTTTTCGATGGCCAAACTCTGAGATGGTAAAGCCAATTCGTAGCTCCAACTGGCTCCAGGGGAACATGGATATTCCATGATATTCCCAATTTATTGGGAATTTATTGGGAATTCGTAGCCAATTTATATCAATTTATTGGGGATATTTTATGATGGAATATGATGGAATATGGATACCCCAGCTCCTTACAGTCCCTCCATTCACCGGATCCATCCCATGAACCATTCGCCTGCAATGAAGACCGGTGTCAGCTGCTCTAAGGTCATTGCAGAACTGGCGGTGGTTAAGACCAAGGCCACCATAAAGGAAATGTTGGCTCCTGAAGACACCACGGATTTTGATGGATTTTGGAGTTGCATCTGGATCGGAGATTCAAAATCATAAAAAACCAAGGCCACCAGGTGGAAATCTAGCAATTTCGAGCGGCTGGATAGTGTCCAAGAATGGTTCAGAAAATCTCCAACTGCTATCAATCAATCTGTTTCTTGAGAGTTTGCTCCTCACATGTTGCATCATTAGATACCTCAAAATGGTACATCATTTTGTATGTATTAATAAACAAATAACAAGACTATAGAATCTAGTCAGAGCATATTGGATATTTGTTTATAGTGTGTATAAATATATATATATATACATATATATATATAAGTGCTGTAGATATACTGCTCATATCATCTGGGTTACTCTGAAAATAGATCAAATAGATCAGATAACTCGTGTATCTCTAAATCCACTGAATCATCATTCTCCCGTTATGTCCGAAAAAGTCCGATAAACAAATCGCCCTCATTGCGGGTACAAGGTGGTGCCCCAGTTATAAATAGGTCATAATCCCCATTAACTATAGATATATATCACCTATAAACTGTAGATATATCACCTATATCACCTATTAACTATAGATATATATCACCTATAAACTGTAGATATATCACCTATATCACCTATTAACTATAGATATATCATCTATAAACTGTAGATATATCACCTATTAACTATATATATATATATATCACCTATAAACATCCCAGTTATATATCACTTCTAAACCCACCAACTCCTTGCGATTTAGCTCACTGGGGCACCACCTTGGTAGTCTGAGCTCCCGGCCGAAGGCCAAAAGTCCTAAGGCCATGGCGCGAAGGCCCATGGTCTTGCAGCGCGGCCAGAACTGTCGGCTGCAGGCGATGGGAACCTTTTTGAAAAGGCCAGGCCAGGTAGGCCAGGTGCTAATAAAGGAGAGCCATAGGAGAGATGGCCATGAAGAATGGATGTGGATTATGTGGATGTGGGGTTATATACTGTATATTATATATATATGT